GAAGGGGGGGAAGGGGGGGAAGGAAGGGGAGGAAGGGAAGGAAAGAAAGGGTTGCTCATTAAACTGGTATATACTCCGTACCTTTTGATGGCTTGGGAGTTGGTCTTTGAAGAGTATCTACGAAGTATACGGAGTACTCGAGTACCTGCCTAAGTAAAGTTACCTACTCGGCCGGGCAAGAATACAAGAACGAGGAAGTGCCGTCGTTCTGCGTGTTGCTCGTTGTACTAAGTACGAAGTAATTCGTTATGTGGCGTTCGGGAAGGAAGGAGCCATGGGAGGCTTGAGTGTTGAGTCTTGACTACTCCTGTTCGTCGTCTTGGCACCGCAGTTGAGAGACCTAATCGAGCGATAGTGGGCCGAGGTTGGGGTCATCTTGGCATTTCCCCACGTCTGTAATCCATAGCCTTGCAGCGCCATCGAGGTAGGGTGGAAGGGATTGGTTGGTGTGAGTACCGTAGTGGAACTGCTATAGATATTACCTCAGCCATGCTGCTAACTCCGTACCCCTCGATCTCCTTCGCAGTGGACATAGGTACCTGCTACCTAGGTAGGTATCCATGTGGGGGTGAGGAAAGTTAAGGTAGGTAGTATATACTAGTACTTAGGTAAACGAATACGCAAGTACTTTATTTGTGTTGCTTCCTTTTGTGGAAATACTGGATGATAATACTTCTTTTAGTGAAGTGGTGTATTAGTAAAGGTTGTCACTATCTCCTGCTGCTCTATAGTATCAATCTCCACGCCGATACTGATACTGTAGTGACATACCCAGCAAGGTAGGAGGCAAGCCCTTGGCCCCTCCAAGGCTGCTCAAGGCTATTCAAGGCTTGTCTGGTCCTCTATTGCAAATCTGTAAACCAAACCGGGACTCGGCGCGTCGCAGGGGTCGATCGGAGCTATCACTGCTGAAGGACGATGACTGCACCACCCACGGCTGAGCCCTGAGCCAGAAGGCACACGGCTGACATGTGAAAGTTGGGGACGAAGGTGTCGTGACCTGACTAGAAGCTCTCACCGCAACCTGCCAGTGGCAGTAGCGCCGTAGCGCAGTAGCAATCGCAGTCCTCGAGTAGCTTAGTCGTACTAGGTAGTCGAGTACAGCACAGCAACCCCTCTATCCATCCATCCACCCACCATTCACATCGCCAGTACCACCTCCACACAATCATCCTCCCCTGGGAAATGGCTGCTCCTGATACTTGTACCGCGAAAGAGATCAGAGATCGGATATTTTTGAAAGATACTAGCACCACGGACAGCCTGCATCCGCATCCAATGCATAAGTCTAGGTCCTGTATGGTGACTAGAATGCTACTTAGTGCTTGACGACGGGATATGATAGACATTGTAATGCTGAGAAAGAGTGGAGATAACATAGCGAGACTCTACTCTTGCATTCCCAAGAGTTTTGTTGAGACTTGTTCTGGAACTCAAATCTGTCTCTTCCATCTTCATCTCTTTATCTCTTTATCTCTTCATCTCTTCATCTCTTCATCTCTTCATCTCTTCATCTCTTCATCTCTTCCCCAGCTTTCACTTTGATGATCCCTTATTCACGACCAAAACATTCATCGTCAACCCCACGGGATCTGCACCTCCTGCGTGGTTCCTGATTCTCTCCCTTCATCCTGCCCTACGTGCCCTGCCGCCTGGCCTGCACTGCACTGCAGATCGTATCAACGTTGACGTCCACTGCCACTGGGACGGATCAGCTCCAGCATCAACTGCAACCACGATCGTAATCAAGACATCGTCTCCTCTTTCCCTTCCCCACGAAAAATAAAATAGAGGGCTCGCCAAGAAAAGGCGATAGCCGAACTCTTTGATGCTGCAGCGCTCGCCTTCCCTTGCCTTGCCTCGTCAAACCCCCAAGCTCACAAGCGATAGACTGAGCAACCCAACTCCACTCCCGTATTTTTGCTTTCAAGGGTCAAGGTCCACGTCGCGGGGTCCAAATAAGACCAAGAGACCGATAGCGCGTACCAGTACCCGTATTGAGTTGCTGAAAGAAATACACAGCACACGCTTCTGGCCCATTCCATTTTCTAGCCATTCACCGATGAGCCAGATTCCAAGTCGATGCCAAAAGACCATGAGATCCCGCGTCACACTTGCGCCCAATACCAGTCCCGGATAACCAAACAGCGAGATCATCAGTGACCATAGCTACCACCACATTCACGAGTCCTCCTCCACTTCCACTTCCTCCACCTCCTCCACCTCCATCCCACCTACCACTTTATACCCCAGAAGCCCTCGATACGGCATCCATGCTCGCAGTACAGCGTCCAAGTATGGGTTCGTCGAAACCAGGCGATCTCGATATGCCTTTTGGCTGTGAGTGTCACCATCTGCTCTCTTTTCTGTAACTACAATGAATACTTATTGGCTACAAGATTCTTTCGACTCTTCCTCCAACTTCCCTTTCCCCTCCCCGCCCTCCGCAGCACCAGGTCCTTCGTTACTCGACGACAATGAATCCAAATTCCTCGACAGCTTTTTTGATGGAGTGAGCTCAGAAAGCTTTGATTACAACCTCTTTACAAATGGCCCAGATGCGGCAGAGTCGGCTTTTGGATGGGATGAGTTGCCACCGACGTTCATGGGAACAACGTCTAGTTTCGGTCAACAACCACATCTTAGCGCACACGACCAACCCGAAGTGAATTTCGACGGTCTGCCGCCAATACCTCATACCAATCCACCTCCACCACCTCCCCAAACAGCCTCGGCAGAAGTATTGGCGGCAGCTACGGTATTGCAAAATGGAGTTTCAGGACGATCACAGAGCTTTGCGGCAAGTTCTTTAATACGACCCGACATGTCACTACGACAAGTAAATGGGCATATTGGGCCGCAGTCGATATCGCAATACCCACCAGCACGTCCTTATACAGCACAACATGAACCGCCAAGTAATGAATATATGCGGGATAGCTTCTACACGGATATGGTTTTCGGTCATCCAGACAATACCCCAGCGAGACTGAGAAATTCCAATCAGAAAATCGATATAAGATGGGGATCAGATTCTTCATTCAACACGCCACAGGGATTTATGGCACATAACAATCACGATGCGGTCAACGAGTTGGAACGAGCGCAATTACACTGTATAGACAGCGCATTTAGAATCGAACATGACACTCTGAGTGCCGAAAACTCGGTACCGCCAAGTCCAGTGGTTGCATTACGGGCTCCTAAGAAGACAGAATCTAATGGTGATCTGGTCGAAAATGACAACCCCAGACCCAAAAAGAGAAGGAAGAGCAAAGTAACAGATGACAAGGGAGAGGAGGGATCACCAGCACCTAAAGTACCCGAGCCGAAGAAGAGGAAAACTGTGAAAAAGGAAAAGGACGCTGACGTAGAGCCTGTAAACAAACGACGGAAATCTACAGCTAATGCCACCACCGGAAAAGCAGCGCGAGAAAATTTGACCGAGGACCAAAAACGAGAGAATCACATCCGAAGTGAACAAAAACGCCGAACGTTGATTCGGGAAGGATTTGAGGACCTTGGGGAGTTGGTACCTGGATTACGGGGTGGTGGCTTTAGCAAGAGTGCGGTTTTAATCATGGCTGCAGATTGGTTGGAGGATTTATTACAGGGCAATGAGCTCTTGAAGGAGAGATTGGAGCAGATGGAAGGCAGGTGATGATATGGGGGATGGTGATGATATGAAGGATATCAAAAAAATGGTAACATGATGAATGGGTTCTTACCCTTCCTCACTTTCATTTCCAACGGCGAAATCATGGGGATTATGAGGAGTTTTACAACGGATTGGGGGCCTTTTTATTCAACATGACATATGGGGAAATTTTGGGGGAAGGAAGGATGGGGGAATTTTACGGGCTTAGGATGGGAGGTTCTTCTCATTTCTCTGTTTTTCCCCTTTGCTGCAAAGGCAAAGGGTCATCAATCATCTCGGGTCCAAGGCATTTTTTGTTCATATACATGGGTTGGGAGGCCTTTACTTTATCTTTTTTCCTTTTGTCAAGGGGGGGATGATATCATGGGTTGCTAGGGGCTTTTTTTTTTCTGGTATGGGAGGCATTAGGATTTGGGGGGGCTTACTTTATATATTACCTTTTCGCCGGGTTTGGTGGGTTGATGGGATGAGATGGGATGGGCTTGGTGGAGGTTGGGGATGAGATGGGTGAAGTGAGATGAGATGAATGGGTTCGGGGGATGAGATGAGGGAAACGGAAGAGGTGGGGGGGATGGAATATGTAGCCCTTGCCAATAAAATCAAAATCAAAGTTGAAGTTCAAAAATGGAAAACCTATTCCATCTCATCTATGTTACAGTATTAACCTATTAACCTCTCTCATCTATCTTTCCTCCCCCCCTTCTCCCCCCCTTTTTCTTTCTAGTCCCCCGCCTCCTTACACTATATAGTATACTCTCCTCACTATTCATATTTATCTTCGAGTCTAGGTATTTCTCTCTTTTCCTCTATCTCTCCCCTTTCTCTTTCCTCTATTCTCCCTACTTTTAAGCTACGCCTAAAGCCTATAATGTTATCTGAGGATTCTCCTATCTTAAAATAGCTAAAGACCTTTGACGTGGGAGGAGGTTCTTAATTTACTTTACTTTACTTTATCTGTATACTATTTGTTTTTTTTGTTTTTTTGTTCAAGGGTTGGTTTTGGGTTTGGATTTTTTTGATGTACGAGTAAGTGGATGGTATAAGGGGGCGGGGGGGGTATGTGGGGATATAGTGATATAGTGATGTAGTGATAGAGATGCTAGGTGATGTTGTTAAGGCGTTGGGGGTTGTTTTGCTTGTTTATATTTGTACTCTGTCTACTTCTTCGCTTACTTACTTCTTCGCTCACTTCTTGGCTTGCTAATACTTATATGTAAGATACTCTTTAATAAACAAGCAAGCTATAACCATACTACAATAAAACACTTCCCTCCACTACCCTACACAAACAACTTTCCATCCCCCTTTCCCTCCCCAAAAGGGACTTTTATATCTACCTCTAATATCTAGTATAATGGCCCATAAACTCTTCCTTTCTTTCGTATTTCTTTTTCGTATCTCTCTTAATATCTCTTAATATCTCTTGAAATCTCTCTTGAAATCTTTCTTTCGCTTCTTGATACTATATTATAGACCAGGGTTCTACTTTTCTAAATTATTTCTACTGCCTTTTCGTTATTGTGGTTGGATTTTGCCATACTGGGGATTTGGTTGTAGTTACTTGTTTAAGGACAAGGAAGTGGTGTATGAAGTATTTAGGGGTTGATTTGTTTCGCTGGAATCCTGAGTTGGTTGAAGATGAGAGAGGGAGAGGGAGAGATAAATACACACAACCAAGAAGACAAACTAACCTACCTCCCCATTCCCATTCCCATTCCCATTCCCATCTCCTCCACAGTCCAGACAATACCTCTTACACTCTTAAACACCTAAACACACTCCATCCACAAAATATCAGAATCAGATATATAAAAGTTAACTACTAATTGGTAATGAATAAACACTTAAAATAGAAAAGCATGGTTCTAAACTAGTTGGGGCCTCTGTTTTTGTTTGATGGAGAGTAGGAGTTATTTGGGAGGTTAAGGGGATATGAATTGATGTTGATTGTTATGTTACTTATGGATTCTCTAGGAGTTGATACTGTACTTGGTAAGTTGATTGGAGGACGGGAGGTTACTTAATACTCCTTCCTTTTCCTCGTCTCTGCTTGGGCTTGGGCTTGGAGAAGTGTCTGGATGGCAGGGTGAGCAAAGAAAGCTAAATGGGTATCATCGTAAAAAGCAGCGGAGTAGGTAATAGATCAGGCAACGCGCGACTTCCATGAATACGATGGAGCTACTATACCCCAACAAGCGAGTCAAAAGAACGGAGTCAACAGCAGCACTACACATGATACCCATCAAAAAAAAGAAGAAGAAACCACCCAAGAAATCCATTATCTACATAAACCGACCATTTATGTGGGAGACCGCATATCGCAGGTTTCCAATGTCTATTCAAAGGGTACAGTACAATACTGTACTCGCATAATACACGCCGCTTCTAGAGCAGGCTTGGGCTCTACGGGAAATCATACCCTAAGAGCAATATATAGGTGCAGTAAGAAGAAAAGTGAAAATCTATCTTCACTTCCCCTCCTCACATACCACAACTACGACAACACAGATGTCGTCCACCTTTCCACCCCGCCAATTCTCATTCGGGTATTCCCTCTGGACTTCTCTGGCGAATGGGCCATCGAGCTTTGTGTTTACACTGGCCATTTTGGCTTCGTGTGCGATTCCTACGGCTAGAAAGCTTTGTAATGGAGGAATTTCTTCATCACCACTGCTTCCGTCATCGGTTGTGATGAAACTGCTTATATGTGGTCCTACGTCGATTCCTTTTTCTGTATGTACCCACGCCTTCGCCGAAACCATGATTTTAGAGACGATTTTCAGGACATCGTGTCTCGATAGGTTATCCCAAACTCCATCACTGGCAAAAACCAATACATCTCCATGTCGCAAGGCGTGCTGTGAAGCATTCGCATCCTTTGGCATATCGCAAAGTTGCTGGCCCCCAAACGCCGCCTGTCGCGCTTGCATCTGTTTGGGTATAATGGAAAGCTGATACGGCGTGTTGAACGCATGAGTTTGTGGTTCCGAGTAGCTATGCACCGCATTCAGTCTCAGCTGAACGAACCCCGAGTCTCCCAGATTCGCAACCTCCAGTTTCCCAATCCCACGTACGATGCCCACACATGCCGTGCTCCCTCCCGCCCGTACGGACCCATCGTCGCAGATATCTTCGTAGCCGCGTTGCATGAGACTCCTCGCGCCCAGATTCGGTTTCCCTACGTCGGGTTTGTGTGTATATGCCGCATGTGCCATGTAATCGCAAAAGCCATGCGAGAAATCCGCCGGATCGACCCCCGAATCTACCCATCCTCCCACCCCGTCTGCAATTCCAAAGGCCACATCCGAACTCTCTCCTACGCGACTTATGAAAAAGGCATCTTGGCCGCTGTCCGGACGTGTACTCTTGTCTTTCCGTCGCGCCAGGATGTGGTTATAGGGGTTGAAATTAAAGACGTTCTTTGCGGGATTGAATCGTCGGTCTTTCGCCGAGAAGGAGGACGATATCCCGAATGTGAATTTGGAAGTTGAATCTGATGCTGATGCCAGCGATCGAGAAGCGTGGGGATTCCTAGATACGGACTGGACGGTTGGGATTCGTGGTTTCTGCCATGATCGGGACAGTGGCCGGCATGCAATTGTGGAGTTTGAGCGTCGTGAAGTGAGGCCTTTCGCTCGCGGGACCGGTAGACTCGTTACACAGCTCGAGGGAAGGGTTGCGACTGGCGCAAGAGTCGCTCGTTGTGTTGCGATCGTGAGGTTGCGCAGAGATGTGGCCATCTTTGCGGCTTTGGAAAAGGAAATTTGGGGGAGCGTGGCCGTGGGGGCCCGGGAAATGAAAAGGTACGGGGTATTAAAGAATTCGGAATGCCATTAGGAAGGGGAAGGGGGATTTGTAACCTTCAATCGGTCAGAAAACAGGGGGAAAGAATTGGGGGGTTGAGATGGTTCTAGTCGGTGTTGGACTTCGTTCGTAAAAAGATCCCAAGATCCCAAGACCCCTGCTGTCCTCCGTCATCTCAAAAGCCCCTGTTTCTGGAAGCAAACTTCGGCTCCAGATACAGTACTGTACAGCACTTCGGCAAACAGCTCCATTTATTCTCCTGGCCTTCTACTCAATACCAGTTTCACCTACCAAACTAGAACATCGCCTAGAAAGTGTCTTGGTAATCTTGGTTATCTTGGTTATCTTGGGGAGACGGATTCATGATTCGGAAGGTCACATGTCGCGTTGATTTTTCGTCTCATCTCTTGTTCGTCCTTTCTTCAAAGTGGCGGTACGAAGCCCACAGCGCAAGGTTATGTGTGTTACACTATGTTTTCCTATTTGTGGACTCCTCCCTGAATTTCAAAAACTCTTATCTTACTTCAATCCTTCAATGCATTCATTTGCTACATTTCTACTACCCATTACTTTCCCTATTATTGCTTTCTGAAAAGGGAGAGAAGCCCTCATACATATTACCTCCCTGCAAGAACCCTTCAGTAATATCAAACTCCAGACTCATTCCTTCATTCTCATCAGATAATTTCGTAGTAACGGCTTTTCTGGAGAAACCAAAAGCAAAGCCTGATGCTAATTTTTTGGATATACTCTACATCCCTCATTATCTGCTCAGCCTTGCCTGGCCTGGGTTCCGATTTTCGCCTAGCTCTGTGTGAGTCGTGACCGAAGCATCGTGGTGATCGCTTCAAATCGACACGGTTTTGAGCACTCCATATCCATCTGCACATCTGAACTAAGCGGCGGTATTGAGAAGGAAGCATGTTGTTTCTTACTTCAGCCTCCAGCTCTTCTTCCAATTTTCTTTTGCAATCTTTAGTCTTTTCAATTTTGCCTCTGTGTTGGCGCCTTGCGCCGATAGCTTGTCCAAAGAGAACCATCTGCTCGTTGAACGGTAGTAAGCTCATATAAGCTTGCGGCAACGAATATGAAGTATTGTCTTGTGTTGCTTGACGATATAGCTTGTCCTCGCAATGGGTTACATGGGCTCTACTCCTTCACCAATCGCTGTATCCTAAAAGCCCCTCAAGCTCAAGCGAGGAAATACTCGGATCGTCATTTGAGGTATAAGAATTAGAACTGGCATGGACAGCTTTTGCTGGCATTCAAGCCCGATATTGAGGACGAGATAGCGATTTAGCAAGAGCTTGCTTGTGAATTGAACTCGGAATGCTCTATGAAGGTCGTGTCTTGTTCCTCTCTTCTGATTGTCAGTTTTACTATGTCCTCGTCAAGGATAGCTCCCATTGAAGCGGTGCGAATCCCCAATTTTGTCGTCTCTTTTTTCTACTTGAGGCACATCAACCATCTTCGGCACTTCAAACTACTAGAACTACAAATCAGGCGAATCCCAAGCAGTCGCTCCGTCACCGTAAGCGAAGTGACTTTCCAGCAAAAAAACTTCACTCTTAAAATCTCTCCAAAAAAGCAACAAAAAAAAGACACAAAAACAAAAAGATATACTATAATCTTTTTTTCTTAGAGAGAATTAGTATAATCATCTTTCATAGATTGACGGAGAACTTACTTTTATATACGACCGAGCGGTCTGACGCTTGATCAGGGCGCGTCCAAATTAACGGGGGAAACAGCTTCGTGGTGGTGGCGCTTGTGGGAATTGGTATGGGAGCACACACTAACTGACTGGGCCAGGCGGACAGGTTTAATCCCAGTTTGTGGTGACGGTGGATGGTTTATTTGAAGATATGAATGTTGTTTTGCTGCTTTTGTGGGGTTTTGGATAAGCGAGTGGTTGTGGTTGGCTGAGGGGGTTAATTTTCGGGGTTTGGGTTGTTGGTAACTGGGTGTCTGGGGGGTATTGCGTGATGCAGATCACGTGGATGGTATCTTGCGAGGGAATGGTTCGAGTTAGTCCCAAGGGCTCTATCGGGCTTCCTTGTAAGGCCGCAGCTCTGACGAAGAGGTTAGTGGATTTGAACAAAGGGAATATTAGCGAGGAAGGCGACAGGCAGTTGCAAAACTACGAGATGCGATGGAAGATAATTTCGCCAGTGCGTATGAACAACTACAAATTCCAGAGGATTTGATGGAACAGGTTAAAGCAGAGGGAGTTTTCCCTATCTTTCCTCTCCCTCTATACAAGTACCGAACATTCTACATGTTTGTAAAAAAACACTGGGTAGAGCTACTCGGTTACTATACTCACATCCAGACAAGCGAACCATGTGTCAAACCCGGGTTTCAGAATCCAGCATTTTAATGGTGGGAATCTAGAAACTTGGGACTTAAGCACGAGCCAAATACGCCACTACTCACGTTTGCCATAAACACTTATGGCTTGGATCTACGATGGTATTTAGGATAGCACGTCTTGTGTAGTTGAGAGTTGACTCCCTTGGCTCCTACTACGAGAAAAACTTTCAGCCCACTGAATCTACAATTCTCCCTTTGGGGTAGATATACAGCCCCGTTTACGACCTTCCTGAGTGGCTAATATACCCCAAAATCGACACGTCTCTATATACTTCGTACTGTGGAATTGGCGCCATGCGCTACGCAATTCTGGCAAAGGTGAGTAGCAGTCTACCTCTTCTTACCATCGCGTATACAAGTCCAGTAAAGTCATGGTCAAGATTTTGTGTCCAGTCGACTAACATTCCTTCTACAAGATGTTTGACTTCCGAATGCCCTCCCCCAACCGCCACGCATACGCAGTCCTCAGTCACGAAGAAGGTTTAGATACCGACAAACAAACACGAAGATCTCCTAGTAACTTTGCACGATTCACGGGATGGTTCATCTGGCTATTAACAATCTCTGGAATTAGCGGGGTCTCTTTTTATGCCGGTCGAAGGTCTACTTATATTAGTCAAAAGGGGGGAATTCAATGTGAGTATCTTATGCCATCCTATCCTTAGCCATGTTCAGGATCCGAATCAGATATTGACCAAGACACAATAGTAAGACCGATAACACGAGTCCTGGAATACGACCAAAAGTACGGGACACCTGGGTTAGGAAGCAGTACCGCATGGAGAGCACTAATTCCCAACCATGGAGGCTTCTTCAACCACCCAACGCTGGCTCCGCACCGCTCTACATTTTCTGTATTCCATCAACTAAAGTGTCTGGTATATTCCCATCCCCCTTTCTTCTCCTTTCCCCCCTTCCCATCCTCACCATAAAAGCACAAACTAACCTCCCACAGAACGGCATGCGAGAAGGCTACTGGGCCCTCTGGTCTGCACTCAACGAGGAACGAATGATCGAAGCGGACGAGATGCCGGAAATGTCGACGCCGCAGGATATCATACACTGTAGCGATTTCTTACGGCAGGTGTTGCTGTGTCAGCCGGATTTGACGCTCGAGGTGAAGAACTTGACGGACGAGGCGGTGGAGGGGTTTGGGACGGAGCGTGTTTGTAGGGATTATGAGGAGTTGATTGGGTTTGTTGGGGAGTGGGAGGATTGGGGGGCGAGGGAGAGTTGATCTGATTTTTGGGGTTAGTTTGTTTTCTTGTTTTTTTTTGGGAGGGGGTTTATGGAAGAGATGTATTACGTGGAATATTGGAGTTTGATTGCGAGTCTGCTGAATTTGGTACCGATTCATGGAGGATACACTTCAGTCGGCTTCAAGACATTGACAAATCCAGGTCATTATAGAAAGATCACAAAAGCGAAACGTCTCTTAGTGGCGTATCTCCTTACAAATTATGAATCTTGAAGAGCTAGACAACATGAACTTCGCTTAACACAACTTTCCCGCTGAGCCCACATACCCGAATTCAGACAAATATCAGTTCCTCATACTCGTGGAATACGAAGAGAACTGTAAGGCCTGGGATCGGTATATCTTCCAAGAGACTTAAACTCAGAATGCCATCTATATTACCACAATTTTCGTGAAAAGCAACACTATTTTTCATTGAAGCTAGTGTTCGCTAATGAAGAGTCTAATATAATTCTGGTTACACTACTATAGACCCTAACCCAAGAGCAGAGCTATATAAACACCAACCAAATCAAAACCATCAAATTATTTGCGCAACAAGTGATTAACCATCTAACCCCAATAATACAATAAACACCACATATTTTCCTCAAAACCACAAATATGAATATCCTCTCAATCCTAACCCCAATCCTCAACCAAAAAAACTCTACATGTTTTTTAAGTTGTCGAAGACCACAATTCACAATCTACTCTCTCTTATCAAAACGTGAAGTTGAATTCTATGGCTATACTACTAGAGGATCACACACCCGACATCCTTTACACCTTCACACCTTCATGGTATAGTTACTACTTATAAACCCTACCTCATCTCAATCCCACAAAAATCTCAATCTCAATTACACCCTCACCCTCACCCTCATCCTCAACCATCCCCCTCACCCACCGTAAAACCCCCGCAAAACCAACATTATCTTAATACCCTACCTATTCTACCATCCACAACCCCCCTTCCCTCCACCTCAACTCTTTACCCCTCCAAATCAGCAACCCACCCAAGACCGCTCACCACCATCCCACGTAAAATTCCAAAATTCCAAAATCCCAACCAATCCCAACCTCCAATCCACAATCCACAATCCACAATCCCCCATACGCGATTCACAATCCACCGTNACCATCCCACGTAAAATTCCAAAATTCCAAAATCCCAACCAATCCCAACCTCCAATCCACAATCCACAATCCACAATCCCCCATACGCGATTCACAATCCACCGTCCACCTTGCCCCTCCCCTCCCCTCCCCTGATGAAAACAAACCCCAAAACAACTCACAGGAAAACCTACTCAACACACTTTCCTTCCCTTACTTTTCCTTCCCATTGTTCACATCCCACATCCCAGATTCACATCCACATCCACAATCACTCCCCCTCCTCCCGTACCCCTTCCTCCACCTCCATCCACCTGCCCAGCGAAAGCAAATACACCAAGTACCGTACAGTACAACAGACCCACACGCCATACCAACACACACCCAACATCACATCCAATACCTGCCTATCCTCCACGCTCCCTCTCCCCTCAAAGACACCTAGAAGACTAGAATAATTAGATAAAAAAGATAAGATATCGAATAATGAGCGTGGCGAAGTGAGAAGTACCTATAGATGTATTAGGTAGTAAAGATCTCCCTCACATCAATCGAATTCTTGGATCCCTTCAAGCCTCTAAGCACATTGTGCTCTGTATGATACTCGCTAGAAACCCATTCCCTACTTGATAAAAGAACTCCATACAGTAGGGCACATTATTCAGAAAAAATAGACGACAGGGAGAACATAGAATACCTCCACTTGCAAAAACTCCTCCAAAAAGTCGGAGAAAACCATCACAAGAAAAAGAATCACATCAATCCAAAGGTAAAAACACAAGAGGTACTCAGTTGCACGTTCAACCTTTATTCCTATCATCATAATAACAAAAATTGTAAAAGACCCCCCCACGCGGTGCCGCAGCAGCAGCAGCAGCAGCAAGAAAACCAGAGAGGCAGGCAGGCAGGCACACAGGGAAGAAAGACTAGAGAGAGAGAAAAAAAAAAACGTGAAAATGATCCCCGCCCCAATACCACGCCAAAGGCAAATTTCTGAGAAAAAAAACCATCAAATGCTCCCTGATCTCCATCCACCATTAACACTCTACTCCTTCCCCCCGAAATGCAGGTGTGTATTTGCGTAGGTGTGGGTCTAATCTACCCCCCGGAGCGAAAATTTCAGATGATGAAAATGCAGGGAAAGTTAATCCAAATGGAAATCTTTCTACTGCGTGGAGACGGAAAGAAAAAGCTGGTGGTACCGTCATCTTCGTTGTCACATATCGTGTAGATTCATGGGATTTCTAGCAACAACCGCCAGCCGATCCCGATTGGACCCCCTGGCCTTGTCCAACTTGTACGGTTGGCTTGTTGTTCGCGGTAGTTGTACCCATGCGCTCCTTAATCTGTCGGGCCATGGTCAAGAATGCCTGTTCTACATTGCTGGCGTTCTTTGCTGAGGTCTCGAGGAAAGGGATACCGAGGCTGTCGGCGAATTCCTATACCAAGTCCAAATTAGTGGGTCATTCTAGAATGTATGAAAACTCTTTGGCAATCAAGATTCTGATAAGCTGATTCTTGCCATGTGATATTACATACCTTGGCAACTGTGTAATCAACAACCTTCTTGTCTGACATATCAGACTTGTTTCCTACAAGAAGCTTATTCACACCCTCTGTAGCGTATCTGTCAATCTCTTGCAACCATTGCTTGACGTTGTTGAATGAATCCATGTCAGTAACATCATAGACGACACAGATGCCATGGGCACCACGGTAGTAGGAGGATGTGATGGTTCGGAAACGCTCTTGTCCAGCAGTGTCCCACTATTCCAGCAGTCAGCATCCTGAGTGAATTCTTGCCGTGTTTCTGTCATTCTTACAATCTGGAGCTTCACAGTCTTGCCATCCAACTCGATAGTTCTAATCTTCTGCTTGTTTATTAGCGCCTTATTCCCAGCCTGGCAGATGTTGTACGCACAAAGTCGACACCAATAGTGGAGATGTAACTCTCAGTGTAAGTGTCATCAGCAAATCGCAGAAGCAGACATGACTTTCCGACACCCGAGTCTCCAATAAGGAGGAGCTTGAACAGGTAATCGTATCTATAGATCAGAACGTAAGTATGGCTTTGTTATCGGATCTCGCAGGCAAGTGATAGGAGTTTGTCGTAGTACGTATGGATGGTGCAGGAGGGTACTCTGTTGAAGGAAGTGAGTTAGCAATGTGTTCGCAGAAGGGGGTTTTGATAGACCAGTATGATCTAGGCAGCTTGGAAGCAAGATCCGAGATGGAGATGAAGGACGGTGAGAGACTTACTACTCTGGGTTCATCGTTGCGGTAGGCAGACGATCAGGTAGAGAAGTATTGAGTATGTCTTGTGCAGAAGGAAGGGTGGGTGGTTTCTGCGATGGAGGTTGCGGAGGTGGAGGTGGAGGTTGCTTGGGTTGGGGAAGAGGATCTATATCGCGACCAGGACCTTTGATGGCAGGTCAACGAACGTTGCGAGACTTCGGGTAGACCTGCCACGTGATTAATATCTTGAAACACCTGCCGCTTTCTGGAAGTGAATGATCACTTGTTTGGTCACTGACTGGTCAACTGGATGACTCTTTGTTGGTGCTGCAAAATTCGCAAATCTTTTGTTGTTGTGATCAGTTAGTAACAGAGTTGATGTGCGGACCAGAATAAAATCACCAAAGAGAGCAGTACTAGAGTGTTCTGTAGTATTCAGTTCAGTACTCGTCGTACTCCGTAGATGGTGTTCCAGGGTTCGCTGAAAAAGCCATCCCCTGTCATCCCTAGCATCAGCATGAGCATGCTTGACTCCGCTATCGATAAAGCTTCCAAGGTTCCAGCCATCTGTTCTACGGAGTCTTCTCCACATCACGATCTCTTGTACAACTTCCTGCATCGTGCCCTTGCCTGCTTGATGTCTCTGATAGAGAACCAAAAGCAATTTGGCTGATGTCGGTGCCATTGAATCTAAAGCGCTTCCCAAGGCATGTTGTCAAACCCCACACCATCAAATCCGTCGGCTGCCAAACAAGAGTACCAGTTCAGCGGATTCCCATACAAGTAGCTTCCATTTCAAACGCTACGATTCCAGCCAACCAACCTACTGGGACACCATTTTTTGGAGCTACTGGTGGACTCTACAACCTTGGAATCGCCGGCTCAAAGCCTCAGCGGAATTTTGAACAGAGCTACAATCACCAAGACCCAGATGGCAGAAAGCCACAAGACCCAAGGAATCCGAAGCTAGGAAAAAGCAAGTTCCTCCCTCTCACAACAAACGCAAAGAAAAGGACATTCAAAACTAACTCCAAACAACAGCTCTTCGCATCCTCCAAAGCCGCATGCCAACACTCCTTCAATCCCCGCTTCCCCAGGAAATCCTCTCCCCGCAAATCACCCTCCACCTCTTTCCCTCAACACATCCGCACCTCCCCCAAGTCTCCGGACGAGTAGCGTATTCAGCAGCATTATGGACCTCGCCAATCGTATGGGGTCAATTACCTCTAGTTGGGAATGTAAAGCTTGAGATTCTTACCGAACGGATGATTAAACGCGCTGCGTCATCGACTTGTCCTGAGCAACTCATCGTGCGATGGCGAACCATCGGTAAGACCCGTGGAAAAGGAATAGGAGCATTCTACAAAGGAATTGGACCTAAGGATAGCGTGGATAAGATTACCTATTGGCTCGGTGGCGGAAAGGGCGAAGACGACAGCAAAGAGTTTACAGGCCTCTTCATCTTCGAATTTGACGAGGAGGGCAGGGTGGCCAAGCATACGATAGAACACGTACAAGAAGGCGGAAACTGGGAGAATGGCGTGGGTGCAAAGGTCGTTGGACTGACTGACTGGCTGCTCGGAGGCATGAAGAAGAACGGGAATGAAGGAGCGCCATGTCCTGCTTTCTGGCGACATGATTCACGGAAAGTACAAGGAAGAAAGGGGTTCTGATACTGGGGAACTGCTACAATGTACCATACGACAACGCAGAATGTGATTGTGGTGGGCGTTCCAGGATACAGGTGGATTCCCAAAGGACGGCGTTTGGAGGGGTCACAAGAGGTAGGTAGGTAGGTTCCTGCTGTTTCAGACTTGTACTTGTACATATATGAAAGACGATATCCCACTCTGATGTAGCGAAGGAAATAAGGTAATACAAACCATATTCTACCGTTTGTGTAGCCAACGTGTCTCAAATCACACCACTTCTTTGAATATCAAGAATACCACCTACCCAATTAGCTTCTACCAGAATAGTCGAGCTTAAATACCACTCCCTTGAATATCAAGAATATTACCTACATACTAAGCTTCTACCAGAACAGCCAAGATTAAATACCACTCCAAGTGCGTGGCACCTCAGTGAGCGCTGACGAACCCACCCATATGCGTGATTTATTCTGGGTGGCCTGTCTCAGTCAAGATCCCAGAGCTACGAGAAAATTCCTCATAGAAACGAAGGACGAAGCATGAAATACCATCCCAATAACTTCTCCAACCCTGCCCTTCAACTAACAAAGTCGATATTTCAAATGTAAGAAATTAGCCGACGACAGCTACGTATTCGACGGCCACCACCTACCTATTTTGTAAATTAGTTTGGGTGGTCTCGATTGTTTGGGGAGTCTTGAAGGGGATTTGCGAGGGAATGTTGGGAGGTACAGTAGATGTTGTTTTGCTTTGAGAGTCGTGTTTGGGTGTATGGGATCCCACAACGGCTTCTTGAGTGCTCGATGGCCCATTCTTAGTCGTACGGTTGTTGGTTTCAAGGGTGGGAGTGTTGGGTTTTATACTTGGATTTTGGGAGGAGCACCCTTTACTGAGCTATGGATTATGGACTGTGAACTGCGCGTAGGCTGGAGGCTCTTTTGGTACTTTATTTCCTTTGTTTTTCTGATTTGATCTTTTGATGTGGGGAATTGGGGAATTTGGAAATTGGAGATAATCGAATAGTATGGCTTTGCTTTTACTATTTATACCCCATGTTAGATGGTTGGTTTCCTGGTGTGTTTTCTATGAAGTGGTGAAGGACGCCGAGTTTTGGGGGATGGTTGTTTGATGTTTGGTTATTGGGTGTAAGAGGGGGAGGAAGAGGCGGTTGTATAAATACTGTACTGTACTGTACCATACTTCTTAAAGAAAAAGATTTCTAGAATGTTGGGCGTGGGTTTTACCTAGGGGATAGTCCCCTATGGCTATCATTAATCTCGTGGTAAAATATATAGCTAGCTAGCTAGGAGTACCAGTTTCCTCCTATTCCCCAGAAAGAAGAATCCTTACCGTTCTTCTTGATCTCGTCTCTTGAGCTGATTAAATACAAGATCGAGATTTCAATACCCAGAAAGCTCTACATCGATCATACTGCTTCTCCCAATTCTCAAATGTGAGGATTTAAGATCGGAGGGAAAGTGGTTCAAGAATACAATCTCGAAGTCAAACACGTACTAGTACACGGGATATTCGTTGACTGTTGCAGATGGAATGGATTGTCGAGGATCATAGGTCCTCCAGATTGTATTTACGAGATTAAAATGGGCTGGGCAAGAGCTTGAGAGAATATTTGACTTTCTGCCCAGAGTGCTCAGTTTTCAGCACCAAAAGACATAAATCAAACGGCTCTTTGCAGCCTATCCTAACCCCGCCAGTACCGTTCCACACAATCGCTATCGATTTCATCATTGCACTCCCCGAAAGCAAGGAGGGCTGGAATGACGAGCAAGAACTCAAAAAAGACAGCTTTCGTACCAGGCCGGGAAGACTGGTCAGCGGAAGACGGAATGAGATGTTGATTTTAGGCAGCGAACGTGAGAAGGGTTATCGACGGTGGGTGGATATGGGACGGTAGGAACCTATGGGAGTACTGGCCATGAAAGAAATAAGGAGAGGAAGTATTGCAATGTACTACTGAATACACCTGACCCTTGGAGCTTATGAATTGATAATCATAGATAATCGTTTTCTCCTCTTGCTGCTGCAAGATAGAGCGACGTGTTGTTGACGTTGTTGTTGTGGTTGACTTCAGTTAGTAAATAGAAAGAAGCTGGTTCTTCCTCTTTTATATTGACCTTGAAGAGCACGTTAGGAGTTTGTGTTCTGTGTTCTCGATATCTTTGTCTTTATAGTTTGGACCCTCATGACGTTGTATAGCTATGGATCTTTTGCGCCAGCTTGTTCTCAAGAAATTGTTGGCACGGTAACTGAATAAAGAAATGGTAGATGTCTATTCTACCTAGTCCAAAGGAACCTCAAAATCCATCTAATTCTCTCCGCATCTTCCTACGATCTTACTGAACTAAATTCCACCAAACAACAATCCTTCCCAAGACCAGGGAAGGAAGTTAAACCACCAAGTAGTAACGAAACCTACCAGAATATATTTTCTTACATAAAATAAACTCTTTACGCGATGAATCCATTTTCTATTTTTCTTCGCTTGCCTGCCAAAGTCTTCAAATTTGTACCTGTCCTGATGCAGGAACCATGATATATATCTTCTCGTTTGTTCATTCCGTATACACACCAACATCTTACCAACACCTCTATGACACAGCATAGTCCTTTTCGACACCAGGTTAAAACGGGCCCCGCGACTAACTTCTACTGTAACATCACCCAGGGCTTCATAATCAGAACAGACTCGTTGACGATAGTAACACCAACCTTTAAGCTTATCCTCCTAAGAATGTCGTTGTGCTTCAAGTCAATAGAACCTGCTGTGTAGATTGGACAGTACAGATTCATCAAAATATTTCCTAATCTTCGAACGTGGGGAGAAGATTCGACAGTAGCTTTTGATTTGACGGTAGATCAAAGGGTATTTGGACTCTATTATCTACGAGAAGTATTGATGGAATCTTAAGCTCCTGAGTATCAGAAAGCACTTTAAATTAGTCTCCTCTTCCTATAACTTATCAGAATTACATACGATCCAAAAGGAAGAGGGAAAACCACCGCTGATTAGTAATCTATGTCTCGTAGCAGTCGACTATCCAGGACACATTGTGAGATTGAAGTTATTGATCTAGTGGCTTGCATAATTTTGTTGGATTGATCCGAGCTGGATTCAGAGCTAGACGGATTTCACCCCATTGAGATTCACAATTTGATGGTATACCACCTTTCACTAACCTTGGGACGTAGCAGCAGTGATATTAGTGAGATACATTGTATGTTGCGAGTTGAAAGTGTGTACGAGCTTGGTATTCTGTAGGCCCACAGGCCAGCTATCTTTACTACTCAATTGAATGAGCTAAACCTAATGAGAAGGGAGCGAATAGCTAGTATTTATGCTCCAATCATCTGCATCAGTTGCAAGGATGGAAGTTATAGTACCTTCTTCATAGTACCTTCCTCTGAGAGATGGAGGCTCCTATTGATTACCAGCCTCCAGTGCCAGCTGGGGAAGATATACAGGATGAGGAAGGAGTCGAGGAACAAGTGCAGTCAAAAGTGTAAGAATTCAAACGCAAGCAGGAATTTGACAGCAGCTATTCCATCGACAGTAAACAAGAGCATACAAAAGATACTAATACCTGCCGGGGTCAAAACAGCACAGAATTCGCAGAGCGAAACATAAGACAACCCACTAAAAAGGGAGTAAGTAGAAATATGACTCGGAATAATTGTAATGAGGGAAGGAGAGAACAAGACGAGCTCATAAGGGCAGCTCCACCTTTACTTTTCAATGGGTACAAAGGTGACAGTTGTGAGTGTGAGAGAAGTATTTATAGAGAATTCTAAGACGAAGACTAGAATTGTTAGGTATGGTCTACTGGAACAGGTAGCAAGTAGCAGGGCTTTAGCGAGTGTTGTTGGTAGTGGATAGCTACAAATGCGTTTACGTTTTACATGCCCTTACCACGAAGACAGTTATCAGTGAGGTAGATTATTTCTCAAGATGCTATTGCAGCTCTCGTTGGACACAAAGAGTGAAGGTAGGCGAGAGGGAAAAAATCAACGAAAGCAGCTGAGAAAAAAATAGCAACACAAGGCGAGAAGTGAAATCCTCAAGAAACCCATTTTATTTAGTAATCCACTTCAATAAATACGATCAGTTTTATAATCTACACACGAAGCTTCCCAAAAATAAACACAACCCATCTACCAAATCCACAAAACCCCACACAAAAAAAGAGAAACGAGAGAAAGAGTCAAAAAAACAAACCAAAAAACAAAACAACCCTCTCCTAAAAACCCCCTCAAGCCAACCCCAAAAACTTCAAAGCCTTACTCTTATCCCTCTTCTTCGCCTCCTGCCCCCCCTCCTCCTTCCTCACCTCCGGCACAATCCGCGCATGCTTCCTCCCTAGAATCATCCGATCAAATTCATCATCCTCACTATCAACATCACTAATATAAAACGTCTCCCACCCACCATCCGCATTCTGGACCCGCGAGGCCCGCGATTTGCCCGTCTTGGAACTCTTGATGCTGCTGGCGTATTTGCCAATCGTCGAGGCGGTGACACGATGCAATTTTGAGGGGGTAGGCATGATGCAGGAAGACGCGACGCGGGATCGCGTTGTATTGGAGTTGCGGAGCTCCGTCTTTTCGAAGGTGTTGGGATCGATGAACTCGTTTTGGAGGAAGGGGAATTGGGAGTAGGATGGTTCGGGGGAGGGAGCTTGGGACCGGACGGTCTTGTTCTTGGGAGGTGATTCGAGGGGAGGGAGAGGGGGTGTGGGGTTGAAGAAGGTTTGGAGATGACTGAGTTCTGAAATATCGATGTCGTCAAATTCAATCTTGGAAGCGCGGTAAGAGGGTGAGGATGCACGTGGAGTAGCCGCTGAGCTACCCTCAAGAGTGATGGTGCTGTGGTTTGGAGACGGTAAGCGTTCGAGCGGAAAAGTCGCACTACTTTTCCGATTCTTGTTACCACGAGTTGGCGTAGGTGCTTCGGGCCTGTTGTATGCGTATACAGATACAGTGGGTGTTGTGTCAACATCGGTGGTGCCTGTATCCAGCTCCTCCCTTCCCGATTGGGAAAAGCTGGAGACTGAGCTATCTCGAGGCTTTTTCGCATTGGCTAAGTTGCGGTTGGGAGTGCCCGTGTAGCATGAGGTAGCTCGTTTAGCTAATGGGCTACTCTCACGAGGTCCTCGCGAGCGAGAGCGACCTCCAAGAGAAGGGGTCAACGAGACTGTACTGCTATTACGGCTCACCTTAGGGATTGGAGGTAGTTGAGAAGTCGGTGGGGGGCTGTAGATCTTTGGAATATTGACAGGTGATGGAGCGAGTAGTCTTTCCACAATCATGATCTCCAAATCTGGCTCAAAAACATAGATAGATGGCCTGTCCAGTTGAAGTGCCTTCCAAATTCCGGCAATGAAGCTTGCTATCTCACTATCGTTTGCTGTGCATGGAAGCAAATGATTTGCTTCGGCAAATGATACAGCATTTTCTGTATCAGAAGCTTTGAGGCCTTGCTTGGCGGATTCCAGGTCCGCTAATGGCTTAGACTGATTCTTGTTCAATATCCGAAGAGACTCAGCTTGTGAGTGCCTCTGGCGGATACGAGATACCACCAAGTCGGCCACAATTGATGTAGAGTTTCTTCGGGAAATGCCTGCTGATGATTCTGAGGCACATGGTGGTTGATCATGAGTTCTGGAGTTGAGAACACCAGCAACCCTGAAGATATCCATTCCAAGCAACAAGCGAAGCGAAAGAACTGTTGCGAAGTGAATTGGAGTGAAACGGAGTATCAACAGCTGAATACGCTTATTTGATGCAAGGTAGGCCTCCAGCTGAGGAACTAGAAGAGCTGCTAAAACCTGAGGATCGGAAAGCGGATTGAAGGTGCCTTGGTTTGTGAAGGGTGTATCTTGGTAGTTCTGCAAGACGTTTGATATGAGGTATCTATATGATGTTAGTAAGTATTGTGCGCTTTGAAAAAAGAACTTAGTACGTTATGTCCAATTCCGAGCTTCTGCTAATGCCGTCCTTCCTTGCGTCAAGGTTCTCAATACGTCCCGATATCTGCCCAAGAAACTCTTCTGGTACCCCAGCTTCAGACCCCAAAGCAATGATCTGGTCAATTGTCTTACCCTTGCTATTGGGGTCACGGTCTTTCCTAAAAACTGGCTTCCACAATCGATCCGATTCAGGGGAAATAGCGAAATAATGTTGGCTAAAGCCATTGTCTCCGGCCGGAAAATGAACATTCAGCAATTTTCGCAAAGCATCTTGAAGAAGCAGCGGCGAAGTTAAATCTGCCGCAAAAAGCTCTACAAACCTTTCTGCCCGACCATTGGGTGGCGAAGCAATGATTTCGGGAGAAGGCTGAAAATCGGGCATCTGAACGCCACTGTCAGAACGACCAGTCTTGCGCGTTGGCCAGAGCTGTCTCGAGCATGACTGAGAAAAGTCATCATAATCATCTTCAAACTCGGGAATCTCGTCTTCAAACTCGACAGTAAAGATTGCATCTCCGTCACTATGGCTGTCTTTGGCACCCATACGATCGGTTGCATCGTGAATGGCGATGGATTTCAAGCTTACGGTGGACGAGGCTAACTTTGTGCTTGGAGGTAGTATTGGGTACGAACCATCCTTGTATGACCTGATGATTGAGTCTATAGTCTCATTGTGTTCGTTGACCTCGGTGTTGTTGAAATGAATGACCAAGTCCTCTTCAACTGGAAATATTGGCTCGTAGTCCAAATTACATATCCTCTTTGCGATCTTTTGCTTGACTGTATTTCTAGTGCACGGATCTGGTGTCTCGGAAACTTTGGATACCTGGATCAATTTAGGCGTTATGCTTCTGACTGATCCTGGGTACCTCTTTATCGTTGTCGTCGAGGCTTTGATAAATTTCTTTTTCGGGAGTGGTTGTGCCCCCCAGCCTTCAAGCATCGCAGCTGAAGTTCGTCTTGACTTGTTGGGCTCAATAGGTTCTGTCCATTTCATGGTAGCCAAGCTTTCTCCCCCAGACCTGGGGCTTTCTGTGCAAAATCTGTCCACAGAATGGACTCTTTTGAGTTGTTTTTCGGGAGTGACATCAACAAGACAAGCCTCGCCAAAGGTTACATCAATTGGACTTGCAAGAGGGGGGGATGAATCTTCTTTCTCGAGGTCGCCAGCATATAAGTGGCCTGACGGATAACGACTATCTCTTGCATTGAATGAATGGCGTCGTGCAATGACGCGACGCGATTTGGCTGTCATAGCAGCCATGAAGAATGGCTCATCTTTAAATGGCGAGCGTAAGGCCTCTGTCTCTGAAAGCGAATTTCGGTTGTTGCGTTTCGACCGTGTTAAGTAAGGCACTTCAGTTGACCCTCGAATGCTATTGTTTGATTGTGTCATGGAAGAGACGCCATCTGACCCTCGGTAGCTGCGGTTCGATTTTGAAAGGGGAGACACTTCATTCAAGGACACTCCGTCACCATTGACTGGGTCCAAATCGGATTCGACTCCATGTTGGCCCCTCGAGCCATGAACTTGAGTTTGCGAGATCGTACGTTTCAGAGAGCCTGCGGTTTCCGCGATTATTTTCTGTTCTTCAACACTTGCACCGCCTACGTTTCCGGGTCCGTCTTCCTCAGTTTCTTCGCCAATAGTGTCCTCCTCCTCGAACAAGCTTGCTAATCCGTATCGTGTGATCTTATTGAATATTTTCTCCGCTGCATGACTATCCCCATTGGTGATATGTTTTGATATTTCCAAGATACAGGTGGCACGCGCACACACGGTACCTCCATTCATAAAAGCCAATTTGGGATGCTTGTTTGTTGAAGATTCGAGAAAGGACCGTGCTGTATCGGTGTGCTTTTTGAGAGCTATGTGGACCTTGCGAATGAAAGCTCGGGCATTGAATGGCTGTTGAAGAGGCTCTTGCTCAATGGACTCAATTAACGAAGGTATGATCAAAATCTTCTTTGACGGCGGCAAAAGACGTAGCTGTGTCGATATAGTCTCAACGTCCCCTTCCAGTGCTACTAGACTTCCGCCGTGGTGTTTTGCTAAACTGTTTACCTCCATTTCAACATTTATGGACATTATCCCTTACTCCCTGGAATGTCGCTTAAAAGTGGAAATGGATTCAATGAGGACTGTGAAAAACGAGATACTGAAACAAAGGCAATAAAATATCAGAATAATAACAATGTTTTGTACGTGCTTTGAATGGCGAAATACGAATAAAATGACGAATGCAAGAAATCAAGGGGGGAGAGGGGGCTCCATTCTTTGGGTGAGTAGTCGCCAGGTCTAGCTAAGTCATGTAGAACATGGCGCAGATAGGCTAGCGACTATGGCTTTCGGGACTCTCAGGCAAGCCACTAATTCATAGACAGAAAAAGGACAATCTGGAACATGATGAGGAACTTTCCTTCTTCGGAAGTTCCTAGTTCCTGCAGGGACGTGGAGCGGAAGGTTGCAGCTGGGATATGTGATCGTAGTGATCCGACTATACAGCCACTGACATACTGAGTAGTTCAAATAACTGACGCCAGTGATATTAGGGTTTGTTAGATGAAGACTAAGAAGTAATAGAGTGCGTACGATCAAATGCTCAGCCGTGGCGCCGGATCGACGATTACCTTGGTGCTTGTGGATGCGGTATCTTGGCGCCCTTTTGTGATTGTGTGCATATTCATTATATGGCAATCCGTTCCTTATATTGAAATTCATTGGTCACATTGCTTTTAGGCAGTGGATCTGAGCCTCATTGGTTGAAATATGAACTTGTGTTTGTTTTTTCCGAGAAAGTCTTACATCGATATCCAACCAGTTAGATTGGATTATGTCCGTCTCTAGAGGGACCCCCCGCGGAGGCTAGCAAACGATTGGATTATCATGTCTTTGAAAGCTGTTGCGACGAACCATGGAATGGTTCTAATTTGGCGTGGGCGGATACTAGCATCATGAACGGCTCCGAGCGCGAGGAGCTGTCCCATATGAGGAAACTGAGGAAGGCAAGTGTAAAAAGTTGATGAGCATGTGCCATGATTTAAGAAGACAACCCGGGAGGGAGCAAACTCACCTAAGGTCCTCTGAATTGGGCTTGACGCGTAAAAAAAGTCAGATACTCAGATTTGCGATCGTAATCGGAACTGCAACCCATCACTGACCACAATGAAATAGAATTGAATCGGGGACCACTGCATCAAAAATTCAAGGGAATATCTTACTACGGAATATCGCATGGTTTCCACGTTCCGGGAACAAGCGAGGTTCGTGTCTTGGTAATACCGTGGACGTTTTAGAGCCCCATTCTGATCAACAATTTCCCGAGACACAGCCTTACTAGATTCTCAATCATCATCGGAGTCCATCAACTCGGCGAGTTCTGCTTCCTCCTCCTCAGTCATCAAACCTTTCTTTAGGACATTCTTTTCCTCCTTCACTTCGCGCTTTTGTTTCTCTTCTCTTTCTTTTCTAGCAATTTCCAGGGCAGCCTTTTGCAAGTCCCAACATCGGACCGTACCATCGATACTGATGCTGACAACCTGTTTCTCATTCAAGAGTACTAGACCTGTCACTTCCTCGTAGTGACCGTCATAGGTGTGCCACAATTTACCCGTTGCTCGGTTCCATACTTTTAGGTCCTCGTCTCGTCCAGCGGTCACAGCCCAGTCATTGGTAACGACCACTGCCCGTACGTAATCCCCATGAACATAGGTCTCTTCTGCGCTCCAGTTCCGTACTCTGGACAAGCACTTGGCACTTCCATCAGCACTTGCTGTCCATAGATCTGAGTCCTCGTCATCGCCCCAAAATGCGACTTTGTAAACACTTGTTTCGTGCTCAAGAATGGTATCCTTTGGTTGCTTGCCCTGAGTAGGTGTTGCATCAACAGTGTCAATAATTTGAGTACCAGATGACAAGTCCAACCGCCAACGCCTAATATGAGGGTCGCTGCTGGAGGATACCAAAATGATCTCAGAATCGCTGGATGATTCGGTATCGACAGCGAGGTCTTGAATCGCCATCATGCTATCGCTCTTGTCCCGGATCGTATATAAACGTTCAGCAGTAGTGGTATCCCAAACCATGATTTTGGCATCTGCACCGCCAGATATTAGACACTAGCCGCACCATTCATTAGCCAAGGAAATAGTGAAATCAGACGAGACTACTTACATCCTTGCCTTGGATTTTTGTACATATAACTGCCTTGACAAAGTCAGAATGGCCTTGGTATCTTGGACCAGCGGTTCTGCTATCCTTATCCCAGGTCCAGATATCTTTATCCCAACATCCTGCGAATAGAGTATTTCCTCCTCGACCTCCAATTGCAACGGATGTAACAGGAGCTGTTGGACCTCTGTAAACTGTCTTGGTGTCTCTAGACTGGAAACGATTAGTCTACCTCTTGTCTTAGTCTTGATAGTTCGCGTCCTACCTACTGCTATGTCGATTTTTCGCACACATCCAGCGCTCTCTGCAATGTAAATGCACGAAGTCGAGAAGGGGTCCACGATTGCGCTCAGGATCTTGGACTGGAGCACAATGGGGTTTCCATTTTTATTTCCAGATTTGGCAGCTCTCCTTGCTCTTGTGGCCTCTGAAGCATCAGTCTGGAAGAAATGACCTGGGTCTGTTGAACGAGACATTGCGAAGTGTAGCTGAAGCTGAAGCTGTCAAGACGTTGCTGTTTTGTGACTTGACTCCTATCTCAAGGTCCCTCTTGAACTCTGGTGGGGTAAGATGTTCATGGGTACTGAGACTGCAGGGGTCCGCGTAAAGTGCAAATCAGCCCCTGTCGCGCCAAACTGACGCGTCTTCCTCCAAACTTCTATTCAATTGATTGAACAACTTCAACAACTGATTTCTCAACCCACATTTCTGCCATTGACGACCAAAATGATGGCAACGACTACCCAGGTGCGAGTAAGAGGCCGACCTGCCCATACTCAAGGCCCGACATACCTTTCTTATACTCCAGATGGAACGAAATTGGTCACAGTGGGAGCGAACAACACTGCGCGCGTTTACAATACTGGATCCGATGGAGAGCCAAGTAATATCGATGACTGTCAGGATCAAAATATGGGAGTAGACTCAACTGTAAGTCAGGTGTTTCAGCTCTGCTGTGCTATACTAATAGATGTGTAGAATGAATTCATGATTGTTGGCTCTGAGGATGGAACGATCAGCAAGTACACTTTTAATACGATGAGCCTAGATGGAGGAATCACACGGGTTTCGCTTCCTGTTCGAGATATTTGCATAAGCAGCGATGGAAAATGGTGTGCCGTTGCCAGCGATGAGTTGGTAGTAAAAATCATCAATACGGAAAATCAGAGATCGGTCATGTACCTCCGAGAGCAGGAAAAGTCCGTCAAGCACCTGGCATTCGACCCAAGCGGCGAATACATCGCGCTTTCGTGCGCGGATGGCCTTGTGTATATTTACTCTCTCGCAAATGAGGCACCCGAACTTATTCGCAAGATTGACGGCCTTATTCGGACCCTCGAGACAGATAGCGAGATCAGTTCCAAGGTAGTTTGGCATCCGGATGGACGAGCCTTTGCTGCCCCTACAGCAACGAGGGACATACAGGTTATGTCAAGAGGGGATTGGGAAAAGCAGAGAACGTTTTCCAATGGACATACTAGCGATATCACGACATTAGCCTGGTCACCGAATGGAGCTATGATGGCCTCTGCTGGAAAGGATGGAAAGATTCTCTTGTGGGATACCAAAACCCAAAAGATTATTGCCAATTATGACTACCCGAATGTTATGGATATGTCATGGCATCCAGTCAAAAACCTATTTTCCTTCACGAATACTGAGGGGCAGGTGTTCATTTTCAATGATTTTGTGCCCGCGGAACATGCTCATCTTCTAAGATTAGGCCTACAGCCCGCCCCGTTTATCCATGATCCACTGAAAGAGATATCAGGAAATGCTCGCCGACCAGCTGCAAATGTGACCAAGCTTCCACAGCGAGGTGTTCGCCAGGGCTCGGTGGATAGTTTGGCAGATATACTCGGACCCGATCTTCTAGGAGAAGATGATGACTTTGTCGTTGATGACGACGGCGCAGGCTATGCATTGGGTTTGAATAAAAATGGAAAGAGACCAAATGATGACACTGATCCTTTCTCTGGCCAACTATCAAAACGAACTGCCCTCGGTACATTTAGCCCACAAATCCACCAAGCATTCCAGCCTGGATCTACACCATGGAGAGGCGACCGGAAATATCTGTGTCTGAATCTAGTAGGATTTGTCTGGACCCAGGACCAAGATACACACAACACAGTGACGGTAGAATTCTACGATACAGAATATTACCGTAACTTCCACTTTACCGACAATTATCTCTATGACAAAGCGTGCCTCAACGAAAATGGTACACTTTTTGCCTGCAAAGCCGAGCCAAAGACACCGGCAGTCATCTTCTACCGTCCACACGAAACCTGGACAGCAAGAACGGATTGGCGAACAGAATTACCCCAGGGAGAGGATGTCACCAGTATTTCCTTGAGCGACTCGTTCGTCACTGTGACTACAAGTACGAATTATGTCAGAATATATACTCTGTTTGGTATCCCGTATAAAGTTTATCGACAGAAGAGTTCTCCCACTGTCTCCTGCGCTAGCTGGCGAGATTATGTTCTCACCCTCGGAAACGGACCAGTTGGCGCAGACGGAAGCACCAAGGTTCTGTACACGATACAAAACATCAAAAGAGACGAAATATGTCAAAGTGAAGACGTCGTAGCCCTTTCAGACGGGGAAACCGTCAAGAGTGTTTTCTTCTCCGATAAAGGCGTAAGTCACCTTCAAAACTCCAAATGTCATTGAAATACTAACACTATCCAGGATCCATGTATCTACGACTCAACAGGCACCCTCCTCACCCTCCTCCACTGGCGCACCCCCTCCCAAGCAATCTGGGTGCCCCTCCTCGACACCAAGCTCCTCTCGCGTCTCGCGTCAGGCAAAAAACAAGAATCCTACTTCCCCGTCGCCGTAGCCGACAACAAATTCCACTGCATAATCCTCAAAGGCGCCGACCAATACCCCTACTGGCCACGTCCCCTCCTCTCCGAATTCGACTTCGAAATCCCCATCTCGTCCAAACCCAAGCCGAAAGACGACTCAGACGACGTCGAGAGCGAAGGCAACGAAGCACAGAAATTGGAGGCGCAATTCGTACTAAGTAGTCTACTTGCAGCGCAACATCAGGATCTACTAGATAATACCGCGAGCTCGGCAGCGCAGAGGAGTGTGCTCTCGAAGATGGAATTCGAGATTGATAAGACGCTCCTGCAGATGCTGGCTAATGAGTGTATGGAGGGCGAAGAGAGGGGGATGCGAGCCCTGGAAATGGTCTCGTTGTTGCGAGATCGCACGGGTAAGATGATCATTGCTGCTGGGAAGGTGGCTGAGCGGTATGGACGGACGGTGTTGGGAGAGAAGATTCGAGATCTGGGGGAGCAGAGGATCATGTCTATGGATGAGGATGAGGACTGAGGAGGACCTTTGGGTTGAGGATTGAAAAGTACTTTGGGTTGAGGACTGACTGCACGATATTGGAGTTTTGTGGCTTGTGGCGTTTTCCACCCCTGGATAGGGGATTTGTTGATGGACATATGACAGGATGATTGGTAATGAATTTATGTTGTATATTGTGCTGTATCTGATATGGTCCGGTTCCGGGGTTTCAGTCAAATCTTAAAGTACTACTTGGTCACAACATAACTGATATCTGGTGGTATTGTAGCTACCATCAGAACTTTAATGATCCATACTTATGAACAAATTACCTCGTCATACACAGGTACACCCAGCTACAATGCACCACTCATCCACTCATCCACCCCCTCACAAACTCACTATCAAAGACATGCATTAAGAATTCTTAAAATATTGATAGAATAACTCCATTCCCAAAGTTCATTAGACATTAAGCAATGATCCCCATGCAACTCTCATCACACCCCTCTACAACAACCACCATCCAACCACCACTCTTCACACTACCTAGCAATCATGGGTATACTGCTTAAAAAAAATAACAAACCTAGCCAACGAACCATCATCCACAGGCCATTCATCTATCTACTTCGCATCTCCACATACTTATCCTGGCACTAACACCTTCGCTTAAGAGGAGCCAAAGAATCCACCAAAGAAGCTACTTCGCTTGGCATGTTTCTTGGATGTTGATCCATCGGATGATGATGTCTTCTTGCTATCGGCTGAGGCCTCCTTTACGAGCTTTGAGTCTTCGGAGACCTTGCTGGATTGAGGGGTGATGGCATCGTCAGCTTTGGCTGTCTCGACCGCGGGGGTGTCCTTTGCAACGGGCTCAGTGATTGCGGGAACGACTGGCTCCTTTGCCTCAACAACTGGTGCGACCGAAGGTGCAGGTGTGCTTTCAGCCGCGAGTTTTTGAGCGAGAGCCTCGGTGAGCTTGTCGATTGCTGCTTGCATTGTCTCGAATTCTGTAGCTTGTTAACGGGGCATCTTTTGGAGATAGATTCGAGGGGGGCATACTTTGGTGGAGCTCCTCGAGCTTTGCTGCGCTGGCAACGTCAACCTTCTCAGCAACTGGCTCAGGTGCCACCTTCACTGGAGCAGGTTTGGCGCTGGCGAGGATAGCTTCGTGAATTGTATCTATCTCTGCAAGTGGTATTAGTCAAATCCCGTTTTCATGATTGTGGGTGTACATACTCTGGTGAACATGGACAAATCCCTCATCGGACTTTGGCTTGATTGCGAGAGTCTCCTGCATCTTATCGAGTTCTATTATCCATAGAGTAAGTAATAGTTCTATGATAATTTGTTGGAGTAGAATACATACTGGCATGGAGATCCGCAAGATTAATTTGTGTGATCTTCTCAATGGCCTTCTCGGCTTGCAGAGCAGCTAACTTCGCGGACTCGGAGTGTGAAAGGACAAGGGCATCAATTTCTGTTCAATGTAAGTATTGGCCATTTATTGGGACGTATTGCACTCACTAAGGTGGATCTTTTCTACTAAATCTGGAGTCACTACATCCGGGGTTGGTTCGACGACGGCGGCCTTGGCGGTAGCATCTGAAGCAATCAAGCTATCGAGTTCTGCAAGAATTGAAGGTTAGCTAATTAGCTTTCATGTTTATGAAAGTACAATTGTTTCCTCGAGGGGGTATGATTGAGGGAATAATGAAAATGTAAAACCCCCTCTTCAGATGATTTTGGAATGCTCGGGTGCAATTGCCCAAACATATTGGGATTTTAACAAGAACGACGGAGACTTACTTTGGTGGATTTGTGTCAAACTCTCCTGATGAGCAACGGAAAGGGCATCCGGCTTTTGAACAGGCTCATCAGGCACTGAAACCTGCTCAATTACCTTCTCGATTTCCTTCTCCAATTTCTCAGCTACTTCAACACCAGATTTGACTTCAGGCTCGGGAGCAGTCTCCTCCTTGGTAGCTTCCTCTTTGGATCCTGGGACCTTTTCCTCTTGTGTCGTAGCCTTTTCTGTGCTGCCAATTGTGATAGTCCCATCCTCATCGATCTTTACAGGCGAGGGTTTTGTTGGACTACTCGCAGGAACGGGCTCGTCCTCTTTCTTGACAGGATCGCTAGACTCGACTACTAGCTCCTCGACCTTTGGCGAATCCTTTGATACTGGCTCAGGTGCTGCAACAGCTGGTTCTTCGGTGTTTGGTGCTGCCTCCTTCTTCTCAACCTCAGCCTATTAAAAATCAGTCACATTTTTTCTTATGAAAAATTTCACCATTCTTGATTTCATGTGGGGTCATTAAGAAAGTCTTACTGGTGAAGCTTTTGGTGCTTCCTCCTTTGGAGTTTCAACTGCTAGGGAAACTTCAGGTTCAGGGGCCTTGGCTGCCTTCTTCTTCTTGTTCTTCTTTGAGGGAGACTCCTTGGGTGATTCTGGGGTAGGCTTCTGTTCCTCAACGGCTTTGGATTCGGTGATATCCTCTTTGGGAACCTCCTTCACCTCAGCTGCCTTTACTTCCGGAGTTTCTGCTTCCACCTTCAAGTCCTTTGGTGAGTCGACGGCCTCAACAGGCTTCGCAATGACGTCAGTCATATTGATGGGAATTGTACAGATTGATTAGTGCTCGAAAATACTTCAGAGAATGCTTGTACGTAGTAGCTAGTAGCTATCAAAAGAAGCAAAGCGCAGAGACGTACGAAAGGATGGATCAGAGAGGGAGTTGTTGATGGTAAACAACAACAAGTGAAGTCAATAAAAAAATTGATAGCCCGCGGTAGTCAACCTACTCAAGTACGCAAGACAGGAGATGATGCCCCAGTTGGGGAGATAGAGAAAAGCTAATCAAGGAACGTGCCACCAGCTAAGTGGGGTGTTCGTACCACTTGGGGGGGTTCTCGGGGATCAATCTCTTTTGTGTCCAGGGTGGATGCCCGTCTTGCCTTTGGATATGGCAGAGCTGGGAGTTGACTGCTTTTTTGTGGTTGCGCTGGCGGCCGCAGTCTGGTCTGCGAGGAGAAATAAGAAATGAAGCCGCAGCTGACAATCAAGATGGAGCGATCGTGAAGGCGGGGGCGAATCAAAGCTATGGCTGGTGTTGATGTTTTGCTCTGGATATGGACAGGGCAAAATGCACATTCTGCAGGGTCTTGGAGATCAACCAATAGAGGCAGGTCGGCACGACTCAACCCTGGTCATGGAAAGATTTTATCTGTGATCGGGGAGGTGCACGTGATGGAAATGGGGGGGTCCAAATTGACTTCACTGGGGTCCCACGGCCACACTCATCAACCAACATTTTGGAAATGATAAATATCAGACCTCAAATTTATAACTTGGCACTCGTACTTGAGCTCCGGGCGCCAGCAACTGGATTTCCAATTCGAATAGCCGTATATAAGCAACACGCTAGATTTGAGTCTTCTTTATATCAAAATATGACTTGACCAACAAAAAGGAATCATCACTCTACTTAAAAGTTTCTACCACATCGAAATCCTTCTTTTTTGACCAGGTTGGACATGCAGTGATAGCTTCAAGATCAACACCCACCGCCTTTTGTGCTGAGTATAAGTTTATCTAAACATATGCAAGATTCAAGTCAATGCAAGTGTTCAACCAAAGCGAACCAGAAAAGTGAGGCGCCCTTGGCTCAAAGCTCCTCCCCCTCCAAGTCACCTTGGCCTGCGTGAATTAGGTGACTAGTCTCTTCGGCATCTTCGCTCTCCAGATATCAATCCACTTTTGAAGTTTGAACCTCACAGGACTCTTTGAGAGAGGGAGGATTCATAGGCTATTGTCCATGTCATGGGGTATAACGTCTGTCGCTACCACACCCTTGGATAATGGATTCTCAATGTATATCAAAGTTGATAAAGAATCTACCGAAATCTTGGGCCCTAGGTCAAAAGGCTTCCACGGCATCCCTGTGGATGGTAGTGAGGCTGTGTTGGATCTTTTGTGCGTCACTCGCCTAATATTTACAACAGCAGTTCTCTAACATTTGCTTCGCCTCACTACTACAAAGTATCTTAATCAGTGTAAGAAACTCATCGCAAGAGACTTTGACTTTCAGTTGCCTGCATCCATGCAGAGTTTATCAGTAAAGGTTTAGTCAAAACCAACAATTCAACACTTTAGTTCTCCAGTTTTTCTCGCTCACTATCAAGTATAGATGTGTACAAAGTAGCGACCACGTCTCCAGTTCCAAATTTGAAGGCCATAGACTATTGAGAAATCGCAGAAGTAAGCACCCTTGAATCGTTCACATTGGCTACAATTTACGAATCCATCTACATCAAATATGTCTTCATTAGATGTGTGAGAGCCATAGCTTATGGCAAGGCCTCTCATAATGAAAATTTGGGTAACACTTTGTAGGCTTTTAGAAAAGTATTCGTGGTTTAGTGATATATACCCATATATTGTGTTTAATTTATCCTTCCTAGACAATCTCTTCAATACAGTTTTCAGCCGTCCACAACACTCTCCACTAATGCCAGTAGCACCCTCTCAACCACCTATCAGGCTCAATGTAAATAAAAGCAAAGTCTTAATTTTCAACGCGGTCTCTCAGCAGAATTCGCACCGTCTACCCATGCATAATCACCTCCTATGTCTTGTTCGTGCTATTAAGTACTATATGTGACATCCCAGATACAGCTTGACAAGCACAGTGTAGAAGCTCGCTGTTCTAGTATTTACACCCAGAGTCATGAGAGTTGTGAAACATTTTACTCCAACGACATGGTAAAGCTTCGAACCAGCGATCACAGAAGCTTGAATGTTTGGCACGATTGAGTGATTCTCAAAGCCCAACATTATGCGAGCGCTAGAGAACACATACTGTTTCTTAACTGGTAAACTTTCAAGGATGTAGGTACACTGTTCCTAGCTACGCGGATCTATTCTTTGGTCGTTTGTCGGCTGCCATTTGTAAGATTACACCTTTTTTCATATCTCTCGCTCTGCCAAGCCATTCATTGCAATATCAGCTCTTCCCAAGCTGGAGGGTACAAATCTCCTCCGGATATTTGGCAATCGCGTAATTTTTCCAGAACATTATTTGCCACATCCACCAAAACTGGTCAATTCCTGAAACTGAGCGCAGTATTCACGAGAGTTGCGCATGCGGAATCGAATTATCGTCCTGTAAACAGCCCAGACTCAATATCAATACTGCCATTCTGCAAGTAAATTCAAAAGGAAGAAAGTGCTAGTGGAAGACTTATATCATTAATCGTTCCAAGATTCGAGCGCGCGCGCCTCATCCTATAATAGCATCGTCGTCTGAGATATCATCTAAATATATGTCTTTCATTTTCTCTATGTCAACGTAATCATCAACCGGGATACCATTTTCTCGTTCCGAATATGCTGAACTAAGAGTATTCCTCCAGATTCAAGACCAATGAGCATTTACTCAGCGCTCTCACATAATTATCTCCTTGCGCCGGCCCTCGTCAATTTCCTCATAAGCTGAACGACAATTATCCGTGTTCCTCATTCCATCTCAGGAACTTTCTACGTTGGATCTGTAACTCTGGTGGGATTCTGGGCTCAAAGTCTACAATGGCAATAATAGCTGTTTCGTGCGCGAGAATGGCTTTCGTCAGTGGCCTCATGAGATAAGCTCTATCCATTCCCTCATCGACGAGTGTAAAGATGTTGTTGACGGCGGTCGCTAAGGTAACATTTCGGGCAAACCAAATATCGTCCACTGCATTGGTTCTTATAAGAAATTCCTCAGCCCAATTCGCTACTTCTCTTTCCGCTGGAGAGAGGTTCGCGAGTTGCGTTCTCCATTCCGCCCGTCAGCCCCGATGATTCCTCTGTCAATAGGGCCTTGAATCTCGGTTCCATGTGCATTTAACACGAGCTGGAGTCATGAATATATCTATTTAGTCGAAGCAACATCCAATATTGATTTGATCCCGAACCTTCGAATTCCAAATTCCTAGCATGCAGAAAAGATTAGTGAAACACTCGCTATTATCTCCACGGCAACGAACCCAAAACGGGTCCTGTCGGAGCTGCTACAATATATATACTGTAGGAAATCTGAACTCTTTTCTTTCCTCTCGGAAAGAGGTGGCTTCTTGAGTTACGTATGAGTTGATTTCTATAAGTGGCTGGTTGCCAGTCTGTAAGCAAGACAAGGAAATGTAATCTTACCATTAACAAGGGCGAAAAATCAACTAATATGGGTCGAAACAAGAATATCACAGATAACGAAGTGGATAGACTGATGATTGTCCAGGAGACATGAGACTCCGGTAAGATATTCAATGGCTCATCTCCTATTGATAACATCAAAGAGCAGGCCGAGCAGCAAACTCAATCGTTCTCCCATAAACTCCTCTAAACACCCTGAAAAGAAAAGAAGAAACAAATCTTGCCCAACTGCCTTGAAAATGTACAGATATCCACCCACGCCTTGCCAATTTTTTGCTTTTTCGTTCTTCTCTCAAATTTCAATCTGTGCTCTCAGGATCGTTATATTCAGAAGACTTCTGGTCTGGCTGGTGCTTTTTCAGAAAGATGGGTGTGGTCGATTTGATGGGAGACATAGAGTAATGTAAGGTTACTGCCATGAAATCTCATATTTCAATACCAGCCACCCTTCTCCCCAACCCGGAAAACAAAGAAAGAACCTCCATCGAGGCCCTATCTTCCACTCTCTAATTTCCGTAACCCATCAACTTGGTGATGTCATCCAACAGCTCTTGCAATTCCTCGTCACTGATCTTATCCTGGAGACTCGGAATAAGAGTTTTTGCTTCCTCGGCAGTATCGCAACATAACGACCCTATTTCCAAGTGTCAGAATTTACCTGATATAAAAGTATAATTCAAGAAAGCTGAAAGCTCAACAAGAAAAGTAGAAAAGAGCAAGAGCAAGATTTACCTAATTGTGCTCGCTCGAACTTGGCTAACTTGTTATCCTTTGCAGACAACAGTCTCTCCACGGCTTCGACGTTTTCCTTTTTTCTGAAACGCGCAAAGTGCTCTAGGTATTGTGTGGTCTTTTGCAGGATTCTATGTAGAAGAAGGTTAGTAAATGATATTTCCAAATGTCCTTTAACCCTCAAAATATGGGGATAGCAAAAGAACCGCAATGCAATAGAGAGTCGGAAACAAGCGCGCTTTATCTACGCAGCATCCAATCCTCTTGCGTCTAAGAAGAAAGACCACACCCCCCAAAATATCAATACCAGCTACCCCTCCATGCGCGAACCACATAGCCCAACCCATCCTTTAGAGTTCTTACTCTTCTCTCCAGCCCATAATTTCCATACCCATCCCATCACATTCTGACCTGGGTTCCCAGAGACGAATATCAAAAGCAACCGCAAAAACTTACTCAGTCTCATTAACATTCTTTCTATCAGCCTTTCTCTTCGTAACCAGCGCATTAATAACCAAAGCAGCCTCGCTATGCGTCAATGTATCCGCATTCTGAAACTCTCCCAATCGCAACTCGCTCGCAGCTTCCTCGTCGCCTTGGGGCGCCTCGCGCGATCGGGAGGTCGGTGCTGGGGTAGCCATAGTCTTTGCGCTAGATCTGAGATGAGGATAGAGAGAGTAGTTGCGTGACTTCAGATTGGCTTTGGGAATGAATGGAACAACTGTGTGATAACAGTTTGGGGTGGTCGGTTGTCTGTGAGCAGTGAAGGAGGAGTTGTGGTGGGGGTGTCGTGTGAAAGAAAGGAAGCTTTGAAGCTCCTGCTCCTCCCAAAAGCTTCCCTTTCCGCAGCCTCGTCAAAATCCGGGGAACCTCACCACCTCCTCCAATCCAAACAACAAATGCGCCTACCATTCTCACATTCACAACAACTTCCCAATTGATAACTCAATAAAGCCAACTTCTTTGGTTCTCACCCCTCCAGCTCTAGGCCAATAAACAATACTCATTGACTCGAAATCCCAGCACAAAACAAGATGTACGTTTCCATCTTCCAAAGCTAGCAACAAACAAAGACTAACACCACTCAAACAATAGGGTTGTCTACGCCCTAATAATCATCAACAAAGCCGGAGGTCTAGTCTACCAACGCGACTTCGCAGAAGGTCTCAACAAACTAAGCATAAACGACTACCTCGTCCTCGCAGGGACCTTCCACGGGTACCTACCTAACTCCCCCCTCCCTTCCTCCTCACCCCCCTCATTCTCTCACTAACACACATCACAGCATCCACGCCATCTCCACACGCCTCAACCCCCTCCTCCCCAACGACACCCCCTCCACAACCTCCCGTCCACTCCCACCCTCCGGCATCGAAGTCCTAGAAACCGAGAACTTCCGCCTCCAATGCTTCCAAACGCTCACGGGGACGAAATTCCTCCTCTTCACGGAGCCGCAACAGCCGAATATCGAGAATATTATGGGCATGATATATGGGCTGTATGCGGATTATGTGATGAAGAATCCGTTTTATAGCTTGGAGATGCCGGTGAGGTGTGAGGGGTGGGAGAGGAGGCTTGTGAGGGAGGTGAGGGCGGTGAATAGTCGGTGAGGAGTAGGTATTATAGGAGGATGGGAAGATGATTGATGATTCAATGGGTTAGAGGGATTATGAGGGTTGGGCGTTGGGGATTGGATTATGAGAATCGAGAGCTGGATAGCTCTTGGATCAGGCAGACGCTAGCTACAGGCCGGAGCGGCTTGATAGCCTACTTCTACTCGGACACCAAGAACATAAGAGGATGGGAGAGACAAGAAGATACTGTGGTATGATAACAGGATGGGTAATTCCAGATTTGGCGGGGAAAGCATCCAAGAAAGGTCAGAACTTGCACTTACAGCAAGGAGCAAGTAGAAGAACTAGACAGAAGCAATGACTTCAGAGCACAAGGTCTCATATGAGAATAAAGTCCTTAGCCCTTGACTTCATCGTGGCAATATCTATTGGTACATCCCAACGCCATACGCAATGCAATACTCCTTCCATCTACGCAGTATCCATTTTGTCATCACCATCCTTGTCTTTCGATCCACTAGCCTCCCCATCCTTATTCAATAATGGTTGTGAAGCCTCATCTTCTTCCTTGATTTCTGGTAATGCAGCCTTAGCCTCTGCTTCTGCCTTGTCCTTATTCTGTTTCTCAACTCTCGCCTTCTCTTCTTCCATCGACATGCGTAATGCCAGAGCCAGTTCGGGGTCCACACTTGGATCGATGCCAAACTCAAAAGCGCCAGAGTCACCGCCTTCAGCGGCACCTCCCATTCCACCTGGTGCTGCAGATCCATCACCATTCAGTATCGGGCTTGTTACCAGTTGATCGCTCAAAAGTCCAGGCCCGGGTGGGATAATAGCCAGATGTGATCCCTCACTACTCTTGACAGTCTCGTGGAAAAGAGTTAATTTCTTGGTTGTGCCGTCGTCCAACTCTCCAAATGCCACAAAGTCGATGTTCACTCCAATCTTCTTCATTTTCTTGGCCAAGTTCTTGAGAGTTTTATCGTCCTCCGGTATAGCGCTGCAGGTAAAGACGATGATTCGCTGCTTCTGTGCTTTGTTTTGTCGATGTTTGAGTGCCAACTGCAATAAATTAGTATACCTCTGGCACAACCATTCTCAACCTCAATATAGAGAAGTCACTCACACCCGCGATCTGAATACCCGTAGCCAAATGAGTCTCCCCTCTAATCTTCGTCTTCGTGCGATGTAATCCCTCCAATATCTTTCCATGGTCTGTTGTCAAAGTGACGAGAACCTCCGGACCCTTGCCTCCCATGCTCATCAGCCCTACCGATGATTCGGGATTGCCTTGTGTGATTGCGGAGAAGATGAGGGATACGGCATCGGATTGGGCTTCGAATCGTGTGGGTGTGTAGTCTCCGTTTCGACTGCTTTCGCTGTTGTCCACCACTATCATTACTGCTTCGAGACCCATGTTGTTTGCAGTGCCTCGGAACGAAGTTTTATTGGGGAGTCAGTTAGGTAGAGTATTGCGAGAGGCTGAATGGAGGGATAAGATGTGCGGGTGGTGAGTTTGGTGAGCTTGTAAAGTGCTTGAGGTTGTTGTTGCGAGTCTGCAGGTGTATTCCAGGTAGCTGCGCATGCGAAGCTCTGGTGGTCAAAGCGCCCTGTTCTTGCTGAAGGCTGCGGTGATCGGAGCATCAATGCAAGTAACCGCCAGAACGACTTTACAATACTTGAAAGGCCCATTCACCATTCACTTTGATTGTTCTTAGCTCATGTATTCATACCTAATTGCAATTCTCTCTCAAGTTTTACAACTACTTCTTCCTATCTTCTTCTTCTTTAGCCAGATTTGTCCCTCTCTTCTACATTTTTACCGCCTTACTTCTTACTTTCTCTCCATTCCTTGCTTTGCCCACTGCTCTGCACAGTACAACCATAAAAACCTCTTAATAGTAGAACTCCAGGGAGTGTTGAGTTGCTGTCAAGAAAACCGCACCGCAGTTCGTTACAACAAATATGTGCATTCTATTCGCGAAATTTAAATACCCCAAACGTAAAGAAAAAGAATACATAGAGCACTGAGATACGTTGGGCAAAGGAAGCTTACATTGCTTACCTATCATGTATAATTTATAAGTTGCAAATTTACAGTAGTGTTGAAAGCAAGGACAAGCTGAAATAAGTCGCTCAGCTTGTCGAAAGGTTGAAGTACCGGAACTTGATAAACCAACTTTCCTCTCCTTTTCTTCGGTCTCATTTCAAGTCTTGAAGTCTTGCTTTGTTCATATCTATATACAAAAGATGTGTGAAAAGAGATATCTCAAGTGAATTCGACTTGACTGTACACCTGCAGTATGTAAACACTCGCTTGGCCAAGCCAGGGGCAACATTTCCTGCACAAACCCCTTGGCGGCGCCATTCTGCCCCGCCATCAACTCCCCTCCATCGACCTCATACAAACTACCTACACACCCCAACTTTTCTCCCAAAAACAACCACCAAACCCAAAAACACAAAGTAAAGATGGCAGATACCGCAGCTACAGATGCGCCCACAGAGCCCCAATCCAGAATTGTCACATATTGCGGAGGTACGTTCACTTTACTCTTTCACAACCGAAGGAATGACCCCGCCATCGAGTCTGGCTAACTTGTTTGTTTTGCGCAGTATGCTCGTTACCACTAGAGGTATGCCAAACCACCCGCGATTTTGGAGGATTTGAGAGGGGGATATGTGGGAGTTAATATATACTAAATGTGAGGGGGTAGTACTGTGAATTCGGCGGTACCGTAAAGAAATGTCAAGAATGGCTCGAGAAGACAGACGAGGACATGTACGAGAGATTATGGTCCGAAGGTCCGTTCCCTCTCCAACCCACGACCTAAACCTCTCTCTAAAGATCCATCCAGATGCCTTAGCAGCAGCAACCTCCACCCTCTCCGTCGACGCCCGCAAACGCGCCGAAAAAGACGCCCACAAGAAAGCCCTCAAAGCCGAAGCGCTCGAAGCCAAACAAGCGCAAACCATCTCCGCCTCCAAGGTCACCATCAAACGCATCGAGCGCAACAAGCGGAAATACGTCACGGCCGTCTCGGGCCTCGAAGCGTTCGGGCTGGAAAATAAGAAGGTGGCTAAGGAGTTCGGCAAGAAGTTTGCGACGGGGAGTAGTGTGTCGAAGGTGCCGAGTGGCGGCGAGGAAATCGTGGTCCAGGGTGATGTTAGTGAGGAGATTGAGGAGTTTTTGTTGGAGAAGTATCCCCTGATTCCGGAGGATAATATTGAGTTGGTGGAGGATAAGAAGAAGAAGAAGGATACGGGGGCGGGTGGTTAGGTTTCGGGGGTAGGTGGGGTGGTTGGTAGGGTAGTTGGGTATTGAGATCTCCCTTTTTTCGGCGTGTAGACCAGCGAATGTGGAAATGCATGAAATACCAGTGTACTCAGATTCTTTTGCTTTCCATATTTTACATGGACAGAAAACGAAGTATGTTTCCTGGCTACTTGTGATATATTAGAATGAGATGGTTCATTGCAGCAATTCCTATGGTTTTCATTCAAACTCTTTTTGGTTCACCCACGAGGTGGAGATTGCCTCACTTGTGGATATTTTGAAGCAAGGACAGACTTTCTGAGAATATTATCAAATACTATTCTCCATGATACACTTTCCAGAATTACTCCTTGTAGTAAAGTAAAGCCTCACAAGAATAATCTATCAAGCGTATCAAACATATCTCCACCTCCATGCTCATAAAACTCAACTACAATAACCAAGCCTAACTCTTCACGCATCTTAACCAAAACATTCCAAACTCACACACAAAACCAGAATACAATACCAAAAAACAAACCACAAGTTCCAGACCAGACCCAAAGAAAGACAGGAACAAAGATCATACAGTAAATGCTATTAGCACATGAAGTATCACCATCCAACCCAACTTGCCTCACAACACTCCATGATTACCGAGACATACTCCAGTAGCAGACCACAAAAGAACATTCCACAATCCATCTTCAGAAAACCAACATCCACACAACAATCAATAACCAGCCCCACCATCTACATGAGTGTAGCTTGGAAACAGAATCATTACAGGGCTACTTACTGTACTAGGATCAGATACTGTGTCTAATGAGCAGGTAACAATACCGAGGTCTGATATTCCAGGTTGGAGGGTGATCTCTCTACTACCTAGGTAATGTGATAGTTCTTAGCGCAGCTTTGAGAAACTTTGGTGTGACGCTGGAGAAGTACTTTATGATGAATTCTCAGTCATGCTAATCAATCAATCCAATTGCTTGACTTCCACGCGAGAAAATGGGTATTGACGATATTCTAAAACCCCATACAACCCCAAAGTACCCAGTCCTTTATGGTGTACTATCCCAAACTCCGCCCCATACCCCATGGGAAATGTAACTTTAATGCATTTCCAAACTCCAAAAAGCAACCCTCCCAGATTATTAATAACCACATTCAATCACCTGCAATGCCAATCAATCAATTCCTCTTTCGCAAAACTCGTGTAGCTGTACCACCCGCCTTCGGTGCAGGCGCTGCTGCTGCCTTCTTGGCTGCTCCCATTCCTCTAATAGTACCCATAACGGTTCTCTTGGCGGCGGGTTCCTTCTTTGCGACAGGCTTGCGTACAACAGTGCCATTGCTAGTATCACTAGAATCACTGACAGTACGAGGTCTGCCTCGTGTAGAACGAGCAGCTGGTGCTGCAGCAGGTGCTGGTGTTTTTCTTCCTCTAATGGTTCCAGTAGCTTGTTTTGCTTCAGCTGCCTTTTTGGTTTCGGCTTTCTTGGTCTCTGCCTTCTTTGGTCCAGTTGCCTTTCGAACTGCTGCTGCTCCTCGAGTGGCCTTTGCTTTCTCAACCATATTTGTGAGAATTCCAGCTGCGCCTCCAGATGCTGCTGACGCCGATGACTTAAGTGGTGAAACTGGTCGGCTTGGGACTGGCTTCGATTGAGCTGCATTGCGAGTTTGTGTAAGTTGGTATGATCGGGAGTTGGCTGATCTTGGAGAGAGGACTTGAGATGGCTGGACCGTTTCGCGGGAAATAGGACGGCCTGCTGGGTTAGGTGCGCGAGCGCGCTTCTTGGGATATTCAATTTCCTGGTTTTCTTGGTTCTCCTTATCAATTGACATTTCATCACTGGACAGGTTAGCATTGATTGCGCAAGAATTATTGTAAACCATACCTCTTGCGCTTCTTTGGGCGTGGTGATGGGCTAACTCGTGTCTTTTCACGGATATCCTCGACACGGTTCTTTGCTGGCGAACCTGCAATACTCTTCTGCTTCAGGGCCAGATGTTGCGCAGCCAGCTCTCCTATGTTCATATTTCTCATTGCGACGGGAATTCGATTGATTCGTATTTCGAGGCGCGCTCGCATAGTTTGCGCTTGCAAGGCATATTGTGCGCGAAGCTTCCTGGCGCGTTCAGTGACTGTTGATATGTTAGTAAACAGACAAGTCAGGCGACAAATCGATTTTCTGACCTTCGAGTTGTAGATTCTCAATGATTGCACGTTTTTGATTTTCGGTCAGGCCCTTTGCGACGCGTTGTGTTATGATGGGACTACGTGTTGGAGTTCGCGCCTCCTTAAATTGGACTGCAGTTGGTGCCATTGCTGCTTAATGGACTTTGGGATATCGTGGTTGTGTTTGTGTACTGATTGAGAATAGTATTTGTTTGGCTCGGTCGATGTTGAGTGATTCTTGACGTGATTTGATGTTTTCTTATCGAAGTTATCGTTTGATGGTTGCGATGCGATGGAAAGGAACATGGAAGTTGGCTGGCCGGAACTGTAAAGTAAACAAGCAGTGGGGTTAGCGCATGACTCATGTTATCACGTGACTGCCCCGACCTAGGTAGCACGGGTAGATAGGTAGGTGGTAACCACAGGTACCTCCCTGCCTCTCTCAATACCATTCCCGTGTGTTTACTCGAGTATCACCCACGGTTCAATAAATGTCTTACAGTTCTCAGCTTCTTTTCATATTATTAATTCTCAGAGAGGGAAGAGAACAATAAGCCGTGATACTTGTTGACCTCAACTTACCCATAATATACAGTGGAGGTAGCTCCAGTTTGTATGAGCTTTAAAGCGAGATCCATACTTTTAGAGAATTGGAATCGATGAACCATTAGGTTATGGTAATGGAGAAGCCAATTACGAGAAAGACGTGATGGTCGAAACTCAATTGTGGGGTACAACGCCCTCACATCATTAGGCACCCATACCTATTAGAATCCCAAAACTTGAGGGAAAAGACAGGTTCTACATTCGGGGAATGTAGATATTACCATACGATCTATTTGTTTCTACTATGAGTTAGTCTATATCTCCCCTCATTCTCGAAGTACTTTTCTCAAAGAATATCGGTAGGTGAAGCTCACAAGTATGGGTATTGATACTTCATTCCTTTCCATGTTATTCTCTGGCTTAAGTTATATATCACTAGTTCAAAATAATTTCACGTACTCGCTAATCAGTCGTTGTGTCCCGCTAAAACCATACCGCTATCTTTTCCAAATCCTTATGTCCAGACTCCCTTTTCCTGAAAAGCAAATATCCATAAATTACACTACGTAGAAACCTTTGGCAAATTATAACAAGAGCAATCAAAAACTATGTATTGAAGGGCGCATTAATTGATGGAATTAAACTTACCAAGTTTCGTCGTGGCTTTGCGAATATATACAATTTGCGCAGGAGTACCCTAGTCTCTGGGTATGGTTCTGTCACATACGAATTCATCAAGTACGCATTGCCCTCATTAACTTTGTCACTTGGCCATGTAATCTCTTCAAAAATTTCAAGCTGTATGGAAATCGACACTACTCAAACTTTCGACAGCATTTATTTGCTCAAGACAACCAAATTCGGATTTATTCGACGTATGCGAGAGCTATGTAGGGTGAACGAGCACAACTTAACTTGGTATGAAAAAAAACTCACAGAACTCTCTCCGTTGAGTGCGCAACCGCAACCGAAAGACGCCATTCGCGCAACGGAGGCCATAGAAAATAAGTCGAGTTCTAAAAGAGAACACGACTGGACTGGTACCCTGTGAGAGCAGTTGTCCATATATACCTACAACTTTGCTCCTACAGGATTCCAGACGGTTTAAATATTCCGTGCGGTGGAAAGATTGAACGGAAGGGGTTCAAGAACCTTTCGTCAAGAATAAATATATGAACAAAAGTTTCCGAATAGTTACCAAGAATTTCCAATGTGCCATAACTGAAGTTCTTTTGGCTTTTAGTAGAAGCAAGATAGGAGGAAGTATATACTCGCCAGTCTCCGCGTCCGCTCCTATGGGTTGCCTGCCCATTCATTCACCTGTACACCTAGTACCTGGCAAAGATGATCTTCGCTTTAGTGCTTCTGGGCATCAAAGCTTTGTTCAGTGGCTATCTTTTATTCTTAGAGTAGAGTCAGAAATTCGGTTTCTTGAATCTTGACTCTCATTCGTCTAGTTTTGAAGTGTAGATCGTACCCTTCAACAAATGTATTAATCTCAGCCCTATTGCTATATCAGCCTACTGAACTGCCGAATCTGAACCTTCTTACGCCAATATTTTGATAAGATTACTATGGCCAGTTTCTCTACAGGTTATCAGCAACAAATGCAGTATACACCATAAGCTCGAGATATACGGTTTGAGCCCGCAAGCTTTTACCTCCGTAGTAAGCCGGGGATACACCCACGTAATTCACCTTCAAGTTATGTCCAGAAACTTTATTTAGGGGTTTATTAAGCTATATGTTCCTGTCTTTGGATGAAGACATAGAAATACGGAATCTGCATGGTGGCTATATCAACGGGATGATATAAAGCCCGGCCACAAAGCGGTCTAAAGTTGCATGTTTTAAACCTGTAAATACCACTGCCATATTCTTTTCCCTAATCCCCTTTACTAACAACTGTTCTCGGGCGTAGAATACGTTTCTAGGAATATTTCCCGTGATTGTGGTGTTGTTTTTATCATGCCGAAGCAAATTAGGACGTCTCATTGACTACTTAGGGACTTGCAGATAAGTGCTTGGAAACGTTGATTACCCTTCTAATAAAGCAGAAAAAAGAAATAATTAATCCTGCCATTAGATGGAAAGTGCTATAATCTGGAAGGTCTGGAAGAAGAGTACTTGGAAAATTGAGCCAACCGAGTCCAAGGAAGGAAACAAAGGATCAGAGGATTGAGAGATAGGAGGACGAGCTAAGAACAGTAGACAAATTATATAAGACTACCCAAAGATCAGGAACACGGAGGAGGAGGAAGCAGTTCACACGAGTTTCGATGTATGTTTTTCGACGATATGCGATTACGGTCAACTTTGACGACAAAGACATGCTTAAGACCGTTGCGGTCACATGACACGTTCTTGGTCTGGTCTGATTTTGTTATTATATTGAATAGTGGAGAGATAGGGAGTCCTGAACAAAAGTTTTATCTTCGAAAGTAAGCATATACTCAACACTGAATGCTATTTCAGTGAAGGTCAATCATTCAGATGTTCTAATATTCCTCTACCCCTTTGATCAAAGTGAAGAATCACCACTATGCACCAGAGATATATGAATCTAAAAATTTGTGCCTAGCTCTACAACATTCATATTTGTCGTTGTAGCTGTGCACTGCCTTTGCAAGTTGCCAGCTCTAGAACACACTGTCAAATGTATTAAATACGTAAATCACACTCGGCATCACTGTCCTTCAGGCTTCACTTCTCTATCACTATTAATTTCCTCCTCTGATTCATACTATATACACATATTATGTATTGTAAATAAAACCTGGATTCAATAAATGTTCTACATATACCAACGAACTTAACATTTCCAAACGTAGCCATGAGTTGACATGTTCCTCCTTCTATTAAGTAATTTCGACGTATATAAGGTCGATTCCAGGGAGTATACGTAGTATGACTTAGTTACTTGAAGGCTTTCATCCCTCGTAGCTACGAGATGCTGTACGTCCACCAAACTTAATATATTCATAAACTTGTATACTTCGCTTTATCTAAACAAACCAGACTAATTCAACAAATTTTCTCTCAAATTATTAGTGTCCTTCTACTAAGAAGAACCTACCATACCCCTCAGTTAGAAATTTATCGCGGAACAACTACCTTTTACGAAAAATCAACGAGGAGCTTTAATCAAACAGTCTCCTACTAACTGTAAATCTCACTCATCCCCCGTACGATAAAGCTTCAAATCTCAACCAATACCAGCCCCTCCTCGTTCGAGACCTGAATATAAAAAGCTAGGCTAGACGTTGTATTATTCTCACAGCAGAAAAAGTGCAAGTCGTTTACCAAGATCGCAGACGCCCTTACCATCATCCCTCTTACTACTCAACAACCATCCCATCCCTAGAACCCAGAACCCAAAAACTAGGGCTCTTTGACGACATAGTATTCTCCGCCTCTCTTCCCAGAAAATAGCTAACTAGAAAACGAACGAATGAACGAAACAATGATCTTGACAGCAAGAGGAGATTCGATAGTAGATCGTTTTTCGAAAAGAGTAAATTCAGATCATTCTCACGCTGACAACTTTTAGTTGAAGCGAAGTGAGGTAGTGATATAAGGGACGTGGAATAAACAAAACAAATTCTCTTCTCACCTGAACCGTGAGGTCTTTAGCATGCGTCTGATTACCAACCACGTTTGTAGGGCCTGCTGAATTTCTTCTTTTGTTCTTGAGATGAAAGGGCTTCTGGACAGGTTATTTATATACACCGTACAGTATCTTTGTGGGTGGTTGTTTGGATTGGGTTTGTTGCGAGTCCGTAGGTGAATAAAGTACATGTCAAGTTTCAATAATACAGCTTTCAAAGGCTTCTAATACCTTGCTTATGGTTTTATGTAGTGGTTGGAATAAATGACTTGCTTCTCCTCGACACAACCACGTCATATATCAATTACCTTCTAGAGTATCTTCTAGTAGATACAAGACCAATCCACATCCATCCATTCCCCATCCCAAACCCCACAAACCAACAACCTCCCCTCCCCTCCCCCATCCTTCCCATCACTCCCACCATTCCTCCCTAAATCCCGATAACAACCCCCCAAACCCCCCAAACCCCCCTTGATACACTTCACATAGTCCTTCACCTTCACCATCTCCATTCCATAAAGTAAGTATAAAACACTAATCTCAAATCTTACCCACGAAGCCCAAGCAAACACGAAAAATTGATTTTTTTCAGAAGATCGGTCTCCTGGCTCTTGTCATAGTCACTGCTAATGAAATTTTGAAGAAATATAGAAGGTATAGTGATAACCAAAAATCCACTGAATCCAATCGCTATCTATATCAACAGCAATCTACAGAACGTTAACATCGTTATAGGGATTTGGTAGAGGTATTCTCGACGGGAAAAGAAGTTTCGACGGCAAGACTTCAGCCGAATGATGATCTTTCGGATATCGGATGTTATGTTATGTTTTGTAGTGATGGGACTCCCACGATGGATGTTATTGAGAAGCAGAAGCGAAGGGGTTTGACCTTATGTCTGCTCCTTAGCAATTAGGGACTTCCAGTGTCGAGTCCTAAGGCTGACAAAAGTTGAAGGTTTGGGAAGTATTTGTAGATGAGCTGAGAGCGAGAGGGTTGCTGAAGTCATTTATCTTGTACGGTTGGTTGGTGATGTGGTTAGATTACTGAGAACTGCCTCTATCTGGTCTACTTTCAAGTAATCACTTTACGCAGAAGAACTCAAGACGTCTGTGTGTCTTTAAATTTATATTGATATCTTTGGGGTTTTATTCATCGCTCTTATCTCCTTTACCCTATCTTTCTCCTCACCACACCACCATATCCCACCAAGAAACCAAGAAGTTAGATACTACGTTAACCTTCAAACGCCAAGTTCCTTCCCAATCCCAATCCCATTCCGAAAACCCCTATTTCAATGCTGCCAAAACGCCTGTTCATATGCACACAGCTTCACTTCCCCAACATCCAAAAGTGACGAGAGAGGCGGAAGTTGATTTTAATGAGTGTATGTGGTGCTGAATGGATTGTAATATGTAACGAGTGTGTGTTGATCGACCTTTTTAATGGTAGGTATGATGTGTGTTGTAGCGAGTGTACAGTGATGTTCAATATCGTAGTCTGTGTCGGTGTCGGTATTTATATTCTACATTAAAACGCGCGAGGTATTCCTCCACGGTAGCTAATATCGGTATTCCAGTAAGTCCAATGCGTCGAGGTATCAAAGTACCCATCAGATGAGAGTATCGCGCGGGCCATTACTCCTCCTTCAATCCGGGTATCGCAAAACAAATAGCTCAAGCTGTACGCACAATCCAAACCACAAACGAGAGACACATGCATCATCTCAAAGCCCAACTTTCTCGCTCCATCCAACTCTCGGTATAAGTACTCAGAGGCGTCTCAGGAATTTCCCCATAACTCCCTCGCTCCTGGCTCATCCACGCTTTCCCCCCTCCCTTCTTGCCCTCCTTGATCGCCGCCCTACCCTCACGATCCCGTGCAATAATCCCCTGTTCAATCTCCCTCTGTCTCCGTGATCTCTCTGAACTAATGGAGCTGGAGGGGCCGATACCCGATAATTGACCTGCACCGTAAGAATCCCAGGATAGAACGTGGTCATCGCGATCGTTCATGTTGGACTTGAGTACCGGAGGTGGAGATTTGGAGCGTTTCTTCTCTTCTTTCTTGCTCTTGGACTCCTCCTTGGGGGCGGAGGTGATTTCTCGGCCTTGAAGGGGAAGGGAGAATGGGTTTACTCCTATGGTTGGGGAGCCATCGATGACGCCTAGTCCGATTGGAATGGTGTATGTTGAGATCCCTGTTCTGGCGGAGTTGTCTCCTGATAGCACGTTGTGACTTCGTGCGTTCCTGATTTGCGGGAATGGCGTGGCGGGCGAGGAGGCTTGAGAACATGGCTCTGAGGGTGTTTCGTAGCGTGATTTCATGTTGGGTTCGGAGTGTGTATTTGAGTTTGAAAATAAACGGGGAACATCGGCTGCTGGCAGTTCTGTAGATGAATGCTTAAGCCTTAGAGGTTCAGGCCGCGATGCGCCCAAACTCTCATTTCTCAAGCTTTCGATTCGAGGACTTCGAGGAACGAACGAAAACCCGTCAAGTTCGTTTTGAGGGATGATTGGTGTGGAGTCTAATTGGTGAGCTGTGCCTTCCGGACGGAAAGCTGGATGTGCCCATGTGGGAGGTGCAGGTCTTGGTGGTGAGTTTCCTGCTCTGAATGCTGGGTGTTGAGATAATTGATGTACATGATAAGCTGGATGTCTTGTTTGTTGTGATGAATGATGCATCGGCGTCATTGGTGTCACCGGTGTATAAGGTGTTTCTACGTTGCGCCAGGCTGGTATTTCTGGACTTCTACCTGGTAGTGGGTGATATGCTGGATACTGGGCTTTTGGAAGAGGAACTGTTTGTTTCTCCTCTGTTTCCGCTGGAGGAACTGGAGTAGCTGGTCGAGAGCCAATAGCCGAGCCAGGGTTGTTTGAACCTTGGCTCAGGCTTCTTGCTCTCTGAGCTTGGGTATATGCTGAATTGTAATTAGTAAATCATCTGATGGAGCCTAAGAATGATTGACATACCCCCTCGACCATCCTCTGGCTGAAGGTGTCGATTTTCATATAATGAGCTTTGTCGTGCCAGTTCAAAGTCTTTTCCGTCTTTCCCACCCCCAAACGACGAAGCTGTCGAAGTGATCCTTGTTTTCTTTTGCATCTTCCTCCTCCAGAGAAACCATATTAATACTGAAATAACCGAACACCCCACTATCCCACAGACAATGCCTACAATGATTGGTGTATTATTTGGAGGAGTAGCCTTTGGCGTTTGAGAAGGAGAGGCGGTGGAAGACATAGCTTCTGCTCTTATCCTTGAATTTATAACTGTGGTGGTTGATGTTGATGGGCCAGTTGGTTGAGGGATGGTGTTGAGTGTAATAATAGTTCTTACGGGTTCCTCACTCGTTGTCGACGATGCTATAGTTGAAGTTGCAGAATCTGAGCACCCACTCGCTTGACAACCATCGCACTGTTGACCAGTAGTGCATTCGCTAGATCGAGCCACCAGAGGGAGAGCAGTAGGTAATAATAAGGTCATTGTGATTCCTCTTGATCAAATCTCGTGTCAGGAAATTAGAGGAAGCGGAGCAATAACCAAATTCAAGTAGGAAGGATATGTCTGAAACGAGACTGCAAGACCGTTCATAGAGGGAAGGGATGGAACGGTACAAGTATGCAAGTGGGATGGGGAGAGGCCAAGGGAACACCCGCAACTGCCACCTTCTCCCAGGGGCTGAAGGAGGATCTCGAGGCAGAAACGTGGTAAACCCCCTCAGCGGGACGCAGTTGGTACGATGGATTTGGGGGTGGGACAAGGGGAGGTGATATATGGGGCAGGGGAAACGAGGCGCGGTACATAAGTTGAGGTAACCGACATGTAGGACTTACAGGGGAGCTCGACTGCGCAGCTCTGAGCTCTCAGCAGAAAATGGACACAAAATGGGACAATAAAAGAACAGTGCTTCTAGGAATCCAAGCTACCCTGACCTGCCGATAGGCTCAGGCACTCCATCGTCACCTAATTTTTCTGTCTTTCTGCCCCTGCATGTGCTCTCCACAGTTGGACTTACAGTTGAAGTGGGTTACACTGGCACAGGCAAGAAAAAATAGCCTTGAGAATTGCTCGAGGCCCGCTAAAGGCCCGCTAAAGGCCCGCTAAAGGGTTGGATAGCAATTCTTGAGCAGGGAGAGCACAACTTGGAATGAGGATGGCAAGATGAATGTAGCTCACCATCTTCATCCTCATAAACTCCTTGAGGCATTGCAGAGCGGGTAAAAACGCTGGAAACTGCCGATAAAGGCAATTGTCTTGCAGCTTTTCAACAGTAATTTGACCAATTGAGCGTAATTGCTGCAAAGTGACGCTGTAGGAACGAGGATAGAGCATGCAGACGCACTGCGTGAATGGTGTGGTATGGTAGTAGTGTAGGTAGGTGTAGTGCCCAGCAGTAGGATTCGTGGTGTGGTTGATTTCCTTCGCTTACTCACAACCAGGACCTCCCCCTGGCTCGAGCCCTGGCTGATGCACCAAAATACCCAGCACCGCCTCCAACCAATTCCCATCCTGGCATCCATTCCCAGGCCAGACTGGGGCTGACCTTCAGGTTGCGCACCCAAAATTCGGCAGCAAAGATCGCGATGATGATCCGTGACAACGATCAGGAAACCATAATCACGACTGCAAGGCGAAGTTGATGTTGTGGTTGGTTTGGTTGGTTGGGATCATCAAGTTTTTACGATACGGTAGTCTGCTCCGTACGTACTTTGATGCCCTATGAGCCCCATCCCTATAAGGAAAGCAACCGCTCTAACGTCTGTGCCTGCGTTCGTGGATCTCCCGCTGAGGGGAGAAAGAGAGGTCTTGAAAATTTGACTCCAACGACCCTCGCGGCCTGAACAGGGCCAGTCCGGGGTGAGGACGAGGGTTGGATGCAGGTCAGATTTTAAGCCGGCGATTGGTTGGCGCTTGCCCGTCAACTGTAATCCGGAGATACTCGTACTCGAGAATGTGAGTACAGGTAAGCTGTGCCTGCTCTGTACGAGGTACAACATCGAACTGAACTCGTACCGTAGCGATGCGATGCGGCAAAGACTGGCCATTACGGCTAGCGAACCATTTCAAGATGTACGGCGTACGATGATCTTCCTATCAGGTTCCGTTACGAGTAATTGTTATCTACAATACATCGTATCAACAAATCTATTGTGTTTAACGAGCTCCCCTTGCTACAGTTCCAGCATAGTATCTAAGTATTCATGATCAACTTCCAACCTTTCTCTCCACTTCCTTCGTCTCAACAGTATCAATGGCGTTTTGATGATTTAGATCAAGCTGACCACATTATCGAAGACACAACGAGTGAGAGCCTCATCTCCCCCATCACGGAAAAATACCGGATGTGATCCTTCTTGGAGATCATCAATCGTATTGCCATACTGGAGCTCAGACTCTTACTGACACACCATCGAAAACTCCGGATCAACAGTAGTTACAGAGCCTCCACTGACTCCACTGAATCTAAGATCTACACAGGCAAAAGAATCCCATCACAGCCTCTATGCATTGTGCTCGTTGATGGCCCATCAGTTCAAAATATCCAAAGGCTTAACAAATGTCTTATCGTCATGGCGCTTACGATGGTGCCACCGTCATCCAGAATCCCTTCCGCCGCCAAAAATGGCATTGTTGTGAAAGAAAACACATCGATCGGCTCCAGATTTCACCGTCATCTTCGGAAGTTCGGCCAAATAACTTGTCAGTTGTAACGCAATGGCCCGAGGGAAGAGAAAAAATTCCGAAATGTTGTCATCCAGCCCACTAAAAAGGTCTGCGCCTCGACTCCTTCAAAAGTTGCCCCGCTTAAACACCAACCAACCAACCAAGTAGATACGCCGGCGAAGTACCCCGACTCGAATAACCTTTCTGCCCCCAATGAATTTATTAGTAACTCCAATCAGAGGCTGTGTCAGAACTCAATCAGAGCCTCAAGGTTGTCCGTTTTGGCTCACGCTTTGTTGTACAGTACGAACAGCTGTCTTTGTTTTCTTTCCCCTTGATGGGCGATTGGGTTACATTCAGACCCCTCAATATCAGTTGGAGATAACGTACACATGACTTTAGGCTTGCAGGCATATATCAAGAAAGTTCGCATGTTGGTTGAGAACACGTTTCCTCAATACCACGATTTTGTTAAGTACACAAGCAGTAAACCGAGCTTCAGCGATCATGAACCAAAATACTTCCGGCCTCAATTTCATCATCGCACTTGCACGATCGCACATTTCATTTTCAAACCTGGCAAGGCTACGAGCTCGGTAGAATCTACCAGGGTACAAAAATTACGATTCGCTATATTTATCCCTAGCCGCTTTTGGTTGAGTGGTGTGCATGTGAATCCATGTCACAATGTAACCTCAATTCCGAATCTGTTCTGCGCCATCACACTATCATCTTTACACAGCGTGAGTTCTAATTATATCGCCCGTCCGGAACTTAGCCTCTTTGTCACCGGGCAAGTACTCGTAAGAGTCTTGAGGTCGATGCGCTTGAACCAGTTGACTTCCATCCACATTATTCTAAGATTCTTTTTTCAATATCAAGACTGCCTCTCCCACCCGATTGTGGCGTTTCTCTCCTCTCTATTCGAAGATTTTCCTCATCGCTATTCTGACATATCGGAAGCGTGCCTTTTGGTTTTTTGGCTTCGTAATCTTTATCATCTGCTTCTGAGGATTAAACGTTATCTCGAGTCGGCGGATAATACGCGGAACTGTCTTCATTCAAATCCATAAATATGAGGTAAGCACTATCCCATGAACTTCCCAGCCGCAAAGACAGGTATCCATAGCAAGCAAAACATCGCTTCCCTCCTCTCATCCAACCCCATTTCCGCTCCCAATCTCTCCATCGCGTCCGAATCGCTCCCGTCCACAGCCAAGAAATCCGCTCCTTCGTCCCAAGCGACGTAATCAATCCCATCAGCCAAATTTCCGTCCCGTGATTAATCGAGAACCAAGATAGGAATACAAATCAAGTTTTCCGGACTCAAACTGGGTGATTAGATGACCATACTCTGTGAGTCTGCGATGATACAATACCACCCTCAAGCGAGAAAACCACACGTTACGTGATCCTTCGTTTCATCGCGTACTGTACGTACCGGTTTACAAATACCGTACTGGACGTGGTGTACGTGTCTCTTTTTCTGCTCTTCCTTCCTTCTCGCTTGGTGTCTTGTGCTTGCCTTGCTTTGCTGTGCTGTGCTTTTGCGCCAGAACAGGGAGATAGATGTGTCTACAAGCTTGATCTGCAACCTCTCCACGATATCTGATCGTTTTTCCCATGTGGTGGGACGGAATATACGAGGTGCGAAGTGGTAGGTAGGGCGACTTATGTCAAATTTCCAATGTCAGCTGTAAGATAGATAGGCGCCGTTGGACTCGCCACCTCTCCTTGCTGAGATTACCCTTCGGCTACTCGGCAAGGGCGGCTAGGTTGGTTGGTGGACGCGTGAAGTTGTGTGATGGTGTATGAGTACTATGACCACGACCATGACTATGGCTGTATAAGAAAACAAAGAGGATTATTCGACACGCACCTCATCCAACTTATCCCAGATATCCACCATCCTCCCCAGCTTCCACAGAACGTGACGTCCCACAGCCCTCAGGAGTTCGTTCTTCACGTACTGTACTGTTGGTAACGAATAGTGCGCCACTTCTCCCCGTTTCAAAGATATGAATCTAGACTTTTATGTACACATACAAACACCCATACACCCACACACCCACACCAAATAATCCTCAACAAGACGAGTGGCGAAAAGCGTGTAAATATCCAATAAGTAACACAAACAAGGCTGATTCCCTATTCCCTTGTTGGCCCCTCCCCCAGGCTGCACAGAGGGGTACTGTAGACTTTTCTGTGTCGTGCTGCTTGCTGTGCCATATGCGGGATGTGTGGATGTGCTACACTATTTACTGTATATACCGTTTCTGTTTTTTTCTTCTGAAACGTGAGATTCTAGTGTGTGGGTGTGGGTGTAGGTGTGCATGACTGACTGACTGACGTTTTTGAAGTGATCACATTGCCTTTTCTTTTTTCTTTTTGGATGGGTGGATGGCTGGTGATTTCGTTGATGCGGGAATAGGGGGGTGGAGAGGCGGATACAGTACCTTTGCGAAGCGAGATTGGAGATTGGAGATTTGGGACTTGGAATTTAGGTTGATATAGAGTGGTTACTCCCGCTACGGTATTCCTGAGGTAGGGAATAGGTAGGGCAGAGAGAGATCTATATCTGAACCATTTTGTTTAATGTACTGTATATCTAATGTACTAATGTATTTGCTTCGTAATCTTACGAAATTTATTGATTGTGATGGGATTGTGAGGACTGCATGAATATATGTATGTATGTATGTATGTGGGATTGTGCGAAGAGCTTATGCACAGTTGATATTATGAAATTAGAATTTTAGATTGAGAGTTTCGGTGTGTTATGCTTGTTTGCACGATGTGAGAAGTTGTATTGTGGTTTTCATGGTGTTATTTTGCTGGTATTGTATGATGTGATTTCTGATGGTGTATAGGTAGGAGTCTTGGGCAAGATGTAAGTTGTTGGGTTTATACTTGCTGGGTTTTAAGTGATTGGTAATGTAATGGAATTGTTCCTGACGCAGCGCAGAGAAATTATGAAGTAGCCATAAATGCGAACCTGAACTTAGGACTATGGTATATTTGACGGGATGACATTTTTATGACAGTATGCCCTGCAAGAGATATGAGTTCTTCTATACAGTAAAGAGAGAGAGCGAAGAGGAGAATCTTGGCTCCTGAGAATGACATGAGCTTTCCAAAGGCCATGGAGCTTCACGTAGGCTTGAACGAAACTTTCTCTAGAATCTTCGCCAGCAAGAAAAACGTTTAACAGTAAGAAGCAATCTAAAGCTCTTGCTCCATTCACGCAGTGGGAGGGTAAACACATCCTTCGTATCGAAGAGATTTAACACATATCATTAATCATTAACTTGATTCCGTGACTAGGTGGATAAAGCGTCTTTAGAGAAACTGTGTAGTATGAATAAACTACTGTAGTCTGTTTGTATCAGTACACGAGACGGTATAGTATGTATGAACAGAGCAAGTTCTGATCAGGTACTTTTCTCAGTAGAGGCTCAGTTTGAAGTTTGTTATACCTTTGTGAAGCTCAATAATGAAGATGTAGGTGGAAAAGAGGGTTAGAGTGAAACTCCAAGTGCATATTGAAGAGGTTGGATTGACAAATTGATGCTCACATTCAGATCTTAGGTAAAAAGCCTACGATGAAGTTCAGGTGGAGCGGGTAGGCAGTATTTTGGGTTTTACTCATATAACTCCCTTGTAAATACATCCAAGAAACGCCTTGATGTGAGTTTGTGGTAGCTTGGCGACCTCCCCAACCTCCCGCCAGGGAAAACTGAGGAACATTTTACTATAAGAGTAGGCGAAACAAAGAGAAAGCTCCTTTAAAACTTTTCTACAACTCAGCCTCAGTAGGCCTTTGGTCGTTTGGCAAGAGCATTGTATTTCTTATACACCAGGCGCAGAAAAGGTTCGGTTGTTTTTGAAGCGGTAGGATGTTTGCTGCCTCTTGGCTTTTGAAATAAAGTAAGTAGTTGTCAAGTCATCCGAACGAAGCCAATTTGTCGAAAGGACTTCTGCTGTCGAATAATTGTCCAAAATACTTCCCTTTTAGTATTCTTTTGTCCGTAGACTTGATTGAATAATACAAAGATCGCATTAAATACTGGTAGCTGACGCAGTCAATCCTTAACCATGGTACTGGTCAGTTTTGGCTAAAACCTACACAGCCCATACGCATCCTTTTGGCCTTTGTTGTGAAGTTTACAAAGTGAGTACCAAGCTGGTCACGCCGCCAAATATATCGTAATCTAAGCTACGTAGGTTCTGAGGCGGATGTTCAGCCTACAGTACAATATAGAAGTGAGTAGGCTGTAACTAAGATCTGAGTATCCATGTCCCTTCGCTGCTTGATAATATAGCGAATCTTAACTAGAACGCTCTGGGTATTGCGGGCGACCTGCGACGAAGCAGCAAAAGCTCTTCAAGGATATCTAAGGGGGAAATATTATTCCCTGAGAACTTCCACATATTCCCGAAAATGATGAGGCCATAACAGTCATCCAAGCAAAAAGATCAGAGAAAGAGAGTCTATTTAGATCTAACCGGCCCCAGTACTATATCTTCCTTCTCCAAAAAGATCAAAGTTCCAAAACAGTCATATGACACACTGACAATTTCCAGGGAACGTTTACCAATAAAAGGACATTCTGGGTCCCATCGGAATCCTTTTAGCAAGGAAGGCTACTAAGCTCCGACATCGTATCATTGGTCTGCCAGAACACCAAGGGTGTTGATACTTTTGATCTCTGCTGTATCTCGCCACCATAGAATGCACCACAAAACATGCAGCCACTTGAACTGAGAGAAAGAATGATCGCAGCCTCTGAGCTCATTCATCCGAACGTTTGATTGTTGATAGAGTATTCACTGCCGAAAACAATACTACCGTCGTGACCGACTAACACGAGTACAAGTTTGACATTCAGATAAGAAATATACTTCCTATGAAAGCGAAGGCAAAACCCGTAGTAAAGTTGCCAAGCATAAACGATTTGCTAACTTACCACTACTATAATTTTATCTAAGCCGAATGATGAAACCAACCACCTCTCCACTTTTCCATAGCATCGTTGTTGTACAGACCAAGAAAACCTAGTTTCATTTCATAAATAATGTGAAAAAACCATGACGTATTCAATATTAATAGCCATGTGTTGTGCTGGGTCTACTTTCTCTTTTGCTCCACTTCCTTATTTGATCCACTTATAGTTCTGCTGCCTAAATGCTTCATGTCTGCCTAAACCTTACACTCTTTATATAAACACCTTAGATAGCTACCTTTTACAATGCAATCAATTCTCCATGACCCTCAGTACCCAATATCCTTTCAACCCAATACCATGATATTACGTATGTATGAAAAGAACCTACCTAGTAAGATGTTCTTAGATTCCGCGAATATAATACTACGTATTTTCAGCGATAGATTGTATCGGTTTCACTAACGAAGTCTAGCGACACGGTATAACATATTTTGGTTATATTTCGTATGGGGTTCTAAAAGAGTGTGTGGTGTTGCAGGTGTAGCTAAATATATGTGTGTATCGTACGGTCTCAGACAATATCACATGACCGGCCTCTCTTCTACCCAGGACCTGAATGTACTAACAGGTTGAGCTTCGACAAAAGGTTCTTGACTTTTTTTCCTTCTTTTCCTCGATGCTCTACCTTTACAGTCAACCGTGTCAGTTACTTATCATGTAATATTATAGACCTCTACACCTCTAATTCTTGTATTGACATAAGCAGCGCTCGGCAACTTGAACCCATTCCATGGAATTCCAGTGATTCCATTCACCAGACCTTCTTAAAAATGGAATGAAATATCCCAGATGTGGGGTAATGGAATGGAATGGAATTCCAGTTGCCGAGCTCTGTACATAAGAAGGGGAATCATCAGCATCCCCTAAAGTAATATTCCTCAAGAAAAGCAATCTGTGTTCCACTCACCCTGTCTACATCCCTCAACAACAAAAGTTTCCATCACAACCAAATGACCTAGTAAAACCCACCAGCATTATATCATCACCCACACAACCACAGCCCAACAAACCCAACATCCACATATCTACCCACAACTACAAGCCACCTCTCCCAAAACCCCAAATGCCAACCCCTCCACAAAAACCCATCACATAAATTCAAGAACCAGCCTTGAGAATATCATCATATCAAGAGGAAAAGGAGACAAATTAAACGTCAACAATTTAGCTACTCCTATGCTTGATTCCTTACCTTCGAGAATTAATATTTATATAGAATCACAGATTCAAGAGAGAGATAGGGAAGCCAAGAATAACTCCCCTGGTAGCTTTTCCCTCTAATAAATCTTCGGACTTCTTATTCAGTCGATCCTACAAACCCGTTATAGAGCTCCAAGGGCTACCTCATAAAACTACACCAACTAAACCCCACCTTGTTCCACAAAGCATGAGACAATACCACACCCATTTGATCATTTTCAATCATCCCGTTTGCCGGACAGATATTCTACATAATCGGATTTACATTGCCACCATTCCTCTTTGAAAGTACAAACAGGCATAAAAGGACAAGTGCCTGAAGTTCACAATTACAAGATTTCCTGAAAACTCTGGTAACGGCTATATTTTCGCTGTGATGATTTCTAGTCTACACCTATCGCGGAATACAAATCAAACTTCGGCCAAGCCACACCATCGCTAAAGTATCAGATCATTCAATCACAAAAGCCTATCTCGTCGGGGTCAAGTTATCTGGAGGAGCCGAACGGAGATTGGGGATAGCATCAGTAAGAACCGCTGCGTCCGGAATCTGATTACCACCAGCGCCAGAATCTCGAGGCACCACATGTCTTTTTATACTCATCCTTTGACAAAATTCTGAGACTTTTCCGCGAACTCTTGACACCTTTTCGCGAAGTGTAGAGAGCCACTCTTTCATTGACCCGGAAAGACCACAGGAGCGGCAGCTGTCACCACGATGGTCATTAGGTGGGACAGATTGAGGTGGGGTTGGGATGCCGTGGTTTGCAGGAGGGTTGCTGTTATTAGGAAAAGAACCTGGTACAGCCATATTTTTCTGAGAATCGTTGTCCTGGCTTTGATCGCTACCTTTCATAGTGTCCGCGTTTGAAAGACGATATTCTTGCAACGGAATGGGATCGACTGGTTGTGAGACCGGTGCTGGCTCACTGATTCGATGGGTGTTATCGGCTTGACCTTGAAGTTGGCCTATGGTCGTGGCTGGAGTCGTACACCTTACGCAACGTCGTGAACAATGAATGTTATATATTTCTCGCATCTTTGGCTCCGTTTTTTCATTGTCCATCTCAAGATATGCTACGGTAACTTCATCGCCTTTTTTTATTTTTCGAATTGCTCGCAGAATCACGCTTTGATCATCAAGGAGAGTCATTTGCGCGTTAGGATGGCAACAGTGTCTCACGTTACTGATCTTGTGATAATATCGGCGAATCATATGGCCATTTGGGTGTCGAGTGAAGTGATTTGTTTCTGTCATCACGCGGAATCCACCTGTTGGTGGATGAAGCGCCTCAAGATACCTCTTGGCTTCCGGTGGAGCATTTTGGAATGTGTATTGAACATCAGCCAAGCGCATATCTCTCTGTCCGAAGATGTTCGACTCCTCGAGTATGACAAGGCATCGCTCGTGAAGAATCACTTCATCTTGGGGGATTGTGGTTGTTGCAAACATTTGGTAGGAGGGGTCGATTTCGTACTTCTCGTCTAAAAAACAAAAGTCAACTGCGTGGATCAAACAAACAGTGAATGCAAACCTACTATCAGTGAAGGGGGTGAGAAGACCAGGTTCTGCCTGTGCTGGCTGGACGGAATTATTTTCTCTTGTGCCGTCTACCCCAAAGAAATTTGGGATGTTATTGCAGTCGTTCTGCAGTCTGATGTAGAGCACAGGAGGTTCTGCCGAGCTATCAGCATTCAGAGTTGCCATCAAGGAGCCAAAAGAGGACTGAAACAAACCGCCTTGAACGTGCTTCCAAATGGAATAGTTTGCCTTGGTGTCGCTTTTGATAGGGACGCTCTTGCTAACTGTCAGCATTTGGTATCACCAGAGAGCTTTTTGAACTGACAGCTGGAGCCTTGCCCTTTTCTGGAGCAACGCCAAGACCAGAGCCTTTTACCTGGCCAGACGAACCTCCGTTGTTGACCTGGTTTGCGATGAAAGCATCTCTTCCTGGACGAATTGGGGTTGAGACATCGGCTAGACATGTCAGCTTGAAAGTTGCCCAACACCACCCGCTCAAAGGCATTACCGGCGGGCAGCGGGTAAGGGGAATCTGCCCCGGGAAAGTTTGGGCCTTTTCGATGATCTGGTGTTGCAGTAAATGTTGTTCTGGAGTTTGAGCCTGCAACGACGAGGTTATAATCAGAAGTTCTTGGTGCGCTTAATATCAAAATGGGGCTAGATATGGGCCAGATAGGGGTGAGGAAGGGTGACGGGAGATTACGGTACCGGCAATGTTCTCCTGGTTCTGATTTGGAAAGCCTCTGAGGTCTGCAAGGGGAAGCAAGCCCGTTGGCAATAACGGATCATCGATTGGAACTGACTCAGTGCTCAATTGTGCATCGACAACCCTGGATTGGGTAGCAGCACTGCGATCCTGCTTCTGGAGAGCGTATTGTACAACTTCCTCTGGGTTGGAGGCTTCGCTGACTTGATTGATGTTGCGAGGCATTTTGTGAACGGAAACTGGCTATGAATGCGAGCGAAGGTGTGGTTGTCGATAATGAGTCTATTGTTGACAGTAACAGTGAGCGTTTCCAATTGAGTGTGGATGTCGATACTGAGTGGAAGAGAGTGAAGCGATGGGGGGAAAAAATGTTGTATGGGATGTTGGAGAAGAGAAAGGAAGAGCAGAGAGAAGAGAGGAAGGTCAAATTCGGGATCGCATCGTAGGCTTTGCTTTGTAATTCGAAGGGAAGGAACAATCGAACGACCATCTCAACAGAAGAAGGGACAAGCTCAGAGCAGTCAGTCTGGAGCCTCTCAAATGGAACCTCTCTGGTGTGCAGAAAACTCACCCTGGATAAAGATAATTGAAATGCGTAGGAGGATTGGAAACCTCAACCTCAATTATGACTTTCTGTTACCAAGAACAACAAAGGTGATTGTCACCTCACTACTTCAATGTGGTTGTTGGACGCGTGCCAACACAGGAAGTCATAACGAACAATAGCTATGCGAAGACATCTGGTTACATAATATACTCTGTGCCAAATGTTTAGAATCGACAATTAGAGTATCATAGAGCATTAGAATAATCAGAGTACAAGCCATAAGAACTTGCAACAGCATTTGCTCTTACAATCGGGAATGTTTTGGGAAAGACTCAAGCCATTGCCGCTTGTCGAAATAGTTGGGCAATGAATAATGTGAAGCATGACCAAAACGCTTGAAGCACCCAGATACCTAAAACAGGCCTTTTGGATTTAGCGTGACAAACCATGCATCGCGGAAATGGCCCGAGACAAAAAATCACTCATAACAGTCAAAGAAATATATACAGCTTGAGCTCTCGAGGCTCAAAGAACAACAGGTTCTAACCTCGTACACTTTGTCTAGACAGTCCTCACAATCGTTGCTACACCGGCTCGATATGCCGCTCGTAGACATTTCGTCTAAGCCGGCACGCAATACAGCTCTACCAATTTACGAAGCCCCGTAGCACGAGATGGGAACTTTGAGAAAATTGGTATGTACGGGTATTGTGTGTTCTTCGGTATCATTGTTTTTCCGCCATTGCATTTGCCCTCCTTGATGCCTCATCCGCATTGATCTTTGTATAATGTGCAACCACGGCATCCATATTTCGAGGCCCCTGTCCAGCAACGACATTCCAAGGAGAACCAGTGTTGAATACCCTAAAATTGGTCAGCATGGAGCGTCATAGCTAGGCTCGAGCAAACCTACTCTGGAAACCTCAGATCCACATGGGTCGTTCCCTTCTGACCGTGCAGCAAGTTTCGGTTAAAAGCAGCTTGTTCTATGGCAGCTGTGTGTAATGTGTTTCGTGCCTTCCATTTCTCCTGGTAGTATGAATATCCATCTATGAACTTTGAGAAGCCTGCCATGTTTCCATCTTTGTCGGGTCTAGACGCAGCATATACTCCCAGGGAGAGCGGGATCGTAGCAAGCACGAGGAAGAAGCCAGTCTGCGAAACGGTCAATTGCGATTCAGAAGAGAGAAGGGATACCACTAACTCCTAGAGATTCCGGCTGAGGCTCTGCGTGGTGGTGTCCATGGTCTCTGTGTCCATGATCGCTATGCTCTCCGTGGTGGTCGTCTTTCGCTGGTGGTGAGGAGTATTGGCGTCTAGCTTGGACAGCAGCGAGGGGGAGGCGCCCTGAGGCCTGGAATGCCTTCTGCCGGAGTGCAAGCATGATGGTGTTGTTCAATTGACTGTATCAAGCATCAACTGCGGTCGACATGAGGTTGAGCTTCCCGCCAGCCAGATTGATTGCGTTAGTCAGCACAGCCTCCGCCTCTGTTTCCCCCTGCCCGCAGACAGGCCCGGTCAGAGCAAACCGCATCAGTTCAATCTGACTAAGCTCTCAGAAATTCATCGCAACCTGGAAAGCTGCCACTTGTCCTCAGGATGGCTCAACTCCACCAACAACCTCAGCCACTGCAGCCAGAGTATCTGGAGGACGATATCTACGAGGACCAGACCGACGACGAATCCTTAGCTTCCTTAGAAACCGACGACGGCCAAGATCATCCCCCAGAGAAGATTCTCGCGCAAAGCATAGGCAAGAACGGCTTCATCTGGTACCTCGTGAAGTGGCAGGACTGTCCAGTGATCAGATCCTCGTGGGAAGGCATTGATCTGTTCTCCAGCTGTCCCGGAATTCTAGACGCGTGGAAAGTGGAGCGGAAGAGACAGGCAGACGGCTTATCCAAACCGCTGGATCTCGCTGCTTTCCAACGCGCGGTTTGTGATGCTGAAGTGGCCCATTATCAAAGACGGGTCCTTCGCAGATTAAGACGGAAGTTCAACCGTGTCCTTTCTATCGTTGCCACTTGAGATCTGGTCTTCACGGGCTGTTGCTTTTTATTCTTATAAAAAGCCACATCTACAGCTACAGCATTTGTGTCATCAAAAGATACCCCAACTATTTCCCACATCAGGCGCCATGATTTTCAGCCCGTCTCGCTGTCTGCTTTGCGCGGCTTGTCTAGTCTTCCCAATCCTCGCCCAAAATGCCCCTTCCACACCTTCCGAGTCTCCCCCTGCATCAAACGAAGTCATTTGTCCTGCGGAAACGCCTGGCGAATGTTATCCTCGCACCTTCGTGCCTACCGAAAATTTTCAAGTCATAAGAGAAGGGCAAGATATCCCACCCGGTCTCCATGTACGAATGGACATCAATACTGGGCTGAAAGAGGCACGTCTCAATATACCGATCGAGGGAGAAACAACCGCAGAAGAACTGTTAGAAGGGTTACCGGTCGAGCAGTCGATGGTGGTAGTGGAGCAACCTGAGGAGGACCCCATTTCAGAGCCAGAAAGAATAGCGCTCAGAGATCAAGTTCCTATGAACCCTCCAGCTTTCGATTCCGCAGGTAAAATAATGCCTCCAATGGAAAACCCCGAGTCACCAAACGAAATGGGTACTTTTCAAACTGCCCTCCTCACAATCAAGATGGAAGCAAGAGCATTTGATAAAGCTCTCGACGATTTGATGGAGTTGTCGCATGATATTTACTACGGTGTTGAAATAGCCAAGGACGGCCCAGTTCTTGAGAAACTCTTGTGCCTAGCCCTAGGGGCAGGGACTGAGAGAATGAAGTCGGGCGAGAACGGCCGTGATCATAAAGCGGCTGCGATTATTGGCTCGGCAATTCAAAACAACCCCACGGCTCTAAGGGAAATCAAGGGTTTCCAGAAAATGGTCATGTATCCTACTTGTGGGGAATCGAAACAAAGCGATTTCGTCAGCATTTTACGCACCAGACTTGGTGGAGAAACAAATCCCGCTCTGCTGAAAACCAAAGTAGGCGCCATCAGTGGTTTGCTCAAAGAACCATCTTTCCGAGATGAATTTATTGAAAAGAGAGGCATGGAGTTAGTGTTGGCCATGTGGCTCAAAGAAGGACCTCATTTTGACGTTGTTAAGAAGAAGGTTGCGCAATTAATAATGGACAACTTTCTCGATGAGGGAATGGGAGCCTCGCTTGGGCAATGGCCAAGGACGGCCAGAAGCTCAGTTGAGAGCTGCAAAGCGAAAGATACGATGTTGGCAGATGGTTGTTGGGAACACCATATTCAACAACATACCAAGTATTCACCCGATGATACTTGGGCGAATGAGTTTTTTCTTGCATTGAGAAAAGAGCGAGCGAAGATACCCGTGCCTGATACGAACAGGGAGTTGTAGGTAGTTCTGTATAATACTGTGTACTTTTTTGGAAGTTTACCATCTCACGACGGGATAATATAGATGATTCATTTCGGGTCTATTGCTAAACAATACAATGTCTAGTTTGCTAAAGTCTCAGCAAGTGCTGAGAGTTCTATGAGAATATGTGGCGCTAAATTTGATCTGCTTTCTATCCTGCCCCTTTCGTTCCTCCCTTGGTCTTGTCTATGGATCATACATTATATTGCGCTCCATGCAAAAAACGCGTACCCAAATCTTCCTCTTCATTAAACTGACTAATTTGTCGAACAAGCCACATAGGTTTAGCTTTTCTACTGCCCAGCTTGTGATTTCAGAGCAAGTGCTCGAGGTTTAGATCAAAGTCCTTTGAATTTCCAGACACCTGGTCTGGGACCAGAGTATGCTCTCCATGCCTTCTTTTCGTCCGCTTCCTTATTTCTGGGACGATCCTTTGCATCCTGGTGGGATCTGACGGGGAGTTGGTGTCGCTGGATTCACGATGGTTCATAGCGTGGAAAATTCGAGTCGTTGAGTTGAGTAGTGGTACCTAGTCAACTCAACTCGAGTGGTGAAAATCACTAATCAACTCAACTCGCAAAGTACCAGTACTCGATTAAGTCATGAGTTATTTGAGTAGTACGGGCCGGCCCGGCCCGAGTCCTTGTAGCGCGCCCGGGCTCGCCGGCCGAACGCGGACTTAGCCGAGTGCCCTTGTATTAGGAATAAGCGATAGTATCACGAGTGCTGTAGAGTCGGTCACGTTTTACACTCGAGTATTACTCGAATAGTCAAATCCACTACTCAACTCAACTCATCGGAATCACGTAATCATACTCGTTCGAGTTGAGTTCGAGTTGAGTTGAGTAGTTGAGTAGTTTTGTGTCAGAGCTGACGATGGCGAGGGGATGAGGGGCCGCAAACTTGACTCTCTTGCCTTTAGCGAAGTGCGGCTCTTGACGGCAGTTGGATTGGTTAATGACTGTTTGACGCCACCATCTTCAAGGCCACAAGCAAGCAGCATACTCGGGATACCCCCTCGGGAGCCCATAAATCTGACTATACTCATCATTTAACATCTGAGGCCCCTGCAAATGCTTCTTTTCATGCGCATATATATGTCTCTTCAACGCAATATTCCACGCAAAACTCGAGTGGCCTATCCCCGCGAAATCCGAGGACTTCAACATAACCAGGAAATCTACGAGGGCTTGTTGATCCCATACCAATGTCTCCAACACTTCCAAATCCCGGCTCTGCAGAAGGTCGGCTTTGGTTGTGACGGTGAGGTCCAGCGCTTGTGCTTCCTCTGCGAATCTTGAGACTTCGGTTAGGTTCCCGGAGGCGACGTAGATTAGTTTCGTCGCGTTGGTTTGGGAGGCTTGTTTGAGATACGCCTTTGCTTGCGTTTCGTAGCGTGAGTATATCCAATCCACTGCTGGCCACGCTTCTACAGCATCCCTCTCCGTCCTCAGATGCGCGCCAAAAAATGCGTTCTTGTAGATAGGCGCTGAGAGGTCGTCAATGGGAAGGGAATATTGCGAGACCATGTTCTTTAAGACTGTCGTAGCGAGAACCCGAACGTCAGAGCGGAATTTCAGAATGTGTCCAAAGGTGAGTGCGAAGCCTTCCCCATCGCTGTAAATGGGGTATTGGAGGTATGAACGGTCCAGATCAACGATATACGGTTCTTCGGTGTCAGGGACAGAGTATTTCTGAAGCCATGTGTAAAACTTTCCTCGCCATTCTTCTGGGTTCATCAAGCCCGTTTTTGGGACGTAAGCTACCAAGCTTTCAGGAAGTAATGGGATACTTCCATTCGTCTTTTGTTGATAATGCGGTATGGATTCCACACTCTCATATATCTTGAAACTCGGACACGAAATCCTCAACGAATCAACGAAATGTCGCGAATCAAACATATAATCCATTCCCGTGCGTGAGCCCGTCCGGATCTCGGATATATTCTCATTATTCCGATATATAATCTTTGGGAGCACCAAAGCACCGCCCGCTGAAATGGAGTAGCGAACACAATTCAGTATCGAATTGCGGATGTTTCCTATGCCACCAACGGAGTTCTCGCACGTGAATACAATGCTGGAGTTCCAGGTTGTATCGAAGCAGACGCTTTTTATGGCTTCTGAGTCGACCGGTGCGAAGTCGAAGATATCTGTGGAGGGAGAGGTGGAAACCGGGTATGAATTAGAGTGTATGGTCCATGCTTCACGTGCCGGGAAGATGTACGGTCTTTCGAAGAAGGTCCATAGCCAGATGGCTGCCGCGATTGTGACTACAAGGAAGGCGTACCTGCGGTTTAGCACTGAGGGAAAACCGATGGTCATTATGGAGCATTGCAACTTGTGAGAACTTGGGGAGAGGGGGATAGATATCTTGGGATTTGTGGGTAAAGCTACGTTTTGTGTCTCCGTCACTCGTTATCAAGTCTTGGATAGCCAAAAACGACCTGATAGTGGGTACTTTTAAGATTCTAGCTTGGCAAAACCAAGGGCTTCTAAGCTAAAAAGGGGTATCTGACCAATCAGAAAGCGTGGATGAACGTAAAAGAGAAGAAATAGAGAAAATAATAAGGTGGGAGTATGTATTCACTCCACCTTCGTAGCACTTTCCACTCACGTCCACTTTGTGGTAGTCAAAGAGCGTAATTCGAATAAGACTACGAAGTAAAAAGAAACCGAGTAGTCCTGAGCAAAATATCCACTTGTCCTATCTTTCACTTGAAAGAATACTGCAGATCTACCTTACTGTCCCAGTATTAAGGTTTACTGGGCACTTGGCTATATACGTGGACAGCCAAATATGCCCCATATAATATGCCAAACGACGATCTTATCAATTTGAGGCACAGCGTTCCGTCGGAAAACAGGCTCTAACTAGACGTAGATCATTAGTGGAGTCCCACTACAGGGCTAAATCTGGGTCGCTCCTTCAAAGTCAAGTAGTTGAGCATTGGAAAATACCGTACAGCACCAATGGTACTGTATACATATGGGTTTGATGGCTATAGAAATACCAGGATCACTAGCCGTTAGAGGCTATAATCAAGGCTGAGCTGTGGAACCAGTATTAAGTCAACCTTACGCCTTTGGGGGGCTATCATTTGATTTGGTTCATGTTGAAACCGACATAGCCGAAGGTCGGTTTTCTCATGGTTTGGTCCCTAAACCTGGCCTTCTCACTTCTGGTGATCCATCCATGGTAATTCCAGAAGAGCAAAATCAGTAGAGGCTGGGCATGGACCAAAGAACATAGGCAGTGATGAGGTGCCTTATGATGCAGAACTCAGAGTCAATGAGTTAGCGAGTCCTGAGTCGCCTACACGGCCAGTAGAGATGGGGGATGGGTTTGTTCGAAAGGCTAAAGACATGTATTCAGATACTGTAGAGCATTTATTGAAGGACGGTTTCATCCATGGGGCCGTTATCAAATATCAATTACAGGTAAATAGAAGCCATGGTATAAAAAAAAGTCTCATCACTGAGTGATGATGGGCTGTCAATTCACCTGCTTACCACTCAACCAAGAACCAAGTAGTATATCTCAACACACCGCCCAGGGCGGCAGATAAAATTCGACACGAAATTTCCTTATATAATAATATCGTAGCAAAAGCACCATCAAAAGAAATCCCCCTCAAAAAATTGCAAAAAACAAGCGCAGCTCACGCTGGCTCGGAATAACTCCGCAACCGAGCCTCGCAACCGAGCCTCGAAATCGAGGGCGTCGGAAGTTGGTTTATCTCGCATTTCTTCCGGTAGCTCATTCCACCTGGCGGATGTACTTTTATGAACCTTCTGATTTGCTGAGAGAGAAAGGTTTATTTCGCGCTACAAAAGTCGCAGACTCGGGGGGTGTAGATTATGGTGGGGCCCGTGCTGATGGTAAAGCGGCGTCGGGAATATCTTCATAGCTTTCGGGGAAAATAGTGAGTTGGGTAAGTGCTGACTGCTTATTACAGACTGTAATCTTTACGAGATAACTTGAGATCGAAGGATTTGGGGAATCCAAAGTCCTCCATCAAAATCTTGTATACTACACAAAAACTTACTCCGATGTCTCTTCATCAGCAGTTCTGGGCTTCTGGTATACACATCTTGTGGTAATCTTCTTGGGGCTTTCTTGTACAAACAAAAGCACAGAAATGAGCTCGTAAGTCCCCGTTATTTAATGAGATCTTTTGATCAATGCGCGAGCATTGCTACCAATGTGTTATATAAACAGGAACAGTACTTCAAGGCTGGACAGTCAACAACGTTAACTGAGTGGTGAAACTACTGACCGTTGGGGGACCTCCCCAAGATAAGAATACGAGCGTTCTTATACTTTACTACGACAACATGAATGATGTGGCACTGGCCTGTTTCCGGTTTTTTTTGTGGCACTATCCTGATTGTTGTTAAGTACCCCATCGATCTGGGTTCTGTAATATTCCACCGAATCTTTTGCCTTCTGCCAGTCTTTCATAGCCTTGTCTCTCTCATCCTCCAAATTCTCAATTTGTAGGCAAATATCTTCTCTGTATTTTAAAGCAAATGTGACTCAAAATGGAGTCTTACAGGTTCGCAGGAGCGAGAAGACTTTATAGGTTGAATAGAGATTATCTATAACTATTATATCTAGTATAGAACCCAAGATCCGAACTTTTAGGATTTCTAAAGTATTTCACTGTCGATTCAAATTCTTCGTTCGGATGAAAAGGATAGTCTGCTATTACCTTAAACCTAATTTCTGCGCGGCAAAATATTAGGTCGTGGCGACTTCTCTATGTCCTTTGGAATTCCCTTTGGAATAGAACTTAGTTCCCACTCAAGGGGTGGTCAGCAGGACCAGCAGGACTAGTAGCAGGAACAACCGCTTGGACTTACTTTTCACTAAAGCAGTACGAGTAGGAGGCGTATTTTAACGAAGCAAGAATATTCGCCTTCTTCTTCTTATTACTCTTAGAGACGTTAGAAGTAGGTGTTAGATAAGAGGACTGAAGGTTTAGGGGTGAATCAGTTGGAAGATTCATCTCAAGCAAAATATTTAAGTTTAGCTAAGCATATATGCACAGGCAAGAATCCTTATATTGAGATTCTCTACAAACGTGGCTAAACTGCCTATCGACCAGAAGGACAACGTGAACAACAGTAAGTCAACTCGAACACCCTCACACATTTCATGTCTAACTCCTATTGCAATATCTCAAATGTATCCTTGAATGATACTCGTAACACTTCCGCTTGGAGCCCTGCAATTCCACCGGTGTCGCAGTTAAGAAACAACCTTTGAGTTGACAGTGGCCTTAGTACATTACGAAGCCCAAAACTGTTCCCTGAACCATGGGAACATCATTAGGGCATTGCTAACCAGGGTCTCTCTACTAAGCGGTGATTTACTGTCCAAGCTTGGACTTACGTACTACTGTGACGAAATCGATAAATTTCAGACTCATGATACCTAAAACTTATAAGGAAGGTCATTCCTCCTGGTATCCTACAAGGTCAGAGGTCACACTCAAGAAGAGTTCGTAGTAGCGCGAAGATACATGGCAAATACTACCAATTGTATTATGGTCATCATTGAGATCTCGGTAATTTGCCTCATTGTGGTGACTCTTTAATGGAACGAGAAATCGCTAATAACAAACAACGAATAGGTAGGGCTAGCATAATCTCGGTCTTCTCACCATATTTCTACCTTTGGTACCTGAAGACGATTACAACGAAGACTCCAAGAGAATCTAATCTATAACCATTTTGGTTCAGTTGACACGTTTTCCCATTTTCTTGTGAGACATACTATCGTGCCACCAAAATATAATCAACAAACTAATATTGAACAATATACTCCCTTCCCACTCTTTCAACAAGTTATTATTAGGATCAGTAACGCAGGTACTAAGGCCCAGGCCCTCCAGACCATAACAAAAATGAGTGAAGATCTTCAAGCGCTCAACTCTTCTACCAAAGGTATTTACAAAAGCAGGTATATACGACAATACTACCATAATGACGAGCGCAAAATCGGAGCTTATAGCACCGACATGAACCCAAAACTTTGTGCTGAGCGAGAACTATTATGTGGACATAAATTATGCCACTTCTTCATAATTATATAGCTCTAACTTGTGCCTCACAAAATACGATGTGTTGTCCTAAGAACTCTCCTGTTGCATAAACACACTTCCATCTGAACAAAACCCTGCTGTCGAGTCAAGAGTTGATCCCAGTTCTTTTCGCACGTTCAGATGATTATTTAGAAAAGTGAAGGTCATCATTACAAGAAAGCGATTTTATACAAGGTATCCGTATATGCTGCAGGCCATGTAAGTATTTGGTATATGTAAAGCTGAACGCGAAGGAGTAGGAGGTTTATATATAATTATACACTATAGCAAATGATTTGTTGACTGAAAATCTTTGCACAGGTGAAGAAGAGAATAGTAGATCTTGATCCAAAATTACTGCAGAGAGGAGAGAAAAAGAAATTGCTACTGTAACGAATAGTGTCAAAGTGAGAGAGAGGTATTTGGAAGATCTCCTCTTTTCTCTGTCGTAGGTGAAACGGGTAACTAGGAGACTACAGCAATAACCACACCCCCGAGACCCCATATGCTTTCAACCTCAAACACTCACCCCTCCAGTTCTCAGTTGTGCCTTCCACGTCCACAACCCAAGATCGTCCCAACTCCCAAGATGCTACGAAGTATCATTTTGCATAAGCGTCTATCTCGGAAGTTCCGAAATGCTATTCCCTACCAATTTCCCTACCCGAGCTTCAGACTTTCTAGATAAACAATCCATCCCGTCTGAACTTCCCAAAACGTACCAATCGCAGGATCTCCCAGGCACATTCTCTCTCCCATCACGTCAACTGAATGCAAGACGATCATGCTAACCTCATGACGAAGGAGGAGAGATGGTAGGAATGGCATTTACAATATGCATGACGTCCAAATAAACCGCTCCCCGCCAAGAGCCCTCCCACGCGTTCGATGCATGGTAAGCTTTGCATGGCGTTTCTTGGATACCACTCGCCCCGGTAGAAGGGGGACGGGAGGCTAGACCGTAGATCTTTGCATATCCATATAACTCGATCGGAGATTTCCATGCTGCTGCCAACATCTACCAAGGAAGTTGGACTAAAATAGGTATCAATGTGTTATTTTAGTCTTCCTGGGGACAGGGGAGGGGACAAGCAGATAGTTAGGAAGACGCGGAGAGCCCAAGTGTCTGGTGAGATTACACTTGACCACCCACTTGGATATATCTTCTTATAAGTTAAAAATTCTCTTTTGGTGCGAGTACTCACTGGCCTAGTTTGAGGCAAAGACTCGACCATTTCTAACGTCCTAATGGCCTCATCTCTAGTCTTGCGAACTCCTGAACTGTGAAGTTGCGATGAAGTGATGTTGAATGGCCAGTGTTGTGTAACGCACCAATCAGAAGCGACAATTCGGCACGTGTGAGAATTACTCGAGGTGAAGACTAGACGAAAAACACTACATGGGTAGGTAGGTGAGGAAACCACTGACGGAAAGTAAGCGATGGTATTAATAGTGCAAAACAGTGCAGTCAAAGAACCCGTGGATTTGGGATGAAAAATTTAAGGTGATGTCAGGTTATCCGGGGTAATATGTGTTCATCAGAAGTTCTTTTACACCGTGGGGGGTAAGGGCGATGTTTGGAGAGGGTGACGTTTGGCGGGTGGCGAGGTGGTGATTTGATATCACCGGGCATAGAGCAAGTAGGTTCTTAATTAACTATGGCAAGCTGCAGACCTACGAGTATTAGTTTATATGTTGAGAAAACTGAATACATTCAGGTTTGCTGTAATTCAATACCACCTAAGCGACGAAAGGAGGTAAACTCACGTGACCGTTACCCAATGGGAAAACCTAAGAAGTTCTATGGGCACTTTTAGCGATTTAACAAATTGATTCATAAGCCAGATTGATCTTTCACATGTCTAGGTTGACTATTTCAGTTGTTCTCGCAGAGGAAAAGTACCTACTCCTTTCTAAATCCTTCCAATCCACCATTTAGTTTCTCCTTTTACCACTTCATATCTATGACGAGCTACTGGTATAATCTACTAAACTCAAATAACGTAATGAATGATCCTGTCTCCAAACTAAAATCTCAAACTCCAATCCTTTCTACTTACAAGAACCCCTCAAAGCCCATCCTGGACGGGAGAGCGAAACACAGACCCAAAAAGGTGTACGGAGTATGTAGTAGAAACAAGCAGTTTGAAGTTGTCCTTCGGGCAGTAGTGGATAGCGGAATTGATAACAATCATATCTATTCCACATACTCTTTTCCTATCGCACGCCTCGTCAAGTCGCGCCTCCCGCCTCACTTAGCAAGCAAGGATTCGCCAAGGGTCATTAAAAAGGGGTCTGTCCGCGTCCCGACTCCCGGCTTGCTGCACATCAAAATGCGGGGTTCTTTCCTGCAAGGCCTTCACAGCCAGCGGAAGAGACACGTGGTGTGTTGGGAGGTGGTGATTGGTCAATCAGGACGTCTTGGGTGTTTTTCCTGGTTGCATATGTTTTCACAGATTCGGATTTTGTGGTTTTTTTGGAGATGTGAATGGAGACGGATGAGACGGAATAAAGAACGGAATTATGAGCCGCGGAAGAGGGCTGTGTGAGATTCGTTCTAGGCATAATAAACGTAAAATATAATAAGGTTTAGGGATTTTCACTGGAGTACAGGGTAAAAATTCCACAGAAATTTTATGTTTATCAGGCCTGGGACAAAGTAAATTTACTGTAAATTGTTTAAGCTTTTGGAATTTAGATTTGGATTACGAGTACGTTCAGGGAGATACCTCAACCACGTGAAAGGCACGGAATCATTTCAAAGAAACTGAGTTGTATTTATTTTCTCCCGGTCGTAATAAACGTAAAAGTTTAGTGGAAATTTGACCCTGTATTCCACTTGAATATCCCATGTGAACCTTAGTTATTTTTGCGATTGTTACGCCTGAGTGGAAGTAGTTGGAATCTCAGAACTAACAATCTTTCTGAAGCATATCGTGTATTTGAAACTATAACTACACCAGAAACTCGAATAGTAATTCCCTCATCACTCGCTCGTACGAGAAGCTTTCCCGGCTGCTGTAATGCGGAGTTTTGTACCCGTTCATGAATACTCCACTCTAAATCGCTGCTAAACAGGAAAGTGGAGGGGTTCGCGGGGGACTCGGGGAGTTGTGCGGAATTGGCGTGTTTCTGTTTGTGAATTGAGAAATGGAAACAGAAATGGGGTTGCTGCCGTTATCTTGGTGGTCCTGAATAAAGCCGACCAAGTCGATGGAGCCCCTTGCTAAGACGGGCAGAATTACCCGGCTAATGTAATTTATCTATTTAGGGAAGATGTAGTGGCTGAAGTTTAAGAGAGAACATTGTGATTTTAAGCATTAAAATTTCAACTGCTTGGTTGTTTGTTTGTTTGAGAAAATTGTTTTGACCGATTTCATGGCGTCAACGGCGGTGCACCCGCACTTTTGTTTGTTTAGGCTTAGTGTATTCGGTACTCGGCGACGAGACATGACCTTTTTCAGACGGTAATGGTGGCGTTGGTGGCGTATGAGGCGCTTGAGCTTGATTCCAGGCTTTCCCCACTCCTTTGGTAACATGAGCATGATTTCACAGGTCAAGGGGACCACTCGCAACACCTCCCAAAACCCTATGAGGAAAATATACCGGTGTTAGTACTGGTTCTGCTGCAAATACAGTAAGGTCATACTGTAAATATACTCATGAGTATACCTAGTTACCGAGTACATCCTAGTACACGTATTGCTGCATTTAAGAACTAAGAACTAATCACCGCTACTGCGTTTGTGTTTGAATTTATGAGTGTGTACAGTAGCTGTAAACTGTAGCATCTAGCGAGCTGGCCCGACTGCAGCCCGGGCTCAATTCCAGCATATCATAAACATTAGTAAATCCAAGTAAGAATCCACTAGCTTTCGCTTTAACAAGTCCATGATCCAATCATCCGCCCCAAGATATCCACACCCACATTCACATCCACCTCATCCCATGCTCATGATAGTCCTCCCCCAGTCCACAAGCCGCCATGGGAACTCCCATGAACGCTACTTCCGAGGCCACTTTAATCTTTCCATACCAGTATTTTCTTCGCCAACTCAACCACCCCGGACCTGGCCTGAAATCCTCATCGGATCTTCTCGTTGAACCCCACTAGAGCTGCACTGTGCAGCAGTAAACTCTTGTTCCACACGCCTCTATAAAATAACACATAATCCCTCATCCTCCCGCTCTATCTTCTCTTTCCTCGCAAGCGAGTGTTCCTGTCCTCGTGAGGACCTCATTGATATCAACACCAAAATCATTCCTGTGATTTTAGAGAAAAGCAGGCATCATGACCGACGACGTCATTAACCAACATCATAATGCCACGAGCCAGGCCGTGACGGGTGCTCCTCGCAGCTCAGAAACCAGCGACGACCACGAGTCTTTTAATACAGAGAAAAATAACGAACATAGGATCCTGAAAAGAGTGATCTATCCAGATGATACGCATACGCCTGAAGGTGTCTACTGGGCGGATTTACCTTTTACGAAGCAAATGGCGTTCAATGCTAGTGTCGACAATGCCGAAGCTAAGTCGGAACTTAAAGCCATCGGAACCATGATGAAGAAGGACCCCTTGAGCCCTATTGGTTGGTATTTAAAAAATGCGGTTTTGCCGGGTGCTGGTTTAGGTTTGGAGGGGTACGTTTCTCAATTTTGCTTTCAAGGAAAAACCAGTGGTGTTCTTTTTTGGGGCTGAATTAACATTTTCTTATAGTTATGTTTTATTTTCTATTGGGAACCTAACACCGCTTTTTGCGGCTGTTTGGCCCTCTTGTTGGAAGAATTATACCGATTGTGATAAAACCTGGGTCGATGGCGTACAATACCTAGAGGTTCTTGGTATCATCGTCGGTCAGATTCTTGTTGGTTATCTTGGTGATCGGTAAAATGTCCCATGACACCCTTTGCAAAACAAATCTAACAACTAGTCAGTATGGGTCGTCGATTTGGTTTAATTCAAGATGCCACCATCATGTTCCTAGGTCTTCTCATGCTGTGTGCATCTTGGGGCATCACACTCAACTCATGGGTGATCTTTTACGGCTGGACTCTCTTCTTCTACGGAATTGGTGTCGGAGGAGAATACCCAATGACAGCAACTGCCGCCATGGAAAACGCAAGCGGAGCCGGCAAGGTCTCAACCAGAGATGACCGTCTTCACCGTGGCCGAAAAGTTACCATGGCTTTCCTTATGCAAGGATGGGGACAATTCTTCAACCAAGTTATCCTCATCGTTCTCCTCCTCATCTTCCACCATGGAAGCGGAAACCCACCATACTCCAAGGTCTCGGCTCAATGGACTTTCCGTGTTTCTTTCGCACTTCCAGCTGCTGGAACACTTTGGCTCGTCTATCACAGAATCTACAAAATGCCCCTTGCATCCAAGCAACTCGAAGAAGTCAAGAAGAAGTCCAGTGTTACTGGTTATGACATGCAATCCCTCAAACTAACCTGCAACCACTTCGGAGGGCGTCTTATCGCCACAGCTGGGGCCTGGTACTGCAACGATGTCTTCTTCTACGGAAACAAACTCTTCCAATCGCAATTCATCTCGGTTATCTCCCCAGGAAACACTTCAATCATGACCGGTTGGCTCTGGAACTTGGTCAACGTGGGTGTATCTCTCTGTGGTTACTACCTCGCATCCTTCCTCATCGACATCAAATTCGTCGGACGTAAACGCATGCAACAGCTGGGTTTCCTCATGGACTTTATCTTGTTCGTCGTCCCAGCATTCCATTACGAATACTACGCCAAGTCACCTCTACATATTGGCGCCTTTCAAGCTATGTACTTTCTCTCCTCCTTCTTCAACCAGTTCGGTCCCAACAGCACCACCTTCCTCGTCGCCGCCGAGGTCTTCCCTACACCTGTCCGAGCTTCAGCCCACGGTTTCTCTGCTGCGATAGGAAAACTTGGTGCTCTCACAGCTGCTGTCATGTATAACTACATCACCACCGAGCAAAAGTTCTACGTCGTCCCGTGGTTTGGTCTTGCCGGTATGCTTTTGACGATGCTTTTCCTCCCCGACACTACCGGTCTCGATCTCAAAGAGCAAGAACGTCGCTTCACTTATATCCGACAAGGCCGCGAGGAAGAATATCACGGTATTGCAGTGCACCCCCATCATTTGAGTATGTGGGAGCGTATGCGTGGTGCTGGTAAACACTATAACCCACGATTGGATTATCAAAGCAAGGTTGAGGACTTGAGACGGGAGTGGGTGGAACGACAGGGTGAGAAAATGGCCAGCGAGCACGGAATTGGCGCCGAGGGAGATGACGACTTTGATAAGGATGTTCGTGAGCTCTTTATGAGAAGTCATAAGAGGACGAATAGTGACGAGAGTGAGAAGTATAAGATGGCTCATATTCAAGCGCCGCCGAGTTCGAAGGGGAGTGATAGATTGGGGGAGGGAATGTTTGCTAAGACTCGTCAGGCTGATGCTTAAGTCTGCTTTCCTTCTTGTATTAATGGGGTTCGTTGCATCTTCTTTCACGGCATTATTTGGGATGGAGATATGGGATTTCTTTCGGGATATTTGGGAAAAAGCACGCAGGGAAATTTGCGCACTGCTGTTATCGCTGAAACTTGTAGATGGGGGGTCATTATTTGGTATGATTACTACTGTATTGTTTATTTACGAGACAGGAGATCAGAAAGGAAGAAAGATAGATACCCTGGGTTTAAAGAAAGATAGATGGAAGGCCCTTGGTAGAGAGAATGAACGAAATTTAATGATATCATCCAAATACTTTTCTTGTTGTGCTATAGAATGTGAAATTACTTGGCCTTTCTAAGATTGATCTGTAGATTTGAAACTGATATGGGGATGAGGGCGAAGACGGAATACTTGGTCATACGATGATATATTCTCCCTCCCTCCCTTCCATCTCGAGACAAGCAAATCCAGTAGTGCAGATGAGCGGATTGTGTGCCTGTGCTCTTTCAACGCAAACTCTTTCAACGCAAACAAGCTACAGAGCCACAATATTAACCCATTTCCTTATCAGCTCTTCAAAACCTAGCTATCTTCTATCTAACCCCTACCTGCCACATACTCTCGTCATCTGTCCAAACGTTAATGTAGTTCGACAGCAGATACCCGCTTAGCAACGAACCCTTCCACAAATGAACTTCGGATCTCATACGATGAGTAGCCATACATAGTTCAACTGGCGACTGCTAGTAGCGTATGAAGTGTTTCAGAGCTTGTATAAAGAAGAACTTACCCTTTTCCGCACTGGTGCACCTAGCAAGCACCTTATGAGTTACAAACAACGCATGGGTACTCTTTCCACATCCCGCTCGCTAAAATTGTAAGCCAAAACAAACGTTTACGTCGGTGAGTGAATACTTTCTTATGCAGTAACAGCGCATCAATGGTAGCTTGCGCGACTCCTAGTATAATTCCTATTCATCTGTTTCGCAAAGCCACCTTCCAGGATCATCAAGTCATCTATTTGGCACGATCTTCCATTCAATATTTGAAGTATTGTAGAAGAGATTCTCGGGTGTCACTTCTTTGATCAAGACTTGTTCCTCTAGCTCAAGTCTGGCGAGACCTGCTCCGTGCAGTCTCCCATGGGCTCAAGTAAAGTGATTCAGAAGGTCATCTTGACGTACATGTAACCCGAGTGTCGAAATACAGTAAGAATTGAAGGGACATATATAAGTTCCCTGTCGTTATTTGCTAACACTGGCACTTGATTAGAAGTAGTGTGTGAGAGGCCAGACCTCGAATAGCTCAAAGGTGTGGTTTCGAATATTCAATTAAGAAGTGCGTGAAGACTACATACATGCAATCTCTTCCTCTATATATGGAGAGAGGAAGAGTTTCTGGAGTCTTCCAAGAAACTGTTTGACAAATACGTGACGTCAAAAGAATAGAGTAGAAAAGTGTAGAAAAGGAGAAACCAATTTAGCAGTGGAGCAATGGCCAATGCTGAGCGGGGACTTTGGTCAGTGCTTAGCGAGGGCATGGCCCGAGCCTCCATCATGGGTTCCAACCCTCACATAGTGATTGAGTGTTGAAATCATATTTTAATCACACAGCCATCGAACATCTGGGTGGGTTGGGCTCTTGTCATACAACAAGCATCATCACGTTCAGTCTACCTGCTTCATCAAAGTCCAGGCAAGAGTCTCAGTAATCCCTGATTCAGACGCGTGCTGTAAGCAAGAATTAACTCGCATTAAAACGAAGAAAAAGACATCACCCACCCACCATAGAACAAAAAGGCAGAGTAACTTTGAAGAAAAGAGACATATACTCAATTACTATCTCAAATCCCACGTTTCCAAGAAAACGACAATCCAAGAAAATCCACTGAACTTTATATATCGAGAGATTTGTAGGCCGTTTACCACCCCCAACCACAAACGACACCCATCCATTTGTCGACCAAAGATATCTCAACATGCAACTGCCAACTATTAAATATACAACCCGTTCGTTTTCTCCGTTCAACCCAAAAAACTGCGTGTTCTTTCATTTCGTCGCCGACCCGATGGTGAGGTGAGTAGTACTTTAGCCGTCTCATTCGTCCAAAACCACAACGATGCATCCGATCCAAATAAAAGAAGCCCCAACTCCATGCCAAAATTCAAAATTGGTTAATTTCCAAGCCATGAGTTCCCCCATTGGAATATTCCACTTGAAAGGAAGCATCTGATATATCCCAACCAGGTATACCCCAAATCTAACGCCCTCAAAAACCCTCCAATCACCAATCACCATTCAATTACAATATTCCACCCGTAAACATCCATAGCCACCCATCACCACCTCGCCTCGTTCCTCAATGAAGCGAAATATCGTTCTTATCAGACCTGTACCCACTCTCGCTATCCGTGTACGAGAACGGCCTAGTCTCATCCGCCCCTCGCGTCGGCGGGTTCCCAGTACTCGGCGCTCGCTGGGGAGTGGTAGGAGAAGGGACTGCCATCTCATGTGGCCCGCTGGAGGTCGGGGGTCGTATTTCGCTGGGATTGTATGGTCTGAGGGGGGTGTCAGCATAATCTTAAACGGGTATCACTCAGCTGAGCTGTATTTTTATATCCGAAACTGAGGTCGGCTACTGCAGCCCTACAGAGTACAGTACTATGATGAGGAATGAGAGGTGAGGTGAGAAAGTGTACATACCTCATGCCTACAGCCGCAGGTGACATGCCTGAATTTTCCATCTCGTGTGTATACGCTGGAGAAGGGAATCCCGGGGTATTCGGTAACGAATTATTGCTTTGATGTCCACCCTGGTAATGGTTTGGATGTATAGCGCGCTCCATTCCCATCATTTGTGTTCTCTCATCGATTGGTGGCGAAGCACTACGATAAGAATGCTGATCCATCATCGGTGTACCGTAAACGTAACCTGGAGAATTTTGTCCAGATAACGGCAGCTTTTGCATGTTTGAGTAATTAGCTTCCGGCATGTCCGCCATGGAAGCTTGATATGAATTGTGATTGTTCGGATTATGTGATGATGGTTGTTGAGATTGTCGCATGATTTCCTTGACGGTTCTTTGTCTTCCACACATCCAAGCGAGCGCTGCGCCTAAAACAAGAACGGCAACTCCTCCAATTGCGATTCCGACAATTGCTCCTGTGGACAGACCATGGGAATGCTCAGCAGGTACGAGGGCAGGTGCAGAACTCGTCGCAGCTGGAGCAGACGTCGGTGTAGTAGAAGCGCCCGTCGCGGTAGTTGTTCGTAAAACAGTGCTCGACGAAGCTTCCTCTTTCGGGAAAGTCTCCCCTGGACTGAGGTATATCACCGCTTTCTGGGTATATCCAAATTGAGCTTCATAGCTGAACGTGGCGTTCTATCAGTCACAATGTTAGTTCCTTCTAGCATGAATTAGGTAAACTTGGAGAACCAACAGGATTTACCACCCCTATCATTCCTTGCAAACATGCATCGGGAGAAGAACAGTAAAAGAAAAACGGATCTGTATCGTTGACTCGTAGCCTGAACATCGGGAGCTATAGTTGATTGGATTAGCCATTTGTTCAACCCATGAACTGGAATCCATACATCGTTCGAAACCACCTGTGTTGGCTTAAACCCACTCCAGAACCCAACCCTTCCAGGACCTGACAGTTCATATGGTATGCATGGCTGGTTTCCAAAAGCTGCTCTTGATACCCTGTTTTGTGGAGTATTAGCCAATGCTGTCGGAGATCTCAATCCATAAATATCCAAAGCTACATTTACATTGCCGAGAAGCAAACCAAATATCGTATTACATAATACGGCATATGAAATTCGAGGTAAAGGTAACGTACGAGTGGTTTTGGGGATAAAAACGATATTCTGGGAGCCAGTTAGTATGAATTCGTAAGTGTTTTCGCAAGTTTCCGCATCCGAGAAGGAAAGAAGCACATACCAATGATATCTCCAACACTTGCGTTTAGTTGATTCGGTGAAAAGTTGAACCCTTGCTACTAAAACGTTAGTTTTCTGGAAAAGAACGAAATGTTTGGACGACAACGTACAGCGCCAACAGAAACGGTGTGCGTAGCAGCAGGCGCGCTGGATGTTGTGCTCGGCGCCTCAGCTGCATTTACGGCCTTTGACCCGATCAAGGCAACCGACAAAATGGTGAAGACGGTTCTCAACATCTTCAAGTAATTGTTGATGATGATAGTCTGGTTGCCAACAATCTTCTCAAACCTACATGATTATGTTAAGGGAAAAGAAAGATTCCGGCGTGAGATTCGTGAAGTGGTGTGGTCAGCATGTTTAGACCCAACATGCGGGGTGGGTCCCATCCTTCAAGCACAAAGTAGGGGGCAGGGCAACAACTAACGAAAGAAGGTGGGAATAAGGCACAGTCAGCCATCAGCCTCAATGAGAACGTAAAAAGGGTAGAGGGCTACGGCATGGCTCAGAAAAACCAGTTCGCGGGAACGTGGCATTTCTTAGGAAACGTATATTGTATATATCCTATTCAGAAGGTACTTTGTCATTCCTCTAAACGGAAAACTTCCTCGACAGCGTAAAATTCCGTGTTATAAATGTATACACGAGGGTTGGTGGAAACACTTTCCGCCAGTGTTTGCTTTGGTGGTGTACAACCGCACAAGCCAACAGTGCAACACCAAAGTAAACAGCTCGTATCGGCTCGCCAGCCGCATTGTACGTAAAATCACACCAACAAGAAGCTTGTTTGCTTCATGGGAAAGACCGTATGATACTACTATACATCTGATACTGAACTAACCGCTCACCGTGTTTACATAAAACTTTATCTGAGAGGATATTGAAGGCTTGTGTACACCATGAATATATCTCGCCATTGTGATTGAATAGCTTTTGCGCGGTGGCTGCAGCTCTCGGTGACGAATTCAGTCAAGCTTGGGGCTTGGAGAGCGGCACATCGTAACCTTGTATTAGAATTGCAGCTGCAGGGCAGTTTCCACGAATCATACTTGCATAAGATGACCCTATCGGATCAGAGGGGATCGTTGGGGCAGGGTTTGAAGTAGTGCAACACAAAAGCCATAGGTCAGGATCACGATAGCTTCGACGATAATAGGTCCATCTGCGCGAAATAGGAAGAAAGTGGGTGTGATAAAATGCATGGGTATATGTCGAACTATAAACAGATTACTGGGATTTGACCTTCCTCTTGCCCGATTCAGATACACCCAAGAGCCCACTATCAATAACCAATGTCCATAGACACCACATATAGCAGATTCCAAACCCCACGACACCAACCCCAACATTTGCCACGACCCAGAGATCTGGTTTGTCGCTAGGTGGTAGAAGAAATGATTCTGAAATGTGCCATACACCCATAGTCAGATAGAAGATGATATGAAGCACTGCTGTCGCATAGCTCGTCCATGATGCCGTTCCATCTTGTTTGTACACAGACAATGTTGTTGGCGGGAGGCCGAGAAGATATGTCCATAAGAGGGAAAGCACATAGTAAGGAATGCGCAATTCAACACGCTGGAGGAGTGGAAACATGGTCCATACACCCAACACATTTGCAAACCCAACCCAAGCGCGAGTGTTCTTACTTAGCCCTTGCTTTCCGGCCAACAGTACGGTCATCGGCATAAGAGGTAATAACACGCTCTTTTCGTGGACCTGGAAGCTGAAAAGGAAGAAACCCCACGCCGTTGTCGCCAATGCTACCGGTAGCAGTTCTTTTCTTGGCTTTAAGAAAATAACCAAGCATGCAGGTGTGATGGAGCCGAGCGTCAAGAGTAATGAGGCTCTTTGAAGTATCTCAGATGGGTAATGTCGAAGTTTGACCACGACATTAAGGGCGCACCAAAAGTTGGCGACTTTGTCCTCAAACAAACCTCTAGCAAATGGGAAGACTCGGTAGATCATTTGTGCTAATTGCTGAACAATTGGGTAGTACCATGCTCGATAATCAAGCAAATACGAGTATTGCGGAAAGATTGGCAACGGAGCCTTATGTCCATGAAGGTCGGGCCGGGCATCGATGCCGCGGGAAGAATCGTATAACGCTCCCAAACACAGAGGAAGAAGCAGCACGGCAAAGGAGGCAATTGTGACGACTGCAATGCCGAGAAAGCGCGGTAGGTTGAGTTGTGGGAACAAGCAAACTCCCAGCAGGTAGGCAAACATAGCGGGGGCATAATATAAGGCCATCTGTTTGAAACCGAGGGCCAAAACGAAAAAAACGCAACTCCACATGAATCGGCCTGCGAGTACACTCGACATGCTGGCGAGGACTAGTCCCAGCATGACGGTGTTGTACTGGAAATGCACATGATCAATCAAGGTAGTGCCTGGTTGCATCAGGACTGCGGTTAGCGCAATTGAAGCATTCCAGGTATTCACGCCTTGCAGCTTGCTGAGTCGTCTTACGAAAATGACGGCCGCAGGAATGAAGACGAGATATTCAGAAACAACAACGGTTGCCCGCATGAACACTTTCAACGACGGATCGTGGATTCCTCGTGACTTGTGTAATTCGAACCATGATGCATCAATTAAGCCGCCAACCTTGCCCAAAAGCCAGCTGTGGTATGCGGTTAGAGGAGGGTAGTCGAGACCCCACCATTCGAGGTCGTGGAAATACCATTGTGATACTGGCAATTGTGTGGTCACTTCCATCCAATGTCTCTGAGCTTCGTAGTCTCCGTACATTGGGGGCTTCTGAAATCCTGATTGATGCCGTTAGAAGCTGTATAAGTCGGGAGCAGGAGTAGACAGATCTCCTACCAGAATATCCCCAAAGACCCGCTGCCCAGCGGAAAAGGCCTGCTGCCATTAGTATCAACGGCAATATTTCCCATTGCGACAACGAGCTTCGCGCAGGCCAAAGAAACGCGGCAAGAGGATACGCAGGTCGGCTGAACGAGGATGAAGAAGGTCGTCCGGTGGGCAAGGGAGCGCTTCTGGCGACAGGGACGGGGAGTTCGCTGCCATTGTCCGGCTGTTTGGCTTTCCGTCGTGGTTTACGGGGTGAAGGTCCTGCCATCGTCATCGGCGATGTGTAGGGGTGGAGGGAGGAAGAGGAGTCGACGCAGAAGGAGAGAGAGAGAGCATGGAGTTGGGATGTTCGTGATGTACCAGTAGTGGTGTTGACAGGCAATTGACAGCTGGTCCGCAGGCGGGAGGGAGGGAGCTCAAATTGAGTTCACGCCTCTGATTGGCCAATATAGCTCAGGGCAAGTGTCACATCCGTGTGTCTCTCTCGGCTAATTGTTTGTCCATGCACTGGACGTGCCATCCAAGCTTCCTCTCACTGGCGAGCTTGCCCCTTTCCCTTCCCCTTTTACCTTTCGTACTCTCGTAACTGCCCTGAAAACTCTCCGATCTGCTCATGCTGCTCCCTTGGAGCCTACGCAGTAACGCACTACGGTATCGACTGCGCATTCTCTGCATCCTTGAAACAACCATACAATTCTCTCAACTCCTCGTCCGAATTTAGCTCATGCGAAACAATGCGGGGATAACGCCTCTAAATTTACCAGCAGTCAAGTTTCATGTTTCAAGAAGCGCAGGTGATGTTCTTCGGCCATCCCACCTGGTATGATCGACCTGATCCTGGGGAAAATCGCCTCTTGTTGTTATTTCTATCTCTTTGGCTGGCATGCTGCAGTAGATCCCTTTGCGGCTCATATTCTGTTTCTGTTAATCCTTTGGAAGTTTAAAGTGTAGCTTAACTTTAATTCCCCCACTCCAGCACGGGTATTGTTTAAGCTAAAATAAACGCAAACTTCAATATGTATAGTTCACTGCCATTCCTTGATTCTACCAGTTTGATTTATATTTCTCTTCCATTTCACATCGAGCTTTGCCCGACAGTCGATTTCATCTTTGATTTCATAGTTCAATCAATATGATCCTCTTTTTGCTTCTTTCTTCGGTCCTTCTTTTTCACTGTTTATGCTTGGTCTTGGTCGTCTCGTTCTCGTACCCCTCTTCAAAAATAAGCCCCGCTCTTCAATACCTCCGAACCCCACACCAAGTTTAAGCTCATGCAGGAAGCAAAGAATCACAGGTGCCACTTTTTCGCTGATATTTAGAAACTGGGGTAGCCTGGACCTATTTCTAGGTACCAGATTGTTTCTCTTTCCAATGCACCATTGACAAGTTCCTTGGCCCTTAACCTAGACTCGTATCTTGAAATCATAGTTAGTTTCTGACTGGTCAAAAGGGCCTTTTGGTGGCCGCGGTTTGTTTCAAACGATATATTCGGCTATGTTACCAAACGTTTTTGCGGAAAACGTTGTCAGAAAGCAGTGGGTTTACGACTTTTCTAGCACCATGGCCTAAAAAGTTTCCAGTAAATTCAGTTTGTTGAACTCCGAATGTTATTTCAATATCGGGGTATGGGGAAATCTTTCGGTGGGACATTTTCATCTACTGCAATTGCATAGCGAAAGAGAACAGGCCTTTCTATAAATCCAAGTGCATTCCCGCTGAAGAAACAACTCTCCAGCCTCATCAGCTTCAAACTTCTTTCATATCTTCCTCAGTCCTCTCCTTCTTTCTGTTTCCTTTTCCTCCCTTCATTTTCACTTCAGTTTCCTACATTTTCAGTTCGTTTTTCTTGTTTGATACAATAACACCATTGCAATTATGTTACCTTCAATGTTCATCCTCGCACTACTGCCAGCGTCAACCGTAAACGCTGCCGCCGCAAAACCCTTCCTTGCCGGTCCCTACCCAGCCGCTCCCTTCCCAGCTGGTCCCTTCCCAGCGGATGTTAACAAAAAACCCGCCTCTTCTGGCTCCTCTATTCCAGTAAACCTTGCCACCCCAACACCCGTCCCAACAGGAGGTGCCGCACAACCCGGCGGTAAAAAAGATGAAAAGCCCAACAATCCAAAACCCGCCAATCCAACACCAACACCCTCAGTACCCATAAAACCAGCACCCGGAGTACCTGCTAATTCCAGCTCTGGCGTCCCAGCCATTGAAGGATTTACGCTTACATGGAGCGATGAGTTCAAGGGCGCCGGTGGCTCTCTACCAGACAGCAAGAACTGGATCATCGATGTTGGCACCAGCTACCCAGGCGGTCCAGCAAACTGGGGTACTGGTGAGATCCAAACATACACCAACAAGCCAGAGAATGTCCAAATCACCAATGGCCAACTGAAAATCACCGCCATCGGAAAAGACAAGACTTGGACCTCAGCCAGAGTTGAGACACAGAGAACCGACTTCATGGCTCAAGAAGGCAAGAAGATGATCATTCAAGCGAGCATCGCTATGCCTGATGTCACTGGCCCTGAGGCAATCGGTTACTGGCCTGCCTTCTGGACTTTGGGAGGCAACTACCGCGGTGTTTACACCAACTGGCCTGGGGTTGGAGAATTCGATATCATGGAGAATGTCAATGGTCTTAACAAGGTCACTGGAGTTCTTCACTGCGATGTAAGCAATCTCCGCTCTCTACTCACATTAATCTTTACTAACGGTTATCAAGGTTGCTCCAGGAGGACGATGCAACGAGATGGATGGTCTCGGAAAGAACCTCCAATGCCCTGGAAAGCCATGCCAGGGTAACTTGCACACCTACACACTCACCGTCGACCGGTCCGTTACACCAGAGACAATGACCTGGTCTGTGGATGGTCAAAAGTACCATAGTATTACTGAGCAAGAACTCGGTGCTCAGCTCTGGACTCAGACTGTCCAACATGGCCATTTTATCTTATTGAACCTTGCTATGGGTGGTGCCTTCCCTAACAAGGTACATGGCGCTGACACACCTTTGCCTGGAACTGTTTCTGGGAAGAGTTTGAACATCGACTATGTTGCGGTATACAACTCTATATAAGTGGAAGTGGAGTCGAGTGGGTGTTTGTGGAATTGAAAAGGAAAATGGAGTTTATCCTAGTGATATGCCAGGAGATGACTCAGGAAGTTTTGGTTGTTGACAACTTTGAAGGAAAGGAGATCTGGTATCGATGAAATGGGCTCTGGAGAGCTCGGCGGATCTATGATCTTGGGTGTTATATTCTTTTGTATATTTTAACAGACGCTTGGCGTTCTTGAAATCTCCTAGCGAGCATTGGGGGCGTTCGGGTTTGTATTTATATACATCTTCACTACAATACTACCACTACAATAGGTAGTACAAAAAAATTTCAAAACTACAAATTTCTTCAATCTTGTTTCTTTTCTAGGTGTTTCCATTATGAAAAGAATGATGCTACCTACTAGCATAGCAAATCGAAGATCTCTTTTCTTTTTCGACTATTTGAGAAATTAAGAACGCTCCCAAAGGTACGAAGGAGACATACACACTCCTCGGTTAACATTTTGAATCCGGTAAAGTAGTTCCAGCAAACAAATTACAACCCCAATGTAAGCAGTTGGTCCCGCTCGAGGCTTATCTCGCATAACTTACACTACCTAGCTTAGCGGCCTTAAACCCTTTGTGTATCAACGTCATAAAAGCACTCCTGCTCAGTAGCATCCGCCCATTCGATAAGCGATCAAAATTTCCTTCTCGGAAACTTTTCCAGGCACCGGCCATTGGTGCTTGCCATGGAGAACTATAGGAAGCTCTTCATACGCACCCTATGATCGATCCGAAGTCACTAGTTGGTTTCTAGGATATCAGGTGGTTCAGAAAACAGTCCTGAACACAAAACTCCAGTTGAGAATGTTGGTTTCCCATCCCGGATGGGATTCGGCTTCATTCGAAGCATATATCATGAGCCCTTAGTGTAAAACCAGCAAAGAAATGCTAGGAATACGATGGTAGGTGATACTTCGATCTCGGAATCTTGTTGTGGCTATATGAATCTTTGTGGGTTTTACAGTTCCCGATTTCCAGAAGACGCTACAGTAGCACGGTTGATAATGCTACTGGTTTTGTTATTTGAGACGGCTTTATGTTATTGTATCTAGCTTTGACAGCGAAAAAGTTGTGTTTAATTTGATTATTGCGGCTGCTTTTCATCAGTTATTACTCCTTTATGCGAATGGCGTGAGTTTGCTTCACGCTTTCTGGATTTCTTACTTTCTGATTCTCACTTTTGGAAATGTTGTTTATTGAACCTCAACTCATAAACCTCAATCCATGAAAGTGAATAGCCGGAATCTATCACATGTTATGGATTGTGGATACGAGTAGACTATTTAATATTCTGGACTCGTAGCTAGTACTCTATATATCTTTAATATACTCATCATTCCACCCCCTCTACGGACCATTTTGTATTCTCTATGAGAGCAAAGTAGATATTGTTTGTATAGGAAAAGAGCATATGCCGGGTAACGTTACATTCGGGGACTGTTGAGATATTTGCTACTCACTCACTACATAGCAGCCCTAGAGTCAGTTGACAGTTAAGAGTATTTATTACCAGCTTGTACATGACTTTTAAAAAATGGGGAGTTCTCCCCTTTCAGTCCCGCAACAATTGCAGCTAGAGGAGTTCCTATTGCTCTCAACCTTTAATTACAGAAGATACAAGTGGTTTGTTTCGTGACTATGGGAGTACCCGCCCCGCAGATAACTGCGGTATTAGAGTGTGGGTCAAGGATGTTGAGGCGGTGGGATTGTTCAGATGCTACCACCAAGGTTAAGCGAAGGGGTGGATTTAAGCGAAAGCCGGCGGACTGAAGAGGTTATTGTAGGGCGGCTTTATAGATTCGCTGCAGCTTGGCCAAACAGAATCTTCAAACCAACCACGTAATATACACAGCATTCGGGCACGACATATGCTGTTTATTTTCGTATTATCAACAAGGTTTCTTTATCAGTTCAAGGAGTCTAATTGCCATCCTTCTCGAACACCAATTCAGGGGCCAGCGTTGCGTTAGAAGTAACCAATTTCCTAAATGATGCTTCCATACGTGTACTTCATCTTCGCATTCTAAACAAACTATAAATTTCACCATGCTGCGATCTAAGCTGCTAACTCAGTCCAACCACTGCACTTTTGCCCGACATCCCCACATCTTCTCTTCCGTTTGCGTTTCCTGAAATGTTTGATTGTGCTTCATTGCTCTTCTCAGAGGCTTCAAGGCCATACTCAGTATCCAATTCTTTCCTAAGCTCCAAATCTTTTTCGCCAATAACAGCAAAGAAACTGAAAATACTGATGCCTAAACCAAACCACCAGATTGCCCTTAAACCCTTCTTATAGGCCTCAGTGAGTTCTTGGGAAACAGTAGGGCTGAGATCATGTCGAAGGACATGGACCTGGCTTGCGAATGAATACGCAGCATCATCTCTCAGTTGGGACCGAAGCGATTCATCGGAAATCAAGTTCAAGCTCCTCTTGACGACAAAGTTGAAGATGATGCCAGGGAAGGTAACACCCCAGAGGTAGCCGAAATTAAGGATGAAGCTATATGTTGCAGATGCAGACGCAACGTCTGATTCAGGAAGTCCGGCCATAATAGCCGACAACATAGTAGACATGGGAATACCGGCACCGGCGGCAGCAACGAGTTGGAAGAAAGCCCAGGCAACTTTGGAGGTGTTGGCATCAAGTAAGGTTAGGATGCCAAAAGCGACAGAGGAAATAGCAAAGGCAGCCGCGTGCAAGATTCGATAAGAGCCAAGCTTGCTAAGCAAGATGCCACCCGCTACAGCCGAAGCAAGCGAGCCCATGGCGAAAGGTAGAAAGAAGGTCCCTGACTGAAGGACCGTTGTTCCCAGGACTCCCTGAAAATACACGGGGAGGAAATAAGTGATCGACTGGACGAGGATCGACGAAGTGAAGGTGAGAAAGAAGGCAGTTGCTGAAGTTCGGTTGGTAAACAGGCGCGAGGGGACGCTTTGGTGCTTAGCGAAGTGTTGCTGGACATGAAAAGCAGCCCAGCCCAGGCAGCCCAGGACCAAAGAGACAATGATACGAAACGAATGCCAGGGGTACTGGATACCACCGAATATTAATCCCCACAAAAGAGCGATCATGCTGGGGATGAAGATAAAAGTACCCAGGTAGTCAATACCCTTCAGCTTGGAAGCAAATCCTAACCTCCGCTGGCTGCCATCCATCTTGGTGCCCGTGCCAAGCGTGCCAAGCCCCATGAAGCAGAGGAGAAACAGTAAAGCCAGACCACAAACGGGAATATTGATCCAGAAGATCCAGCGCCAGTCTGCTTGCGCGAGTGCCCCGCCAACTGGAGGGCCGATGGCAGCTGCGAAGCCGGCCCAGGAAAACATCAGGCCCAGATATTTCCCACGTTCGCGCAGCGGCACCAAATCACAGCACACCACATCGATCAGCACATAGATTCCGCCTGCACCCACGCCCTGTATGGTACACCCAGCGATGAGCATTGCGGGATTGCGGGCAGCCCCACCAATTCCACTGCCTAGGGCAAAGAGAATGACGCAGACCACCAGTGGCACACGGCGACCGAAGATCGTAGCGAGCTGGCCGAAAAGGGGCTGCAGCACGCATGATGCGATCAGGAAGGAGTTGGCAATCCAGACATATTGCCGAGCGGCATCACTTCCCAGGTCTGCTGTAATGGCGGGCAGGCTTGTCGAGATAATCGCGACGTCGAGCGTCGAGATAAACGCGAGCAGGCACAGAGCAACAAAGGTGCCCCAGAAGCGAGCCCCGCGTGAGTTCAACAGAGCCGAAGCGGGTGCCATTTCTTCTTCTTCTTTTGGTTGACGAGTGGGTAAATATGCAATGTAACTAGAGCTATGGGAACACAAATATCTAAATAATATAAATCTGTGCAAATGGAAATGCGAAAAAGAAATCCAATTAAGAATTAACAATATCGTAGAATCAGGAGCAGCGTGAATGAAGATAATGTTGGCTGGTAATGATGTGAGTTGGGACAGGCGCAGCTTTTGATATTACGGGTTAATATTTTACGGGTTAATATTATACCAACGGCATACCAACAAGACGAAGCGAGGGCACAGGTAAGCCTTACTCCCTCATATATTCACACATTGTCGAACTCCAATGAAGCGTCAAGGCAAAATCTCTGTTTTCCATTACTCGAGTAACTTACCAAACTCATTACTTAAATGAATAGCCATGAAAGCCAGGTACACTTTGCACATGGATCTATTAGATCAATTACCGATTGACTACAACCACGTGATTCATACCACTTATCACGTGATATATCTTACATGTGAAAACCAAGATAACATTGATGACTGATCAATTCTAGCCAAGAGACCGATACTTTCGGTTCTTTAGGAAGATACCCCATGTGTATGTCTGTTGGCTCACCTCACATTAAGCTTATCAAAACCAATGTGGTCGATGAATTTATGATGTCACGTGGCGCGATATGAATGAGAACTTTGAATTATTTGCTCAGCAATATTCCACCGCACTTAATATGTAGCCGACTTCTACTCTGAGTAATATAAGATGAATCAACTTGCTTTCCACGTCCTACCAAGCCATGCGCATATCACGTACAGTACACGATATTGAGAATATCGGCACGCATCTGAGCATTTACCTTTCTGTTGGGATATATACGACCCCTTTTGTTTATATCACATGATTAGACCCACCTGTTCGAGTACCATAAGTACTCGAACAATACTACTCCTTAGCACCTAGACAACAATTGACTAATTATTCTATACCTTATTTCTTTACCTCGATATCCTAGATATCTCTATACTAATACTTTCTTTTTCTCTTTCCCACCTTCCCTCTCAATTAGTGAGACCAAATGCACCATATTCAAGTGGCTAGGTTTCCAAATCGTAAAAAGATCTTCGATTGGTTCTCTCAAGTTACACGAAAAGTGGTGAAAGTCCAAGTAATTAGTACGGTTCATTACAACTAAGAACAACAACCAATGATGAAATCGACGTTTGAATTACTGTACCACTATATACTTGTGTCGTACTGCTTGTATATAAAAACTACTATTTTATACAACCCCATTAATATGATTGATATAGATATAAGATGTATGTATTATGATAAACGAATAAGGCTTCTAGAATCTAGATTTAAAGCGGTAGAGATGGTGGAATCAAAATATGCAACGGGACACACATGTAACAAGAGCACACCCTTTTCTCTCTTTAATACAGTTACAAAAAGCGCTCTACTTACCTGTTACTGTTAGATGTGCTCTGACCCTTGAACTATCCCTCATAAATATTTTCTTTCTCGTCGAGTTATAAGTTATGCGGCTCTTCTGCTTGGCGAAGGGCGAGTACTGATAGGTTGCTTCTTTTAGCTCTACGTCTGGGGCGTAGAATCTCACTGATGAGAAGTTAAAGGATCTTGAGTGTGGATTTGGGCATGCCTTACAAAGCACGCCAAAGTCGGTTGGTCCTGGGGAGATGGAAGCCAGCTGGGCGGGTTGGTCCAGTAAAACGACTAAAAGCTTAAGATAACTTATTTGGATGTCCAATTGGTTCCGGAGTTATTACGTTGAACCACTGAACCAGAATTCCAAATGGTCTATATTATCGGCTCTTATCATTTTGATAGTTCCGTAAACCAGGTTGCCGTTCAAAGACGTCACGTTTGAACAATCTCCTAAAGAGTATCTAGTATGCTAGTGCCAGACAGTAGAGCCAAGAGTGGTCGTGTCGTAACATTTGTGCTCAGTCAAAGTTTTTTAATCAACTTTCTTAACTAATTCCAACGGGCCTATGATTAATTATTATCATCTAAAATCCCATGTATTAAACGATGAAGAGCCCACGAAGGTAATATATGAGTATTCATGAGTTTAAATTACCTGCCGGATGACGTGAGATGATATCAAATGTGGGTCAAAAACTATCAGACTTCGGGGACACCCTAAAGCTTCTGTTGCCAAGTTACAATTGAAATATTATAAGTGGCTGAACTAAGTACTTAGGTACGGTAAGAAGTTACTTCGTAGAAGATAATCAAAAGAGAAATGAGCTATCGCGGATCTAAATTAATAACAGATTTAGTTATGTCTATAACCTCTACGAAGCACTCCCATACTTCTAATTCTGTGCTTATTTCATTAGAAGGGGGTTCTCTACTAAATGTCCTTCCTCGCCGTATACTACTACAGTATGTAAACTCCAGAATCCAAGCGAGACTAAAAGCGGCTTTCCATATAAATACCCTATAGAAATGGATAATTGTTGGGCTGAAGAGTGTGGTGTACTGAAGGTCATGGAGAATTGATTGATTGTTTGAGAAGCTATTGTACAGAGTATTTATAAGGGAAGGAAAAAGGGGCAAATGAGAAAGAAAGGGGTAAATGAGAGGTGGAGCCGTATCTCAATACAGACGCTGTACAAATAATAATACAATAATGAATAAGTGGATTCCACATCAGGTGATATGGTGGATCCAGCACAACAATAATGTTCGCTTTATCTTCCATTAGCTAAGTTACCGGAATATTCTGAATTGATCATTTAGTCTACACTTCTCGCTAAACCCTAAATATATAGCTACGACGTAATAGACTTAAAAAGTGTTCTACTGACTCTAACTCTTAACCAAAATCTAAACCCTATCCCTAACCCTAACCCGCGGATAGCTATAAGAGGGTCTAATACCCTAATTAGAGGCTTTATTTTATCCTTCAATAAAGTTAGATTACGATTTAATTATAGTAGGAATTTGGTGGTTATAATGCGTCTGGACAGCTCGGTCGCCACCCCCCATTGTCCCTTCTGATATACCCCCACATGAATCGAACAATCCAATTGGCTTAAGGAGTTATATTATGGAGTTATACCCTGCCTACAATAAGTCGTATACAGGGGAGGGGGCGACGCGAGCTATACGGACCCATTAGCTGGTAGCAGGTCAGTGCGCTAGGAAAAATGGGTTTTGGCAAAGCCGGAATGGACCGAGAAGTGGGCCCAAAGTGTAGCCCAAAACAATCGATTGCGAATATTCTGGGTTTACGAGTAATTGTTAAGGACGAATTACCACGGCAATCGTTGTCGCAGCATACTAGTTGGCCTTAGCGTATATATAAAAAGTTATTCTTGTAGAGTGGTGGAATTTTGTTGTCTTGTGATTACGTAAGAACTTTTCGACCAATCAGAATTTAAGTAGTTTTCGATTAAAATTTGTTTCTGAGACTCCCAGGCCAACCACCTAAGGTGGTTGGGATCACCAACCCGAACTCCCACCAACCCGAATAATTGATCTACAATAATTAATAACTCAACAACCAACGGTCGGAAAACTTGATTAAAACTCTAATATACCCTGTCAATTGCAAAGTAACAGATTTACGATAGAATAGTAATTTAAACTGTTGGTTGTTGTAATGCACATATAAAGGTGGTAGTCCTTTGGTACGGACGCAGCTCGGCCGTGCCAAGACTGGCACCTTACGTCATATTCATCATGAATGAGAAGACCTATATAAACCCGAAAAAACAACAACAAATATAATTATTTTACTACCTAAACTAATCGATAAACTCCGGAACATCCTGTGAACGAGTAATTACGTTCGAATCTTGTTCTTCTTTTGTAGTGGCCGCCATTAGAGTAGGAACAGGGGTAAAAGGGGGGCCATATATGGGGTCCATATAAGCGAGCTGTTCAGGGGCCTGAATACCCTCATTTTGACCTTTAATTTGACCCTCAATTTAAGGCTCAAACTTGACTTTTGGTGGACGTCCACGCGGCTTTTTACCTTGAGATATGAGATCTCGTCTTTTACGTAGTTTTTCAGCTTCCTCGTGTTCTTTTCGAAGCCTCCTTTGCTCCTTATCGTACGCCTTAGCTTCGTCTTTTTCGCGCCTTTCTCTCTCCTTTACAGCTTCCTTTATAGCCTTGTCCTGTAAACGCTCCCTTTTAGCTAGCTCGTCAGCCGCCTTTTTTTCGACAGTTTTACGTCGTTTTAACTCCTTTTCATACTCCTTCTCAAGGCGTCTTTTAGCTCTTTCGGCCTCCTAGGTAGCCTTTTATAGATCCGTAAGATCCTCCTCTTGACGTCTCTTTAGCATGTTCTGTAATCAACTATCTATGGTCATAACTTTGCCCCCAGCCGGCGGCCTTGCAATCTATTTACGCCAGTCGCGAGGGTCGACAATTAGTACTCCGAGACCATATAAATCCTTGTTATTCAGCTACTAGAGCCGTTCTTATACAACGCCTTATTAGATAGCTATTATTTTAGCTCCTTTATAGAACTTGTTATTATAAAGAGCGCGCGAAGGAGACGACATGTAGTACTCGTACTTTTGAAGGAACTAGGAGTATAAAGAGACTCCGCGCGCATCCTGAGGGGTCGACATAAAAGGAGTATTTTTATACTATTCAGGATTATTTAGATCCGTCATAATAGTCTCCCTTAAGTATTAAGGAGTACTAGGTCGAGGTAGTGGTATTTTTAGCCCAGTTAAAGTAAGTGACGGTAGGTTATCGTACTTATTAGCTAAAGCTATAAGCCCGTCATCATTCCATTCGCAATCAAATTCATCAGGGGTAGGCGTGCGAAAGCAAGGGAATAATGAAGGTAATTTCTGTAGAGGTGAAGACGGGAAGTCGTACTTGTTAGCTAAAGCTATAAGTTCGTCGTTATCCCATTTATAAGCGAACTTATCAAGAGTAGGCGAACGTTCGGTAGTATTTAATAAAGGCGATTTTTACAGCGGTGATGATAGGATATCTAGTATATACAAAGCTCTTAAACGAGGCTCGTTAATAGTAGGAACTCGAATTATAGGAGAGTTATAATTGCTAGGATTAGGATTATATTCGCGGTGCGTAAATAACCCTCCTTGTTATTTACTTTATCCTGTTCGTTCGTCGCTAGCTTCATAAATTCAAGTACTTTATTAAGATTAGGTGGATTAATTCCTGCCCTATCCTATGCTACTAGTACGTTCGATTATATAAAAGTCTTCTCGCGAACGCCTTAGAGAATACGTAAAAAATCGTACTTATTAAAGCCGTCTTTTCTACCACAAATAGCGCTTTCTAAGGCAACAATATGGTAGTGTTTCTCTTATCTAAATATGACGGTATCTAGAGGTTGACAAGCGTAAGTTGAATAAGGTATTAGACAAAATAGAATAATATCTAAAGTCTAACACCTCTCAATAAAGTCGAACGTCATATAACTTCCATAACTGTTAAATATAAGTAATCGATATCGACCCCCCTGCTTCGCCTTGGTTTGTTTATCGAAGTATAAAAGCCAGGATATAGCGATTTCGTCAGTAGTATAACCACATTCGCTTAGCTCAATTGACGTATTTGAAGGGAGGTTATTATCGAAGTGTTTACCCAAATACACCTTTCCTAGCATAATTAAAAATGGATCAATAACACCCCCAGCGGCATTAATACACTCGATAACGGTAACAGACTCGCGAGCTACAGGATTGTTTGTATAGATCTGTTTATTTCAAGATTAGCTTATAATTGCAAGGTTTTTATATAAAATAAAACCTACTTGTATAGCTGAAATATGGGCTACAACTGTAGTACTTTTCATGCAACCGATTCAGAACCCTGCCTCGTCCATGTTGTACATATTACATAGTTGGATATTGTACATCTTAATTGTATCGAATAATCGATTAAAATACCCCTGAATATTATCCCGAGTCAAGGCAGTACGTCGAAGGATATCCATTAGAGTCGTATTAAGGGTTTTAAATCGACCCTCCTGAACCATCCTTTTTGTCCACCTATTTGTCCAGGAGTGTCCCAGGGGTTTATTATCGCCAATTGATCGTGAAATAGCAGATGCCGCTTGCGTAATCAACGAATAATTGAGTAGATATCTACTCTCTTCGGCATGGTAACAGTACTTGATTAAAGTACTTTCGGCCGCCTCGTTTAAGCGACGATTATGGCCCCCGTTGTTCGCAATTGTACGTCGTCCTTTTTTTCGATGTCCCATAGTACTATATAGAATATTGTATACTCCGACGGCAATTTCAAGAGTCGTAATATCCGTATTCTCTGGGTCTCGGTACGCACGAATGGCTTCTGCTATACGCTCTTCGCGTTCGAGGTGTAGGGCTTGTTGGTATATAGGAACCTTCTGTAGTCGTCGGATAAGTAATTCCTCACTTTCTCGCTGTGTGAGTTCCTTCTTTGAACGTGGCATATTAATCGAATTATCTTGAACTAAAGAATTGTAGGAATAAAGTATAGGAAAAAGGTAAGGTAGTTAAAGCATTTAAGTCATAAGACGATATAATACACTATTTTAGGTACATAGCCCGTACGTCGACCCCCCGGTACCCCATCAGAATTTAACTCTACCACCTATATGTCAACACCTTTGTATAACATCATGGAGTTACTAAAAATATGGCTCGGTAGCTCTATCAATCTATTTATTACGATTATTTTAATACAAAAAATTATTATAAAAGAGTACGTTATTATTTTAATATTAGTTCACGAGCCTAATCTACGATATTTAGATTAGTAGGAGTTAGGGTTGGTAATCCCAACCACCATGGTGGTTGGCCTAAAAATCCGAAAGAAAATTTTTAATCGAAAACTAATTAAATTCTGATTAAGTTAGTCGAAGAGTTCTTACGTAATCATAAAACAACATAAGTTAACTTACTACTATAAAGATATAATTTATATACTCCAAGGCCAACTAGTACCAAGAGATTCCCTTATTGCGTAATCCTTCGCTTAACAAATCTGGTGGCAAAACTGCCCGCATTATTAGTAAACATCAAGTAAATTAGAGTGAACACGTTCATGGAGAAAAGCGGCGGCGCATTAAGCTTTCAAGATTTTGGTGGAGTAGAATTATACGATTCAGGGCAAAGTAAAGACCTGTCGTCGATCCCCCACAGCTTATAATTCGTGACCGGGTTTTCACGGTGTACGAAGCAGATTGAGTTCGTAGATCTTCCTGCCAAGAATATCTATATTATGTCACTTTTGGATATTCCCGTTACCCGGAGAACCTCGTTATGGCGAGCGAGGGAAAGCTAGGCGGGCATATCGAAAATTATACAGCGCGTGATTCAGATCGCAATTGAGTTCGCCATTACATATTTTACTTTCCGCCATCTTATATAATGGGGAGCGAACACCTGAGAGAGGAGTTTTGTTTTCCAGCATCCTACTTCACTTCCTTCTTTACCTGTTTTCTCTTCGGATACCCCTTTCGAACACACTACTTCATTAATTTCAACTTGTTTCATTCCATTCCTGTCCTTACCACAAAAATGCAGTTCTTCAACACCGCAGCCTGTGTGCTCCTCGCTTCCGGAGTCGCGGTCAACGCTCTTCCTATCACGGATCAAGCCGCCGCTCTTTCCCCCCGTGCTGGAACGCTTCAAAATCCCTGGGTCGGAAAGTAGGTCTCTTGTATTGCGTCTTCTCTTTCTTTTCTAACTTCTCTCATTAGAGGGTGGAAATATCCAGACATTTTTATCAAGAACCCAGATACACTCAAGAAGCTTCAAAACATATTCTGGGGTAAACCAAAGGCCCCTAAAATCGGACCCCTTAAAACCGACGGTCCTCCCAAGGCCCCAACCCCTGTTAAAGGCCCTTAGACACTTCAAACTCGTGAGTCATTTATCTCCTTCCCTCCTTCCCCCCTCTCCCCAATTTCTGTTCGATTATAACTTTTCTTATTAGGCATGCGCGGCTGGCCGTTGTCGACTGTTCTACCCCTCAAGGCTGCGAGTAATTTCCCTCTCTTTCAATGGGCGAAAGTCAAGTCGCAGACTCAGGGCACCGGCTACCCCAACGAAGCGCTGCACTTTGATGTTGCATGGGTCCTACAACTCAGGGTATTGGAAATACGAGAAGAATATCATGATATTATCTTGAGCATGTACTTAGTATAATGATAATCTTCTAGACTTTAAAATGCGTGATTGTAATGCATTCTGTGAAGTGGTTCGATCGTGTGCCTTTAATCAGCGTCTTTTTCGTCCTTTTACATGGTCCTTCTCCCCTTCCATACTCTTTCATAACATTTTACATTAGGCCGTAAATAAAAAAGCATAGCCAACGCCAAACCTACTTCAACATTCGAGCAACGAATTGATCTCAGAACAGCTTTCGATTGTCTTCAGTACGATCACCATTTCCACCAAATTATCAGGCCTATGACCACAAAAGCGGCAATTCCAGACCAATCATCATCGCCACTAGACTCGTCACTTCGTCCGTGCCTTTGCTCCTGTTGTTGATAAGGATACTGTCGATAGTTTCGAACATGGTCTTGATATTCCGAGTAGTCTTGGGAGCGGCAGTAAGTCGTATGGTTGTTAGTGACGGGGTTGGGATAAACAGGCGCAGCAGGCGGGGGCTGAACTTGTCTTGCTGGTGCAGTGACTGTACCGTAACCCCGCTGTTCAATGTATCGTTCCCATGATATCGCTCTTTCAGCGGGAGATATAGCAGGCGGGGGTTCTCTTCTGGCTGGTTCAATCCTAGGCAAAGGAGGGAAAATAGCAATATGAAAGGTTTCTTCTGGTTGGGCCAAAGGATTCGCCAAAAGCCTCAACCTCCTAGCAGCAGTTTGTGGCACCATATCCGTAGATTCATACTCTTCTGCACCAAGCTCAAACTGAGCCATCAAAAGGCGATAGTCCCCCTCTGTCAGACGAGTCTTATAAGCTCTTACATTTCCTCGTCGTCCGAAGGACTGTAAAGAGGTTCTGCGGACTGGGTATATATGTGAAGTCCCAACATAGGATTGTTTATGCAAGTCCCCTGACTCGAGATGAAGTTGTGTGAAGTGCCCTTCTGGAGGTTCTGATGTTGAATGGAAGATTGGGATGGAGTTTTTGAGGTGGGGCCTATGGTTAAGTTTGCGCATGTACCTTTTGAGACTGCAGCTGTCGAAGGATGTTATCTGATTGAGTTATCAAATGTTAGCGCCAAATAAAACAAATTCATGACTCTCCTCTTGAAAATTGATAACATGACATGGGAAAACTGACGCAGGCAACAACACAAACAAGGTCCCCATGGCCCCGAGAGCCTGGTCTTTGTGAGATCTTCAAGACCACAACTGGATGGTTGTAACCGTCATGGTCGAGCTCGGCGGGAGTGGATATATGTGGTTCACAGCAGCATTTTATATCTTCCCCTGATATCTCTTTGGGAGCTAGCCATACTATTGCACCTACGCAAAGATCGCTCGCTCTGGGGGCCGGTCTATTGATATTGCTCTGCTGGCGGATGGATTCCATTGTCCCAAAAAAGTAGAATGGTTGAAATGCGTCAACAACACTTCTTCATTGACCTCAATTTCTGTAACGCATTCGGTCTTGGAGTATAAGATAGCAGGTGTATGATTGTGGAGAGATTGAGTGTAGATCAAAACCGGTTCACGTCGTTTCAAGGCGCGGTTCGGAAGCACCTTATGTGCCGTGGGGCTCAGGTAGGATTCAGCCAGTTGGGGGTACACAACTTATGCAAGAACACGAATAGAGTTATTCGGTGGGCAAACTGGAGGCTGATTGGTGTATGGCTGAATGATAATGATCTGATGATAATGCGGGGAATAAGCGCTTAGGGTCGCATTTAAGGTGTGAGGCGAGGTGATAGGCGCATTTCACCCTGAAGCTCTATCACGAAATTTGCTGTTGGATATGAAGAAGCATACCTATGAATTTAACCTCTGAACCCCCAAGAATCAAGGACGTACGAAGATAAGCCCAAAGCAGAGGTTCAAAAGAGCTTAGAAGGGAAAACTCGGACGAGCATTCTAGATACGCACATAGATGTCAAAGCGAGCAGGATGATATAACTTATTCCAAGAACAAAAAGCAGATTGTGTAAGAAATTGTTTCAGAAATCGACGGTGGTGCAAAACATTGTCCTAACGCAGAAAGGAAATGTGCAAACAGGATCGTAGAAACCCAAACAACCACGTTTTGTACCCCCGGGAAGGATTTGTTTGAGACCAGAGAGCGGCCATTGTGTCTCATATTTAGGTCGGAGACCAGTCGGCTGAGGGATCCCAGTGGTATTCAACTATATACGCCTTTCTGCAAGGCATAATTGCCGATGAGATGGACGTCTGCAAGTTTCAAATGAGGAGGTGGGTGACATCGGGAATTCGTCGGTGTTGGTCCGCTGAGTCGGCCTGCCCTCCTAGTTTCGTGACATCAAATGTAGTGTAGAAGCATGATAGAATCTAACACATCAGAAATTCGACATGGACATATGGAACAGGTTTGGAGATATCAAAGGCCTTATTTTGGGGGTTTCCTTCCATATTTATCACGTGATCTGTAGAAATCGCTTAACATGTATTTTAATAGAGTTACGACTCGATATTTCAGATAATACCTACGTTACATTGCGTGGAAAACAATCCTGACAGGATTTTCCGAGAGAAAGCTTACAGGGACCGGCTGCTCTTTTCTCCGGCTCCGCAGACGAATCATATCAATGATATGAATAATCAGCGGGGTCCAGGTATAGACTGAGTATTATTCCAAAGACCTGAACCTGATAATCTCATCAAGAATTGAAGAATGGTTAAAAAGGAAAAGCGGTGTTATACACGAAAACTTTCAATGTTGTTGGATCACTGCTAAGCAAAATTCACCCCAGGGATAACCCACTCGCGAAGCGCGTCGGAACGCTCGCTTAGTACATGCCCAACATCCCATAACAACGGATCGGGTATATAACCATCGCAAAACGCAGGTGAGAATTTCCTTTTCTTAAACGTAAGCAGCGATCCTCCAAACTCGCATTTCCCACAAACCTCCTTTCCATATCCTATTTGACATCTAAACATGTCAGAATACACATCCACACTCTCAGGTTTCCAACGCGCCATGAAATGGAGTCTCACCCCCAGTGGGAGCAAAACACCTGAATCAGGTGCTCCTAAAACACCTGATTTAGGTGCTTCTAAAATACCTGATTCAGGTACTCTAACTTACTGCCCTATATAGTACAAGAATACCTAATATATATATATAATAGCTAAAAAATACTCGATTTAGGTACTCCTATTTAAAGGAATTAATAAAAAAGAATCTCTACAATCTACTTCGAATAATAATCAAAATATATAAAAACTTTATAATGATATATTATAACTACTTATAAGTTATATATAGACTTAAATATAAGTAGGACTACCATTAACCTAATATAGCTAATAATAAATAGGGACTTTAAATACTATTTAGTATATAATAGAAATTAATTTCTACTAAGGTTCTACTAATAACAAGTAGCTTTAAGCTCTACTTATACCCAATTTTTCAAAAGGGAAGAGAGAAGTAAATAGAGAAACAAATAGAGAAGTAAGTAAAAAGAACTTAGATAGTTACTAGCTAATAAAAGAGTATTAGATAAAGAAGTAGAATAAATTTAGATATTTATAGCTAATAAAAGAGCGTTAGATAAAGAAGTAAGTAGAGTAGAACTCAGATAGTTACTAGCTAACGTAACTTTAGGCTATAAGAGTAATTATAGTTCCGCGTCTCTTAACTTTCATTCTTAGGAATAGAAACTTTTATCTCTAGTTTAGTAAGGGGGCTACTATCTATCTACTATTTACTACTCGGAATATACGCTTCTACTAAAGGTAGCGTTTCCCTTAATACTTTAGTATCTTATTTTATTAACTATATAAAAATATCTAGAGAAAGTTATATTCTTTTTTATAAAGGAATAGTATCTAACCCTTATAAGAGAATAAAGCCAGAATACTCTCAAGGTATATAAGCTAAGTTTATAATAGTATAACTTAAGGTTACTATACTTAATATAGATCCTAGCCCGCGCGATACTTTTTAATTATAGTATAGTAATTAAGACTACTTTCCTGCGGTTAGTATATTTATACTATACGTCGGTTAACTAATATAATTCCTCCTATTTATAAGAGGGGTAATAGCTAACTTAACTTTTAGAACAAGGTACGCTTTTCTATAGCTAAGAGAATTATTAATATTTTAATAGAGAATAGATAAATAGTATTTACTATTATTTTTATACTTCACTGTGACGAAACCGGTATCTAACTGAAGGTATCGAGTTCGAAGGTTGGTATGCGAAGAGAGAGGTAATAGCTAACTTAACTTTTAGAACAAGGTACGCTTTTCTATAGCTAAGAGAATTATTAATATTTTAATAGAGAATAGATAAATAGTANGGTAATAGCTAACTTAACTTTTAGAACAAGGTACGCTTTTCTATAGCTAAGAGAATTATTAATATTTTAATAGAGAATAGATAAATAGTATTTACTATTATTTTTATACTTCACTGTGACGAAACCGGTATCTAACTGAAGGTATCGAGTTCGAAGGTTGGTATGCGAAGAGAGAAGACAATATATCACGGGTTGTTTACTTGGAAGTAAACTCGTTACTTGTACAAAGTCGTCAAAGTCAAAAGGTATTAATAACTGTGTAAACTAAGTTGAGCACGAAGCTCCTATCTAATGGCAGACGTGCCAGTATTATATAGAACCTCCGTTCTCTGTTCTAACTGTTGCTAGCTTGCTAGCCTAGTCGCGCTGTTGCTGCTAGACTGGTAGACCCGTCGCCCTGTCTAGCGAGATACTATCACGTGATACTAACCAAAGGAAATCCCTGGATCGCTTAGCTAGTCTAAGGATTCCTATTTGCTATAAGAGCATACGATAGTGCTTGACCTGTCAGGACACCGTCTGATCTTCACTCCTCACGTGCTAACACGTGATTTGTGACATTTACATTAAAACAAGTAATATATATTCGCTTAGCAGCTACTAGGTAGAGCTTTATAATTCGATTACGTAGTAAAGTACGTAGTATTTTTAGGTAAAGTACTTAGTGTTTTTAAGGCAAGAGTCTATTACTTTTAATAGTACTATTTTATTACGTAGGTACGTGGTTTAGTAAAAAAAGGGATATAGTACTTAGTAAGGGATTTGTTTTTAATCTATATTTAAGTATAAGTTACTTGTTTAAAAGAGTATTGATTAGTAAGGATAACTTATTTCTAATAATATCTTATCTACTAGTAATAAAATAAACTATAGGCTTATTATCTTCTATAGCCTTTATCCTCCTAATAATATACCGAATCTTTAATACTTTAATAATTTCTATACGTCCTAGAAATCCCCTTTTTGTGACGACACGTACGATGTGTTGCTCAAGGAGCCTCCTGTAACGAATACTCAAACTGGCTAACTAAACTTGGCTGGGTGTTCGCTGGTTGGTATGCTATGATAAGAAGAAGATAATGGCAGACGTGCCAGTCTTATATAGAACCTTCGTGTTCCTGAAGTCGACAATGTCGACCTGCATATATCACGTGACTTGTATACAAAGAAATTCCTGGATCGCTTAACTAACCTAAGCGATCCCTTTTTGCTATAAGAGCCATGATGTGTTTGTCCTGTCAGAACCCCGTCTGGACTAACTCCTCACGTGCTAGCACGTGATTTGTGACACCTCCAAGGTGTAGGTTATGGAATCGTAGAACTGTCTATTCGAAGATTCTAAGCTGAGGAGAAGAGGAGAGCTCGAGAGAGCTTGAGTCTAAATACAATGTGGCTCGCTAAGGAAGCCACGTGATATGAATGGCACGTGAAGGTCAGAACCGTCACACTTTTATTAATAAATATATATAAATCCTTATAATACCGAGTCTTAGATTATTAAACAAAGGCCTAAATCGGTCTATCGCTAGCTTAAACTTCCCCTTTAGAAATAATAATATACTAAAGGACCTATCTAATTCATACTTTATTCTCTTTGTTTTTACTATTACCTTCTTAGGACTATATAACCTAACTATTATCTCGATTATTACTAGATTTGTATAAGGAATACTTACTTCTCATATGTTACGGAGTTGGAGGGACTGGGGTCTGGTCACGTGTAGCACGGCACGTGCGTGCCGCTGGCATCCTGTATTTAAGCTTCCGTTCCTCTGGAACTCTCTTCTCTCCTCACTTAGTTGTTCGCTCAATACAGCAGTTTCCGTTTGACTCCGTATTCGTCACAGCAAGCAGTGGTTCACTCCACACAGTTACATCATAAACTACTTTTACTCCCTTAAATATTAATGTAACGAATACTCAAACTGGCTAACTAAACTTGGCTGGGTGTTCGCTGGTTGGTATGCTATGATAAGAAGAAGA